ATTAGGTAATAAAATGACTATGTCTTCAAAAGAAATACATTTAACAATGTATCTTTCTATTTTTCAGAAACAGGAAGCGTCCATGAAGTGTCGAATCGATTAGATGATAATATGACTTCATGTATTCAATAGAAATACATTTAACAACGTATATTTCTGTTTTTTAAACACAGGAAAGCGTCCATGAAGTAATGGTCATCTAGTCAATCATCTACCATGTCTAAAAACCGCACATCAGCAAGCTTGTTTTTTCTGTGATGGAAATACGGGAGACTTTCATAAAGCAGAAACAATGTCCCTTGATACCCATATCCTAAAAAAGTCTGGCAATTGGAACGCCAACTCCTACACTTCCTTAGATCACAGCGTCAACCAAATTTTATGTTCTTCTTGGATTCTCTTGGAAAAATTATTCCACGGATGTTTACCCTTGACCACTTCCACTATTCACGATGGATGACAATTCATATCAAAGATCTTCTTGTCCTGGAGTCCAGACACCTATGCAGAATTCCTAAAGGCAACTTCGTCACTCAGAAATCTACCAGGTTCATGAACAGCTGAATGCAATGGTGAAAGGAGATGGTGGTGCTATAGGTATCACAGAGAATGAAGCCGTATTGACACGATAGATGGTGGCGGGCCCAGAAACAGCTAGGCTTTTGATTGGATACTATGAAAAACACTACATGAACAAGAGATCCCAGAGGGATCTTGGCGCCCACCATTTGAGGATCTGTTTTCAGTTCTTGAAGATTTGTTTATTTTTTTTTGTGTTGTAAATGTTCATGAACTGGTCTTCATTGAATGTACTCAATGATGGCACAAGATATTTTTATTAAGCACCTATTAGCAAATATCATTTGAAAAAGATCCCAAAGTATTATTAGATAGCAATCAGTTACAGGTGGATAATGGACAATATGCTTGTGCTGTATTACTGTCGACATCCAAGATGGCTGCCTGTGGGCCACCTTGATTTCAAATTAGTCCAAAAAAGGTACAATGCACAACTAGGGACCAAGGGAAACCAATATCTATGAAATATCAAAAGGATCCGTCCAGTACTTCCTCTGATATAGCAGTAACAAGATTTATCTCTCAAAATCCAAGATGGCTGCCTGTCAGCCATCTTGATTTCGGATAAGTCCAAAAAGGTATAATGCACAACTTGGAACCAAAGGGAACCTGCATATGAAATTTGAGAAAGATCCATCCAGTACTTTCCAAGAAATAGCAGTAACAAACTTTTACATTCAAAATCCAAGATGGCCACCTGTCGGCCATCTTGAATTCGAATCAGTCCAAAAAAGGTACAATGCACAACTAGGGACCAAGGGGAACCTGCATATGAAATACTTTTCCAGAAATAGCGGTAACAAGAATTGTTTACGGACGACGGACGGCAGGGCGATTTGAATACCCCACCATCTGATGATGGTGGGCTAAAAAAGACACAGATCGCCACCATGAACAGATACCAAGTGTACAGAAGGCGTTCATATCACAAGTCAAGACGTCACTGATGTGATGGAGGAACTAGGAAACCCCTTTGCAGATACTGGCACAGATTTGTATACGCTTGACACCAAACGGATAATGCCCGATAGTGTTGTAAATACAATAAAGTCGGCAGAAAATATTGGCAAAACACAATACCAGAAGTTCGCTGCAGAGCGTATTAATGCTGATTGCACATTATTCAATGACACAATTCATAAAAACAAACTGCCTCTGTTTAATGCTAGTTTGGGAAAGAAGCCTACCAAGTCCGCCACCAAAATCTCTAACATGTGTGATGATGCTAATCTCTTCTCACGGATGTACATATCATGCCAAGCTCGAGACAGTGATATGGATGCCTTCTTCATGCATGAAAATCATGTCTGGCCTCCATCACTAGCATCAAATCGCATCATGCACCAATCGACGAAGTCTGACTTGATGGAATGTTTGGAATCGTTGGCACCAAAATCAGAATCTACACCAAATGTTCATGTTAAAATTGTTGATGGCGCTGCCTTTGTTCACACACTTGATCCAAAGAAGTCAAAGACAATTGTGAAAACATTCCAGAACTATTCACAGTTGGTGTTCCTGCCCTCTTTAGAACGCATGCTACAGAATGTTGCCCGTTTAGATTTTGTCTGGGATATCTATAAGGAAGACAGCCTAAAGTCACAAACACGACAGAATCATGGAACTGGTAACCAGATTCGAGTGGCCAGCAACACTAAAATTCCTCCTAATTTGGAGAACTTTCTTCAGTGTGATTCAAACAAAGAGAGCCTGTTCCGACTTATCGCTGATGCTGTACAAGAGTTCCAATCCTCCCAAAGAAAACAAATCATCTCAACAAAAGTCCAGAGCGCTGTTTCATCTTCCTCTGCTGACCTCTCAGACTTGTCCTGCACTCATGAAGAAGCGGACACCCGGCTCCTGTTTCATGCCTCCCATGCATTCCATCAAGGATTCACCAAAGTGATGATACATGCCACTGAAATGGATATGGTGGTTCTCGCAGTTGCTGTATCAAGCGTCTTAAAAGATTGTGAAATGTTGGTAGCATTCGGTCATGGTTCTAAACTGAGATACATCCCCTGTCATCTAATTTCAGCTGAACTAGGCAATGATACATCATGGGGTTTTCTGTTTATGCACGCAATATCAGGATGTGATATTGTTTCTGCATTCTTCGGAATTGGAAAGAAAACAGCTTGGGCTGTATGGCGCAGTATGCCTCAGCTCACAGCTACATTTGTGCCTTTATCTCAAGTAACACCCGACGACATGAACCAAATAGAAAGATACGTGGTTCTACGGTACCAGTGAACATCGGGACTTAAGTCGTGTGAATGAAGCCAGGAAATACTTGTCCACTCACAATAGTAAGATGGAAAACATTCCTTCAACGCTGAATGCTCTTAAACAGCACGTGAAAAGGGCTGTTTACCAGGCAGGGTATATCTGGGGACAGACACTTACTGGCGAGCCGGATGTTCCTTCACCAGAATTATGGGGGTGGAAGAGAGTGAAAGATGATTCCCCATGGACTCCATGCTGGACAACCCTTCCAGAGGCAGCCAAAGGTTGTCAAGAACTGTTGAAATGTGGGTGCAAGAAGGAATGTACTCGGCGATGCAAGTGTGTCAAAGCAAATCTGCCGTGTACACAGCTATGCTTCTGCTCAGGACAGTGTAATAGAGATTATTAAATGACATTACTATTAAGGACAAGAACTCTTGTGTTAAGTCAATCTATAACTAAATTATCAGGTTCGGATTGTTCAAACAATGGTACGCCCTAAAGACATTTTGTCACCTAATCGACTCAGATTATGACATTTTTTAAAATTAAACATTTGAAGGAAAACTGCATAAGTCTTGAATTGCATTTAACTAGATTCTTTGACCTCAAAAACATAGGTATAGACATCAAGATAATTGAAATGGGGGCATTTAGAGGGATTTCATGGACGAAATCTTGTTTTGTGGCGGCCATTTTGAATTTCCAGATTTTTGGTTGGAACGCCTGGAGTGAGGTCGTGGTTCCCGCAATTTTTGAAATTAGCATACCCAAAACCTCCCTAGGAAAAATTGTCATGCTTCTTTCCGGAAGTGCACGTCCATTTCACATATCCGCCATACTAATGTTGCTTCCAAGTGAACAATGTGGTCACGACAATTCACTGACCTTTCTTAATAAAGGTACATTTGTAAGTTAATACTGAGGTTGTACAATACTTTGATTATAATAAGAAAACATGGACAAAGGGATAAGGGTTATGATATCTGCCATGCAAATCTATATTATATGTTATGTTTTCTTGGTCTTCTACATTTGTTGGAGAAAAAATAGTCCAAGAAAGAAAAGAAGGAATTAAAAGAAATCATACACACAAATTCTCGTGGAATGTGACGTTTATTGACAATGGTTTAACAAGAATTAACATCAATCAATGATATTTAAGAGACTTACACAGGCTGACACCTTGTGTAGCTGTATCACAGTGAAACACACAACATGTCTATAAAACAGTGTGGCAGAATAACTGCATAATAATATAAAGTATCGGTAATGTATTAATGGACGGAGAGAAAATCCTCAAAATCAATGGACGGAATTCCTGAAGCGGAGAGAAAATCATCAAAATCAATCTATAATTTGTGATAATTGGCCATCTTAATGGCCCAAACATTGACGACTGAGCATTCATTTAACAATCTAATCCCTAGTTGTGATATTCACAAGTGATCTCGCTGACCATCTTGATATGTCAATGTGTTAAGATTTACAGAAGCACCAAAATGTGGCGGTGGGTCATCTACAATCTACTTCTTACAACAGGAAACACGCATAACAAGCACATCAACATACATTTGGCATGTTTAGAAAAGTACATAACCTCTTTAATAAGATAAATAACTCAACATATTTGATTACAGTGTGTAGCAGTGAAAATCAATTTCCTCCATCAAAACAACCCAATGTTTTTGTCCTTCCCAATTGAAAATGGACTTGTAGAAGCTATCAGAAATAGGAATGAACATTTATCTTATCAGTACAGCTGAGCACTGACATAGATTAGTTTCTAGACAGGTTGACAATAATGTTTGTGTGTAGAAAACTCAGAAGAAATGAAATGTTGCTACTCCGTTATAGACTTCAATATGTTTATTCTAATTATCAACTTTGTCACCAGTATCAGACTTGTCTATATACATTACACCTGTGAATATTGATCTGACATGTGAAAGGATTGCTTCTATGACGAAATATTATGGATGGAATATGTTTATTTTCAAACCGATCATTAAAAAGTTAAAAATGAAATGTAAAAGTTATTTCTAAAAATCACATAATACATTAAACACAAAATTTCTTGATGTAAACAATTTTAAAACTGGACGGAACATATGAAGGAAAGGAAGTAACATTAAAGTTGTAGATTATCAAACTGAAAACAACTACATTTTAAAAGAATTTAAAGTTGTGTAACTATCAAAAAAAAAAAAAAATCATGCATGTAGTAAAAAGTGAAGCACAACAAAACTGTAATATCTAGCCACAAGGTGTTGACTTGTGTTTGTCAGAAATATAAACATAAGTGAGAATTAAAACATCTGTAGTAGTAAAATCATTTCCCATCACACAACAATTATTCAATTCTTTGAGATTGGCTCACTTTCTGATGATTAAATAATTTTTTAACAAAAATAATTCATACCTACAATTAGATGTTTAGCCAAAGATATTAAACGCAACATCTTCTGGGTCAAGTATTCATGAAGGTATAGACTGTGTATTTAATTCTAGTTGGAAAAAAAAATATAATGAAAAAGAGAAAAAATCTCAATACTTTGAGATCAACTATTCTTATCTATTTCAACAACTTTAAAGCCAATTTACAAAATTGTATTTGTTTTGTTTGTTTGGCAGGCTGGGTGTTCTATATTATGTCATCAATTTGAAATTCAAGGTAAAACTGCACAGGGCCATTAAAATGAAAAGCAATGTGAAAACCGAGTGTAATGTGTGTCTGGATTTCATCAATTAAGTGTAGAAAAATTCAAACAAATATATGTTGGCATTCATACCTTAGTAACAAGATATCTAAAACAATGCTTGACTTGTCAAAGCTTTGAAAAATCACACTATCAAAAATAATTTTACATCAATTCAATGAAATAGTCAAAAATTTTACAAGCATAAAACCATAATGGAAATAGCAATGGAACAAATTTGTTTGTCAATAACACTTCAAAAACTAAGTAAATAATAACACAGCACAAAAATATACACATAACAATCTCCTGATAATGTCTACCTCTACATTGCACCTTATTGCTATTTGTGACTCGACATAAAAGATGTAATGCTCAAAACACTACTCTAACGGTAGTCTTACTGACATGAAAACTGTTTTACACTTTTTCCTATCTCAGTTGTATTCAAAAATCAATCTAGTGATTTTAATTGACTAAGAAAAGATCTTCATTTCTAAATTTGATGATTTTAATTTTTTTCTGAGATCTACCAAAATAATACTTCTAAAGGTAAATTGATAAACCCACTGGATATGTTTTGTGGACAACCAGAAAGTTTCTTCTTCAATCACAAAATTGACTAATGAAATTTTTTACTGGTAGGGAACATCTGATATTGAAATATAGGTAATTGTATGCATTACATTAATTCTATTTCATTTAAAAGTTCAGTGGTCAATCTGAGATTCTGTGATGGCCAGCTGTTCAAGCATTACAATTATTGAGGCAGTTTATCAGTTCTAAGTATCTTCTTACTGCTTTGAGACAAGCACAGGGATAAATGAAAGTGCCTCGTAACAAGAAACCTGAAAGTGAAGGAATGTATTCATCTGAATAATTAAATGATATTGCAAATGATAATTGGAATGTAAAACAAATCACAGTCACTGAAACTGATTTTTTCATGAGCTAGCATAATGGATGATTGTTCACCAAGAGGATTGTAAACCACACTTACACACCTTAAAGAAATGTCATGAATGGTTGTATATTCAACACATAGAGGTATTTAAAAACAGAGAAGAGGGTTATTTAAGATGCTAGTTCAGTAGTGTGTCACTAACAGTATCATACCAGTGACAAATGGATGATTGAAGGATATCTCCTTATTGTTTCCATTAGTACACTCATATTTGTATTTTTGGCATCCTTAAATATGTAAAGATAAAATCAAAACCTTCTTACAAGTAGCATATTATACCAGTTGGCTGATCTGGAAACATTTAGGAAACTATACCTACTTGTGATCTCTGATAAAAAAAAAAGGATCTCTAGAAATCTTTGGGGTAAAATTGACTAATTTCGGTTTGGAAGTAACTTCGTTGCTATCGAACTCTAGTTTTGAGACATGTTACTTTAATTTGAAACTAAGTGTGCAGATAAGTACACCTGTAAATGACAGTTGAATCCTTGGATTTCAAAGATGATTTTTAACAGAAACATTGTTACTAAGATACATATGTTTGTTAATAACAGATAAAGTGTTTGGTGACACATCAGGATGATGACAAACTGAGAGTACTTCTGATATCTTTTATAGGTATTTCATAGACACCAAAGCACAACTGCATAAAACTCATACCCTGTATAGAAAAAAACCATGGTCTCCACAACCAAAGTATAAACATTCTTATATTTCTACTTTAGTTACTCATTTATGAAATCAGTGCTCCAGCACTTTCTGTTCAACATCGAAAAAATCAAATATATAACATAGCTAAAATCAATGCAAATTTCATTCACAAAAGTGCATCAACTTCTGAGAAATATATACTAAGATTTAATCATTCATGCACGGTAAGATATTTACATACAGGTGTTCCGTAATTATCTTTTAAAGTATCTTTATGCCATCAAGAACTTGCTTTAAACACCCTCCCTCCAGAAAAACAAAATAAACCAGATGAAATAATAAAAGAACAATGACATTACACTTAACGCTTTCTACATTATGCCATACAGCAGTCACTGCCGTTGTGTGCCCATACATGAAGAATGGGTAGCACTGTAGTCAAATCTCCATAAATGAATACATTAATCACATCAATATCACCAGTTGCTTTTTTTCAACAATTAATAGAACAACATCAAAATCCAATATTGGAAAAATCCTTGTAACAACATAACCAGTTATATAACATTCTTCAATGTGATTTTCTTGTTTCACCATTCAAACTGGATCATCCCCAAGAAAATTTCCAAACCTTGAAAAATGTGATTATAAAAATTATTCTGATGACACACTGTTAATAGTTAATTTAAAAGCAGTGCTGTTTTTAAAAGTTTTTTTTTTGTACCTCAAGGAATCTGAAAACTTTTTTGCTTACATCATACATGGTATCTGAACAGTAGGTTGTTACTTACATGTATCTATTCTGTGATTGCATCAAAACCCTGGATATACATACAATAAATTAAACACAGGCTCACTAAATGTGTTGACAAGAATGTGTATTAGCTATGGAAGGACATACTCCAGAACAAAGAGAAATGATTTTCCAAAAATTAACACATATAGATTTGATTTTCTAACCTCCCAGTACACTAACACACAATGGAGTGTATATTTTGATAAGAAAAGATATTCATTTTAAGTTTTATTTCCTTTTGAAAAACATTAATAAATTTCATATACCGGTTAAGATCATTTCTATTTATTTCAAACCACTTATATGCACTTCAAGGAAAACCACTGCAAGCTCTGACAAAATGATATTGAGCTTCAAAGTGGTCTTGTATGTTACGAGTCCTCGATAACTGGACTTTATTTTTATATAATTATTCTTCCTTCTAGAATATGAAGTACCAGCCAAACTAATACCTGTCTTCACATCACATAGAGAGTACATGGGGAATCAATATATCAGTAGGGTTGTTTCTTCTTCTTCTTTGTTTTCCCTGTAGATCCAAGAGTTGGCAAGGCTTCCAAGCGCATCGGTCGACGAACCATGGTGTCCTCCTGCATCAGCTGACCATGGACTGCAGCTGCACGTAACCCACTACTCATGCCATCGTCATGGCTACCAAATCCATTGCTTGATGGGAAATTATTTGGGGACCTTTGTTTCAATGTGTCTTTGATCTCAGCCATATCTGTAACAAAGTACATGTATTATAATCAGATCATGTTGATGATGATTTCTTCTAATTTACTACAAGTATAACCAGTTCTTTCATTAGATATATTTGTAATAAAGTATAGGTGTCTTATCATTAGGCATGTATTTAACACAGTATAGGTGTCTTATAATCCGACATATTTCTAACACAGTATAGGTGTCTTATAATCTGACATATGTAACACAGTATAGGTGTCTTATAATCTGACATATGTAACACAGTATAGGTGTCTTATAATCTGACATTATGTAACACAGTTTAGATGTCTTATAATCTGACATATGTAACACAGTTTAGATGTCTTATAATCTGACATATGTAACACAGTTTAGATGTCTTATAATCTGACATATGTAACACAGTTTAGATGTCTTATAATCTGACATATGTAACACAGTTTAGATGTCTTATAATCTGACATATGTAACACAGTTTAGATGTCTTATAATCTGACATATGTAACACAGTTTAGATGTCTTATAATCTGACATATGTAACACAGTTTAGATGTCTTATAATCTGACATATGTAACACAGTTTAGATGTCTTATAATCTGACATATGTAACACAGTTAAGATGTCTTATAATCTGACATATGTAACACAGTTTAGATGTCTTATAATCTGACATATGTAACACAGTTTAGATGTCTTATAATCTGACAAATGTAACACAGTTTAGATGTCTTATAATCTGACATATGTAACACAGTTAGATGATAATCTGACATATGTCTTATGATTTGACATATGTAACACAGTTTAGATGATTTGACATATGTAACACAGTTTAGATGTCTTATGATTTGACATATGTAACACAGTTTAGATGTCTTATGATTTGACATATGTAACACAGTTTAGATGTCTTATAATCTAACATATGTAACACAGTTTAGATGTCTTATAATCTGACATATGTAACACAGTTTAGATGTCTTAACACAGTTTAGATGTCTTATAATCTGACATATGTAACACAGTTTAGATGTCTTATAATCTGACATATGTAACACAGTTTAGATGTCTTATAATCTGACATATGTAACACAGTTTAGATGTCTTATAATCTGACATATGTAACACAGTTTAGATGTCTTATAATCTGACATATGTAACACAGTTTAGATGTCTTATGATTTGACATATGTAACACAGTTTAGATGTCTTATAATCTGACATATGTAACACAGTTTAGATGTCTTATAATCTGACATATGTAACACAGTTTAGATGTCTTATGATTTGACATGTATGTAGCACAGTATAGGTGTCTTATAATCTGACATATGTAACACAGTTTAGATGTCTTATGATTTGACATATGTAACACAGTTTAGATGTCTTATGATTTGACATATGTAACACAGTTTAGATGTCTTATGATTTGACATATGTAACACAGTTTAGATGTCTTATGATTTGACATATGTAACACAGTTTAGATGTCTTATGATTTGACATATGCAACACAGTTTAGATGTCTTATAATCTAAGAACACAGTTTGACATATGTAACACAGTTTAGATGTCTTATGATTTGACATATGTAACACAGTTTAGATGTCTTATGATTTGACATATGTAACACAGTTTAGATGTCTTATGATTTGACATATGTAACACAGTTTAGATGTCTTATAATCTGACATATGTAACACAGTTTAGATGTCTAACTGACATATGTAACACAGTTTAGATGTCTTATAATCTGACATATGTAACACAGTTTAGATGTCTTATAATCTGACATATGTAACACAGTTTAGATGTCTTATAATCTGACATATGTAACACAGTTAAGATGTCTTATGATTTGACATATGTAACACAGTTTAGATGTCTTATGATTTGACATATGTAACACAGTTTAGATGTCTTATGATTTGACATATGTAACACAGTTTAGATGTCTTATGATTTGACATATGTAACACAGTTTAGATGTCTTATGATTTGACATATGTAACACAGTTTAGATGTCTTATGATTTGACATATGTAACACAGTTTAGATGTCTTATGATTTGACATATGTAACACAGTTTAGATGTCTTATGACATTTGTAACATTTAGATGTCTTATGATTTGACATATGTTTTAGATGTCTTATGATTTGACATATGTAACACAGTTTAGATGTCTTATGATTTGACATATGTAACACAGTTTACATATGTAACACAGTTTAGATGTCTTATAATCTGACATATGTAACACAGTTTAGATGTCTTATAATCTTGACATATGTAACACAGTTTAGATGTCTTATAATCTGACATATGTAACACAGTTTAGATGTCTTATGATTTGACATGTATGTAGCACAGTATAGGTGTCTTATAATTAGACATGTATGTAACAAAGTTTAATTGTATTATAATCAGGTATGTTTGTAACAAAATACATGTGTCTTATCATCAGACATTTACATAAAAAAGTACAGGTCTCTTAGAAAACAGATATATTTGTAATAAAGCATTAGGAGTCTCAAAAGCTGATATGTTTATACACACTTGAAGTATCTTTTCTCTGATCGTTGTATAAATTCCTTTGTTACTTATACACCTTCAGAAAATGTCATGAATGGTTGTATATTCAACATATAGAGGTGTTTAAAAACAGAGAAGAGGGTTATTTAAGATACTAGTTCAGTAGTATGCTGCAAACAGTATCATACCAGTGACAAATGGATGATAGAAGGATATCTCCTTATTGTTTCCATTAGTATACTCATATTTTTGGCATCCTTAAATATGTAAAGATAAAATCAAAACCTCTTTACACATAACTTTTTATTTTGGTTTTGGTTTGGCTGTAACTTTGTAGCTATGGAAACCAATATGCTAGTTTTGAGACACCTTAGTTAGAAACTAGTCTGATGTTTTTGTATGTAAGTTCAGGAATGTTTTATTCAAGGATGTTTCTACAAACTAGTGGCATCGTTTCTCTGACCACTGCCCCACACTATGTACTTACTGACTTTGCTGACTGGTTCACCTCCATTGGTTTGAAGCAGCTGATTTGCCCTTTTGGTCTGGAAATACTTTGAGGACTTGTCATCTTTATACATAATTTTCTGCAATGAATTAAAACTCCAATTTTAACACCCATGTAACTTATCACTCAACATAGATAATATAACCCCTGTGTTAAACTATCATAGTATGCACGTTATTGCAAACTTAACAGTCTTGAGACACTAGACAACTTTGGCATCAACAAAAACAAAGGGATGTAACTCTGTATACCATGAAGCACATAGTTCTTTGCTTTCAGAACGTGAATATAATTTACAAATGTTGGTGAAATGGCAACCATACCAAAAGGTTCTTTACTCTTTATGTCCATATGCCCTGAAAGAGTGATATGCAGACGAACTGAAGGAAACCTTTAGTTCCCTCATACAGATCAGGCAGTCTAACAAACCTCTTTATAACGATCCTCCTCTTGATCATAGTGGCTGGCATTGACGTCCCCGTTGACATAGGGACGGTTGCGAGACTTCGGGTCCATACCACGGGTACCTGGCATCACTCCCTCTGTGTAAGTATATTGTATAAACAGTCAAACACATTTACAACAAACATGCAAGTACCACCGACTCCCAAAGTGTGTGAAAATGTTAACAGCTTCATTAATACAGTCCAACTATGTTTGTTGAAATCCTAATAATGACATTTAAAAGAATTGAGATATGATGATGACAATGAAAGAACTGAAGTCAGGACTTGTGGATGTGGGAGTATACACATAAAGTACAAATGATATTTCTTTACATTAAATGAAGATTTGTTAACATTGGTTAAACTCGGGCTATTCCTGGTTGCTTATAAAGTATTCTGTAATCCAGCTTTGGGTTTTGTTCATTTTATGTGTAAAGCATGTAGTCTTGGATTAAGTTCTATTCAGAAAGAAATTAATATGTGTTTTGAGATGATAAGGATTCAAATACTTAACATATGTATATATCTTGACTTTCAGTAAAATGTATGCTCAAGACATTGAGTAAAAAACTAGGTGATTACGAACAGTAATCGTTTAGAAATTGTTTACATATGAAAGGATGTTTGTTGAGGTGTTAGAATGAATCACCATTTTGATGTTTTTTCTTAATTACAATGATGAAACAAACAAGATGAAAAAAAAAAAAAAATGAAAATGTGAAATAATGTTCAAGTTAGGTAATTAATGAAAAATTATACATAACATAAATTCAACAAACAAAAACAAAAGCAACATGCAATGAGATGATAAGTAAACAAATGATAAACAAAAAATAAAAACATGCAGTGAGATGTGCTAAATTAACCTATTTAATGTAAACATGAATAAAACAGTTCAACAACCAGGGGATGAAAAATACCAGGTGAATAATACTGGTCAAATTTTATATCAAACAAGAAAATTCCATTTTTTCTAGTATTACTTTTTGCTCTTGCTAAAATAAAGATAATTTTGGAAACAAAGCTAAGCTCTTGTACAATTCTAATAGAAAGTAGATAGTATGAACAGCCCTGACTATTGCTTTGGTGGGAAAATTTCCAGCACCTAATGTGTGAAAGTTAAAGAAATATTCAGTTGGAGTGTACAGCATCAATGTTTAATATAATATAAACTTTATCTATTTTACAACAATTGCGAAACAAGTTATGTTAACTTATACTAATCACTCTTGTTGGCGCGGATGTAAGTGTGCGAGGGGTCTTATTGTGGGAGGAAACCGGAGTACCCGGGGAAAACCCATGTGGTCTGGCAGGTGACCCCTTACCTTTTCACATCCGTTCCAGGAATCGAACCCCGGTCGGCTAGGTGAAAGGCGAGTGTGTTACCACTGCGCCATCCGACCACCCATCAATGTTTAACCCAAGAAGTACTTTCATACAAAATATCAGCATTGTATCATGTCTAATGAGTTTGCAACAGACTCTGCAAAACTTTTTAAAGTGATGGACGGATGAGACGTATTGACAGAATGTAACACATTTTCACACCTGTCACCACTATGAGACATAAAAATACTGAGGTAAGGTAGTAATAATGATCTGTTTTGACTGTATGCCTTTGTTATTTTACACCTCAATGTGACTGAAAATTAGGATAAGGTGGATAGATGATAAATGACTTAAATAACATGTGATATTGACCTTGTGATCAGAAAAAAATCAGATTTGTATGAAGAAGGATGAAATCTTTAACTATCCTAAATGATCTTCATTGAGTTAGTTTTGGTATACATCAAAAAAGCAATTTTTTTAAAACCAAAAGGGAAAATATACATTTATCCTTGTAGTAACAGACATGGTAGTATTAGCAAGGCATAATACTGTAGAATAGAGGCGGCACATAGCAAGCTAAGGGAGGCAGTTTTCAGAAGCCGAGAAATTGATTACAGATCATTCAGTATTATTGATCAATTTATTCTACTATGGTTTGCAAGGAGTCAATTTAAATTCATGAAGAACATCTAAATCTTTCCTTTCGTTTTTTTTTAAGATTGTCATCAATTACTGAATCACAGTTACAATGTAACACATCCTAAATGTGCCTGTTATCTAATTTTAGATAATGAAATATATACTTCAGTTTGAAAACTTGCTGCAACAAAATAAGTGATAATAGTTAAGTAACTGTAAGCAGGTTTATCTTTAAAATGTAAAGCCCATATCCAATGTTGCAGGTATCTTAATAGAAGTCTCTGTAAGGCAACACAGAAGAAGCTTATCACACTCTGAAACATTTTCTGTCACAACGATTACCTCTTTCATATTTAAGAAACATTGGATCCATAAGTAAGGCATGCCCCAGTATTCAAAATTGCAAAAAGCTAAAACCTATTCTGAATTCATCATCATTTGAAAAGAAAGATTGGCAGAACATGTTACCTGGTATAAAGATTACTAGGGGGTTCAAATGTGCTAAGCCAAAATCTAATGGATAATTAGTTTTGGTTTCTCAGAAATTAATTGCTTCATAATATGGCTCTGAAAATTATCAAAAGTATCTAGAGTAATTAGGTACCACAGACCCAACACAAAAACAACAGATCTCATTAATTTGTACAAAATGTGATATTATCACCATGCAGTGCTTAGAAAAGTCTATTACAAATCATTAAAAAAATTCAAATTACAAAACATTTAACTACACCATGCAACTACTTTCTCAGGTATCATTTGATTTAAACTTGTACTTGCATTTCCAGTTAAATTTGATCCATATTTTAATATCACATTTTGTATGAAGTTTTTAGCATAATCTGGAGAATTAAAGGGAGTTAAAGGGAGATAATGCACCAAAAAAAACCTTGACCAATGTTAATACTACCACCTTATCTCCAAGATGTCCTTCATCTCATAATGAACCAATAAAAGTATATCCCCTTCCAGACACATTCCACCCCAGGAAGGCCTAAGGGAATTTACCCTACATAAGCCTTGCTACTTACCAGGAGACTGTCCATTAAGTGAATTTTTCCCTGCATAATCATAAATTATCATCATATTTAAGTGAGCAGATCTTGATGCATCCTCGCTTCATCACTCAAAATAAGTTGTGGTTTAAGTTAGTATGTATAATGGTAGTAGTTAAGTATTATGCTTTTATCAAATTTTAATAAAACAATTTAGATATTTTCAATGTGACATTTGAATGATATTGTAGTGCTTGAATCATGTTTAAATTTTCATATTAAGGAAAAAGTAACAGGGTGATTGATGGTAAACAAAACAAAAAATAAAATTTAAAAAAAAACAAAACAAAAAATGAAAAGTAAATAAATAAATAAAACAAAAAAAGAAAAACAATACATTATATAACAAGTTAACCAAAGGACCTAAATTGCTCATCAGGTTTTATTTTAACTTGTCTGAGGTCTGCACCCTCTGATCAAAGTTGAGAATGAGTCAACTGGTAGTCTTTGTGAAATTTGTGAACATTTTATCATAACAGATCAGATATACTATCAAAACTATAACAGGGATCATGGGTAGGTGATATAGGAAACTGATTTGATAGCTGACTAAAAAATACAGGAAATAAACAAAAACTAATGTAGAAGTAACTTTTCAAATTTCTACCAGTTATATCCTTTTTGAACTAAGAGATCAGAAATTTGTTTAAACAAATTTGACAACTCTTCCAACCCCACATTTATTATAGAATATATATAAAAGACAACAGATGCTGCACCAAGGCATATTGCTCATACTGACTTTGTGCCAAGAGAGCTAAAAAATTGTACGAAAGTTTGGACAATAATAACAGTCAAGTCAAAACCACATAGCCATAAAGTAATGATGATTCTGTAGAATTAACAATCATTATCAAACAGTTTATACAGATCCATAAAGCTACTCTCCTGGTAGCGTAAATGATAAATAATATTTTACGGCCCTGTAATAGCAATAAGCCAATTACTTGAAAATGAAGCCAAATGTCCATGGTCACCATCTGGACTTATTGAATGATATTATTTATGGCTAACTTTGACTTTTGTCCAAACCATGTAACCTTTAACTGGTGATTTGCTTGTACTACTACCTTTGGATGTTCCCGCTTCTGGGCTAGTAGACTGAGTCAATGTGGTCTCTATGGAAACCAATATCAAATCATGCCAACTGATATACAACAAACTATGTCTGAATGTATAAGACTAAATGAATTTTACTAAAGAATTGGCTGAAATCAACTGCATCTGGTGTTCATTTACAATCCAAAAAAATATTTAATATACTTTTTAAACTATATCCAACTAATATTAATCTGGTTTTTTAAATGACCCCAACAACCTTAAACTGATACACACCTGCTACAGGAAGAGCTGTTGTCTGAATCATTAATCTTGGCAGCAGCCATTTCTGTTCCTCTTCATCCCACTTACATTCCATACGTATTCTGTCCAAGTTGCTATAGTTACAATCTTTTCGTAGACATGGGTGTATTTTTTCCAACAGTGACTGATAAAGTTGTAGGTCTTTCTGTTGCTTGCGAATTGTGTCCAGGTAATCAATTTTCTCAAACTGAAACTCCGATTGTATGTCAACAATCTCTCGTTGAAGTCCTTCCACCTGGATTGACAAAAAGAAAAAAGTTTTCCCAATAACTCTGGTTTTTTCCCCACTCTAACACCCCTTTATGCCTTCCAATAAAGTCAGCAAGAGTGATTGATATAAGTTGATACAAATGAAGTTACATAACAACAGAGAAAATGTATAAAGATACCAGTAAGTACAAAGTTACCTTTTTTAACTGCAACAGTTTATTTTCCTGGATGATTACAATTTTTACCAAAAGTTGAAACAAAAACAATGTATATCTTTTTGTTTTGTTTATTTGTGAAACGGGCAATGATTTTCTGTTGATTTTATTTGAGTAATGTTTTTTATTTTTAAAATTTCAATTCTTTCTCAAAAGTATGGAATTTCCATGTTTTAGAAATTCTCTTTCTTTAACAAATTATCATTCTTATAAAGAGTTCAATGCAATATAAAACACTGTTCTAGAAACTGTGATTAACTAGAACGGTAAGCCAATGGTTGACTTATACCCGCTTGCTCCCTGTCATTTGCAAAATACATTTTTATAGTACTGACACTGCAATTTGAATAAATATATTGACAGGTTACCAGAGCAGATAATATTTTACTGGAGGGTATATATTAGAAGATGAATAAAGGCAATACAAACCCGTTCTTTTTCTTTCAACAGCAGTGAAGTTTTTGCCTTCACCTCATCCTGAACATTGTCATAAATCTCCAACATAATGTAGTCGTCATCCATGTTTATGATGGCCTCTGGGATATTAAAATACAAATATATATTGGTAGTATTTTCTCATTGCACTGCTTGAAAATATTGATCTAAATAACTATGTTATTTTGGCCCATGTGATCTCTATTCTGCCTCATCTTACAGGGATTTGTGAGCTTTGACCTTGACTTTTCAAATTTTCATTAACAAAGTTTCTACAGAGATTTTAAAAAACTGTCCGTAAGAGACATACCAAAACTCATTATCTACAGAGTTAACAAAATTTAGTTACAGATAATATAGAATATGATGTGGCGCCCACTCACAAATGGACCTAACCATCCTAATGCTGCCAACACATGGACCTAACCATCCTAATGCTGCCAACACATGGACCTAACAATCCTAATGCTACCAACACATGGACCTTACAATCCTAATGCTACCAACACATGGACCTATCAATCCTGATGCCCTCTCACACATTGGCCTAACCATCCTTATGCCACCTAACAAATGGGCCTAACCATCCTTATGCCACCTAACACATGGGCCTAACCATCCTGATGCCACCTAACACATGGACCTAACCATCCTGATGCTACCTAACACATGGACCTAACCATCCTGATGCTACCTAACACATGGACCTAACCATCCTGATGCTACCTAACACATGGACCTAACCATCCTGATGCTACCTAACACATGGACCTAACCATCCTGATGCTACCTAACACATGGACCTAACCATCCTGATGCTACCTAACATATGGACCTAACCATCCTGAAGCTACCTAACACATGGACCTAACCATCCTGATGCCACCTAACACATGGACCTAACCATCCTGATGCCACCTAACACATGGACCTAACCATCCTGAAGCCCACTCACACATGGACCTAACCATCCTGAAGCCCACTCACACATGGACCTAACCATCCTGATGCTACCTAACACATGGACCTAACCATCCTGAAGGCCACTCACACATGAACTAAATCATCCAGATGCCACTAACACATGGACCTAACCATTCTGACAGGTTCCAAATGACAAAGTGTTTTACACTAATTTCGATTTTAATACTAAGGTTGGGCTTGCCAATTAAAACCTTAAGGTAAACAAGTTAATCTATTGTTCAGGAGTTTCAAGGAGTGAAAAGCTGGCCAGTCCTTGTTTACCTGTCATTTATTTGCATTTTTTTTGAGACATCCATCAAAATGAAGTGATATTAAGCATTGCCCACTAGAAAATATGTGACATTATTCGATGTTGGTTATATAGAATACATAGTGAAAAAAACTGTTGTCTCATGAAAACTTGATAGTAACCGAAAAGAGACATCAACCGATGTAACATTAAGAGGTATCCGCTGTATAAATGAGGTCCAATAATTTTGAAACACTCAGGTGCTGCCTTGTGTTAAGCATTGCACTGTAATTTTTTTGTGACCTTACACATGACATTAAAGTCTCTGACATCAATATAGCACTACACTGGGAAAGCCTGGTTTTATCTGTTGTAGAAGCAGTATTCAGAACTCACCAGCTAGTTTCTGTTTTCGTTCATCAGCAAACTTCATGCGTTTCTTGCGTCTGTTCTTCACTTCAGTGTTATTCTTATTTTCTCCACCAACCATTTGTTTCTCCAGTTCTTGAATCCTGTTAACATAGTCATATGTTCAGACATCTGTTGAGTCAGACATGAAATAGAACATTATTGGTATGTAATCTTGCCTCACAATTAACATTATTAATCCAGTTACACAATAAAAACTGACCTTTTGAGGGCCTCCTCCTGCTGCAGTTTGAGGTGTTCCTGCATATTTGACTGAGTGGGAGAAGAGCTAGGAGCCACCATTCCCTCCTGTTCTCCAGTCCTTCCACCTGCTGTAATGGCCCCGTTCATGCCTTGACCATTCATGGCTTGACCGCTCTGGTTGACCTGCTCCTCTTCACCTGGTAACACCTGGCCATCTTGGATTTCCCCGTTTTCAGATGGATATTGCTGTTGAGGCTTATAGATGGAAACAAAGGACATTTGAATATTCCACTACACCTCCATAGATAACTACTATATTTCTAAGCCAAACAGTTTAAAATCTATGTTCTTATTCTCTATATCACAAAGTTATCACTAGTTTGAATTATCAACTAAAATTCAAAACAATTTTTTTACTCGTCAAAGAATCACTCAAGCTTAATCTTTCTTAAATCATTTTACAAAGAAGGAGAAGTAAATAAAGCAAACAGTGAAATTCAACCCGTTACTTTAACAGTACTTTTATGTTTAATATCCTTCCTGAGTTTTAAGGAAGCTGGTTTACTCTTCTATACACTTACGGGTACATTGCCTTTAATGACTACTTTGCTCAAGTCTCCAGTAGGACCTATAACAAACAGGTGACTTATTAAACTTCAAAATTCTGCCAATAACACCAATATCATTATCTAAATACCAATTTTACAGCATATGTGGCTGTATTTTGCTCAATGTTATTCCAATGAAATAGTTTACTCATACAATACAACTTTTGGATTTGTAATTTGAACTGAAGAATTGTGTCAGTAGCAGTAATTTTTACAATAAAAAATAAAATAGAAATTTATAATATATTTTTGTTTTGAAAGTTTTTTTTTACTGTTTTAAAACAATATTAGTGAAATTTTGGGCCAAAATTCAATTTATGACAATGGCATTCACAAAAAAAAAAGACTTCAAACTTAAACTGAAAAATTAACATGTAAAACATGCAAGAACAAAGATTTTTAACAAAAAACTATTTGGTAATGAATACAACATTATATTTCAGAATAAAGAGTGATTGAATAGTAACATTAAAAAGTGATCAAATCTGTTATTCAGAGATTGAAATCTTAATCATAGATTTTGAAAATTCTACTGATGCATAATGTAAAAAACTAAAATATCAAACCCTGTATATCCCCCACATGTGCTTTTGGGGGCATGGATATCTCCCTAGTCTATGACTTAGCATTAAAAATATAGGTTTGTACTTTAATATCTAGCTACATACACTTCATACTTGTACAATATAACTAGCTGACTAAGATAGGCACATGACTATAGCCAATACTAGCTTATTCATCAAAATTGACATAAAGCACCTCCTCTAAAAATACTCTAAATATTATAAAATATCATGCCATGCATAGTACATGTAGTATATGAAAACTTCAAAAATACTTTTTTCCATATTCTGAAATTTCAAATTGTTGAGAAAAGTTATTAGTAGAGTACATAAATCAGTACATGTAAAATGTTTTACAAATAAAATCAACAAGAAATAGATATAAAAATACAAATATCTCATGATTGATTTCAGGTGAACAGAAAATATTCTAATGAGTACAAAAAATTTACACAAGGTGAAATAACCAGCAAAATGGTATTCCCTTAAATATGATTACTATAACAAAAGAAAACAGAAAATTTATGATCCCTTGAACATGAACTCCAAATTAATTTTTGAAAACTGTTGAAATAAAAAAAAAAAAAAAAAACATCAAAAAAGAGCCGGCCAAAATGATTATTGACACAAAAGATGAGATTTTAAGAAAAGGACAATGTTATTTGCAAAGAAGTAAGAAGTTTGATTTTCTGTAATTTCAGAGGTGAGCAGACAAAAGATAAAATATAAGTATGAGTTAAAGGAGAAATGGCTCGGAATGTAGGAAAGTGATGCTTTAATTAATGCTAGTGTACCTTAGAAAAGTAGACAGATTTGTAAAGGTTGAAAAACTTGTTGGATTCCAATTTCATCGTTCTTATACAAAGAAATGTATAAATCAATCAATGTTAAGACAACTGACCGCCCAGGACATTACAAGAGAACTTTACATAAGTCCATCCATTTTATGAAAACAATTTCCTAATTTGTCTCAGAAAGATTTGAAAGTGACGATATTATACCATATTGATAGTGAGAATGGTGAGGGTGTGTGAGAGAAAACAAAATGACATGAAGACACATTTGGGGTTTGTCATCCTTGTAACAATCCTGGCAAAACTGAAGGTACAAGCAAAGTAATTTCATTGGTCTAGAGTGGGTTTCTGGAAAAAAACTGACTAATCCACTTGAAGATTGCAAAGGAGCGGCACCCGACTTCAAAGCCAGCACAACATACTGATATGCGTCCCCCAGATTTGTTTGATGTATATCAAATGACCCATCTAGTCTTCTCATCTTATCCACATAATGTTGCATAGGGAATTTTAAATTTGCCATGAAATGTTCCAGGATGCAGAGAGCAATAGTGAGAACAACTGCTGGAGTAATTAAAATGAGGGTTTGTCAGAGACAATCAATAAGCATGGAGAGAAAGAGTGAAAATTGCAGGAGTTTGTAAGTAATAACACTAATGATACAGATGTACTGTACACCTTTATGGAAGAGAAAACACCAAAACAAAAATAGACTATTTGGAGTTAAAAATTATGACACTATACCAAGGTGACATGTGAGTGTAAACAACACCCCAGAAATCCCTGTCTATGCAGCAAAGAACATCAAAACAGCAATGGAGTTTTTGGAGTTGCAAAATATGACATCATATCATGATGTGATGAGAGTGTATACAACACCCTAGAAATCCCTGTCTATGCAGCAGACAATGTCATACCTGGGCCAGCTGGCATAGTAGCCCCCATCACAGAGCTGGGACGAGTTTCTTGGTCTTCTGTAAATCCTTCATCTTCTCCAGCCCTTGGGGAATCCTCATCCTCATCCATACCCCCAAGAGACCCCTCACTTTCATCTGCCCCTAACTCAGGTGCGGAACCAGGGGCACTGGAAGGACCTGGGGCAGAGCCATTCTGTTGAGGTTGACTCTCCTTTTTCTGGGAGGTACCCTTTTTAGATTTTTTTTCACGAGCAGTGGAAGCTGCCTTTCCGGCTACCACTGCAACGGCTACCTGACCTTTTCCTTTCTCTTCCCTTTCAGACTCTGCATCATTTTCTTCAGCTGTTCAAAGTCAAACATTAGTACATAAAATCAAACATATACTTACATTTATACCACTTCATTTTTATAAGACTCACAAAATGCTATTACATGCAAAAGCATCTAGCAGGAAGATATTTTATCAACTTCTTAATCTACACAAAGCTCCATAGAGTTTTTAAACACATGAAAAACATTAAAGGGAATGGCAAGTCAATTTAGCATTACATGTGCTTAACAATGATGAAGAATTCACCTTTAAACTGAAAAGAAATTAAACATTAAGAAGTATCTCTTTGTAAATTCAATACATATTCGTTTAAGACATTGTCTATGTGATTCATAGTTAGGTGTAGTGTGCTTGATACAAATATAACTGTATAATAAATGTTCTTTGTTGAAACTTGCTTTTCTTTCTTTTTTCAAATGAATATTTATCTCATGTTGGGTGTTCTCCAGATATCAGCTATTCATTCTGGTAGAGGAAAGTGTACCCAGAACAGGAAAAAAGGAAATTGTGACAAAGAAGAACAAAATCTGATTTCAAATTATACAATTTTCAAACTTTCGGATAAGAATATTTTCAAAAAATGTTTCCATACAGAAAAAACAGAATTACATACATACATATGTAATGTGTATATTAATTTGACTTGATTGATTTGCTATAATAAAATAACGAATATAAATTTTGATTCCATTAAAATTGTAGAGATCCTTTGGGTTTTAAACAGTGTTTTGATGAGTGAAAGTTAGCATGAAATCAGACAAAAAATGAGTAAAAAATCTTTTTACTTGTTTTACAATCAGAATTAGTTAAACAGAGGTATGGTCAGAGGTTTTTCTTCCACAAAGACAGCCAAATCAATCTGTGAGATGAATATGTTGAGATAAACTGTACACCTACGATAGTGTCAATAAAAGGAAAGCACAGAGTACATACCATAAACAGATTTTATCACCTTATTTGACAAATTCCATTAATTCTGTATGTTTACCATTTCATTTCTTTAAACTGGCTTTCAAAACTCTCCGAACCATTTTGTTAAGAAAGTGTGTTTGTGACATATTTACTATCCTTTAATACAGCAGGTCAATTAGAAAGATGATCTGTTTTATATGTTTTAGTATGTTGAACATGCCCTGGTCAGTTCCTGAAGTAATTTCACATCAGTAAACCTAGATTGGTAGCAATGCTGGAAAAATTTAGTCATCAAAAACATGAAATCAAATCACCTGTCAAGAGCAAAATTTTAGTGATGCCAAATGCCAGCACTCAAATTTTTAACAAGGAAATGACAAGAAACTGCAATTTCAGAAAAAGACAATCTCAAGAAGCAGAAATCATAGTAAGCAAAGCCGCAGAAGTTTCAGCGGATTGCCAAGAGGTGCTTGAAAGGTCAGTGAGCATCACTCAGTGTACACGTGGAGGTATAGCTGTTCACACAAAAGATGGTTGACTGGTGAAAGGTCAAAGGTTACACTCAAACTTACCCACGGACCCCTGGGACTGTTTGCCCCCCACGGTGGCCTCATGCCACTGTTCCTCATTGCCCTCCTCATTGATTTTAAGTACTGAACATGGAGAGAATTAAACACCTTATCAACAGTGAAAACGGAAAAAAAAATTCTTACATAGGGCAACTATTAATATGTATTCTTACTCTATCATATGTAGAAAACTGAAATAAGAAACTGTTAATACATATGTACTTTGATTTATCATTTATGTTTCAATGATACACTGATTTCAAATCATTATGAATTTTGAAGAGAAAGAGTCCTTGCATTCTTAATTCATTTATAAATTAAATTAAGTATTAGTTTGAAGTTTTGTACATTGATGTCAATTGGTCAGATTAGGTTTTAGCTTTAAAATCAATCAGCACATCCATACAGATAGACAGCAAATATCAGACGAGCAAAATAACTGAAACTGTTACATTTACATCTTGTGTTTGTTAATTTTAAAATGAACATGATAACTTGAGTGTAAACGTTTCATTCTGTATAAAAATTTCCCAAAATGATGGGAGCCTTTGACAGTGTCACAAGATAGAGTTCTAAGTCACTACAGTGTTGATCGCTGGAAAAAACCTAAATTTCTCTGCAATATCACATCTAGAATGTTTTCCATCATATATCATTTAAACAAATTATCAATATGGTATGAAACAAGGACTAAAACATCATGATTATTCATTTATGAAATACAAATTGAGGGGAATAATAAATGTAAAGTTGTTAGCAGCTAAATTTCAAAGACTTTTAATAAACAGTCAGCTTAATTGTTTCAAATTAGTACTGCAAAATTACTCGGTGCGCAATCCACAATATCTGTGGATATGGTAAATTTAAAGAGAAATAGCAAATTTTGAGCAAATTTCAAAAGAGTTGCTAAATAAGTCTTTCAAGGACATTTTCTAAATTTATACAATGCTAAAAATTGTTTATAAAACAACTCTCAAACAATAGATAGACTTCTTTGAAATGTGTTATGTAGCTCTAGTAGGACTGAAACAGTGGCAATATAATATCATTACAGCGGTGCATATTTTTTTCAGGGTATTTGTAATGGCAGTTCAAATACAATCACAGCAGTACTTAAAGAGACATATTTCGAAGGGATTATTGGAGCAGACAATGGATCAAACCAGGCGCTGATTTGATACATAATATGACCAATGTATACACCAAGTTTCATTGTCCAAGTTTAAATGTAAGCAATTCAAAGTTGTTCTCTGGTCAGTAAATTTTAACAAAGGGCAATAACTCTGTAATTAAGGGGTTCCTGGCGTCGAATTTTGTATACTGCACATCAATTTAATATGATCATTGTATAAACCAAATTTTAATAACCTCCTTTCAATATGCTCCAGACACAAAATTTTAACAAAGGAAAAAAACTTGGCAGAAGACCGTGAATTTGGTACACTGCAAATCAATTACCTCAGTATGACCACTGAATACACAAAGTTTCCTGACCATTGCTTTACTATGGGCAAAGTTATGCTCTGGACAAGACAGGAACAATGAATGGACGAATGGACGGATAGATTGATGTAGAGACAAAGCAATAACTCCATGCTCCCCCTCGAAAATATGTGGGATGCACATAATAGAAAGAAATAAAATTACAAGAATTTGATGTTTTCATCTTATTTAAATTTGCCTCTTAATTTGTTTTTTTGGACAAAAAAGGCCCTATCCTAAGTTGAAAAAAAAGCCCTGATTCAGTATTACTTTGGTGTAATTTATTCTGGAGTATATATATACATGAGGTGACAATTCAGTATCTGGAGTGTATAGATACATGAGGTGACAATTCAGTATCTGGAGTATATATACAATGGTACTTCAGTAGCATTGCAGTGGTGTAGAGTTATCTGGGATACATATCTGATGTAAGTGATGATTCAGTAAAGCACAGTGGATTCCTTCATAAAAATAAATCCTAAATGAATTTCTTCTGCTTATACAAAATAAAAACAGTTGAAACTTACAAGTAATATGTTTAAACCCACAAAATCAATGGTATAAACCGCCCTGGTATTAAGGACTCATTTGTGTCAGGCATTGTTTTGATATATCTAGTAATACTCAAGGGGAAAAACTGCTAGCCTACCATGGTTATACCAGTGTATATGAAACTTTGATAAAGGTAACTAATAAATGATTGTACTATACAATATTGATGTAGAACTGATATCTGATTATCTAAGGTATAGCTTCTAATATCACTTCGTATCATCAACTATATACACATATATGACTTTCCCAATTACATTGCTAAAGCCCCAACTTTAGAAATTCCACAAAGTCATCAGTTCCATAATTGAATGGCCAATCAGAACTAAATGTTTTTATTCAAAATTAACTATTGCAAATATAGAACAGGGAACAAAAAAGTGTGGGATATACATTCAAAACTGTACTACACACTGTCGAGTCCAATCACATGACAGATAGTCATTTTTACATCAAAATCTATAAAATCATTTTCTGTGGAATTACACATTTTCATTTCATTTTAAAATTCTTATTTCATTTCAATCACAGACTGTTTTGTGATTGTATCCAATCAGTGTGTGTTGATAGTGTGCTCAGGTGCAGTGATAGCAATGAAACTTGTCATATTTGTACAGAACAGTTTGAGAGCAACACACTTTGAAATCAAAGACAATGATAAGACTGCAATTCAAATTCTGTCATTGTACACATCCAAGATATTGGAATATCTTGACTTAAATATCATCTAAATAAAGGATGGAAAATCACTCTGACTTTATAGCCATCTTTGAAATCTTGACATAGTCAATAATGAAAGTAAATGAGAAGCATCAAGTATGGTATCAAAAAGTAAAGAGTTTGTCATTCATCATGGCTACTGTTCTCAAAACGTTTATCAACAGTAGTAAAAATATTAATATTTTTTAAATTATCAAAATTTACTTTTTTTCTTTTACTTTCTGCTTTCTGAAATTTTATTTATGATAATCAATGCCTAGAAACCTTATGAACTGAAGGAAAAACAGGTAGAATGTTTATCACAAAAAAGAAGTTATATATAAAAGCTTTGTGAGAGTACAACACATGCAAACAGTGCACAAATTCACACAAGAAGGCCCAACTTGCACAGACTCTCTAGAGTTTTTGAGGAGGCTGAATCATTTTCTTTACCTACTTTTTAAAAAATATTGTAATGTATCTTAAAAGTTTTTTCAATAAAATGAAATTGTATGTAAATTTTAAGATTACTTTTCTGAATTCATCAATATATGATATTTTGAACCATTCTCAAAATGATTTAAAGAGGCTTTGTGCAAATACTGATCAAAGGACAAGGCATGATAACTATGCTTGATTTAGAAAATTTAACACTATCATTTCCTTAGGCCAATGGTAGTAAAATATTTGTGGAATGAAGCTGTATAGACTTATAGAATCAGATTCTAAATCAACAAAATGTTTTGACCTCATTATCTAAGAAGGAAGTTAAAGTGAATTCAGAGACACCTGAAAACATTTTACTGCTAGCATGTTGACAATGGATGCTGGCTAATGCTGTTACATATGATCATGGGCTCTTTTTTTTAAACCCCCGAGTTAAAAATAAACTTGATATTTTTTAAAATCTACACCTGTGATTATAATTGTCTTTAAACTTCTAAAGTTATCTTTCTAATTTTAAACAAACTGGGATAACATGAATTCCACACCAACAAGTCTGAGTTTAGGACTGTGAATAAACATCTTGTTCTATTTTTTCAATATCATCAGAAGCAGAACTAGAACTCTGATGAGTTAGGTAAAAACAAGCACCTTATCATACCTTGTCTTTACTTCAACTTAATCCAAACACTTGTTAGATTAATATTCATGTTTGAACCCATAGCAACAAACACATGCAATGCAGGTAGGTGGTCATGGATGGGGTGAAATGGATGATTGGCACTCACTAGCTCCTCCTTCGACTCCGCCTCCCTCCTCCTTGTTCCACTCTATCTCCCCCAGGACTACACATCACCAATACAGGACAAAATCATCAGACCAAAACACAGTAATTTGCATATAACCCACCTTAACAATTGATTGATAGGTAGAGTGACCAATCAGTGGACATCAGTTGTATGATTGGATGACTGATGCAATGATGAATTTACCTATCACATACTGATTCTGTCAACTGATTCAAGGAAGAATGTTGGTTTTATTCAATCCAGAAACGTTTAAAACATTTTCAAATTCCTTTGAAAATTTTAATAATTTTCTTTTGCATTTTAGCTATCCATTCTAAACACTTCCTGATTTAACATATTTAAAACATAAGGATCAATTTTAGGAACTAGCTTCAATAATTTCAGGATCAATTTTATATGATGATTGGGAAACAAGTTTTTACTAAAAATAACCTCCGTTTACAGAAAAATATAAATATGAAATTCTGAAGAATCTGGAAGTAATATAAATAAATTTCACAAGGGATATAGCACAATTTGATGAAGTACAACACTTCACTTTTTGAATAAGGAAAGAAAGAATATTTAAGGATTTGTTTTAAAAACCCTGCTCAATTCTGTACAAAAATTCTGATTTTCATCTTTTTCAATCAAATTTCAATTTTTCCCAACATATGCCAATGAACATTTCAGTATGTGTTAGGTACATATATCTATATTATGCAGTCCTCTGTTTTAGGTAGGGTCATGCGTTGCTTAAATTGCATAGGTTTTAAAAAAACTACTGACAGATGATGGTTATAATGACAGCAATATGTGAGACCACAAGCAAAACCAGACTGATATAATCTTAACATATAATTTCAATTGATTCCAGTGAAGTAAAGTGTTTTTACCTAAAAGAATGCAATACAGTCAGACTGTCTCATTGTAGTATTCTAATAATTTTTTAGATTTAAGCTTCACCAATCAAATAATCTGGTTGTGCTTGTGTAAAAATAATGAGAAAATTATTGACAAAGTTTATTAAAACCACTACTACCAAGATCAATATTATGGAAAATGTAGCCATGCAAATTTAAATGAAACATTTAAAACTGTAGTTACTTTTACTAGCACCAATTAATGAAAATCATTAACCAAACACCTAAATTAAACCATCAAGCATCTAAAAAAAACCCATTCACTGATAGTAAATATAAACACACAACAAAAATTCACAACATGTTTACTTTAACAGTGTGTGTGCACTATTTGATATGTTACAATTGATAATGAAACCTGTATTTAACCATTTTTACTTCAAAATGAGCTCTCCATATCACTAGTCTTCACTTCAACTTTAGTATTAAGAACATGCTGTTAAGTCAAAGGAAGGCAGCTACATACTGAAATATTGTTTGTAAATCAAGAAAAAATAAATACCGGTAGTATGCAAAAAAAAATACTCCTCAAAATTTTTCATAGTGATATATATGTATATATATTTACATATAAAATATTTGATGATAAAATATTTTCAGTGCTGTTGAAAAATTCAGAGAAAAATTTAAATGAAAACAATGTGAAATATGATCATGATCACTGCAGAAAAAATGGCTATTTCACTGAAAAATAAACCAATTAGTAACAATTCAATATCACAGTTTCTAAGTCTACCCAATACACAGCTGGTATGTAAACCTGGCTCTAAACTACTAACAATACATGCAATTATAGGTTATATCAAGAAATTGGTTGCTATTTAATTATTTCACTGTAAACATCAATACTGCCACAATTGAAATATTCCATATCAAAATTTTGAAACCCCCCACCCCACCCCACCCCTTTTTCCTGTTAACCCTAAATCTACTATGTTTTGTTTACATTTTTTGCACATGGCTGCCGGAAACCAACTATGTTGACTGGATAGAAATGTACATATGAAAAGTGCAAGTTTTGTTTTATTTTAGTTTACAGTTATATCAATACACAAAGTTCATGAGTTCACATTTAGAGGTTTTTATTTCAAAATATTGTTGTTAGGACTTGTTACTCCTAAGGATATAAATGTGAGTACAATATGTGTACTACTTTAGGTATCAATTTTGTGTTACGTGTATGTTTGCTGCAATTCCATGTGTTTCACATTACATTTTTTGTTTTATATTCCTTCTTATAATTGTTTATTTAAATAATAGATATTGTTAGTGTATGAAAATGAATTTTTATTCTTTAATTCTTATTTATAACTATGATGCCACGCTATGAGACGTGTGTGACAAACCACTGATGAAAATAGGGTCAATTTTTTATGCACAATGTCTTCATTCATAGAAACACAGTTAAGTCAAACCTATATATTACAACAAAACAGAAACCTTTACAATTATGCAGTGAACTTCAAGAACTGTTTAGTTTTTCATGGTGGGCTCCAGACTGATTATCTTTTTGTGTTTCATGTAAAGAATTTTCAACAATTTAGCAAATCCAGTAAACTTGGTTTTGAAATCAGAAACTGATAAAAGTTTTTGATGAAAAAATCTTGACAAGAACATTCAAATGTGGAGTACTGAGGTTTAAAAGCCAATCTCTAGCCTATTATGAAGAAACTCTTCTGTTGAACTACTTTATATATTATGTTAATATGTTACCATAGTAACCAACCTGCAGCAGTGGGTGGCAAGCCTTTCAGTTGTCCATCAACAGAGGAGAGTTTACTATCATAGTATTCCCTCAGTTTGACGAGATTCTGTTCTGCCTTGGCTTTGCTAACTTTTTCTTTCTCAAATTCCTCCTGCATTTCCTGCATCTTGGCATCATATTCCTATCAAACACAAATGATTCTTGAGATGTGAATTTCATGAATGACTTCCAACAACATGTTTTTAATTGTCATGTTGATCACTTTGTCCATTAAATTGGAAAATAAAAGACATTTGACTTTGTCTTCATAAGAATTTTTTCACTCGCTCATGAAAGTTGAGGCAACGGAACAAATCAGATAAAAGAAGTGTTAACTTCTGTAAATATGCTTATTGTTTTATTGGAAGTAGATTTCAGGGAATACCCTGAACTAAGCATTTCAAAAAACTATGAGAAAACAATAAATTTTAAATGTATTTGAAGTACAGTAACACTGCCTACTAACCAATCTTATGCTTTCTTTTTCCTCCTCCAGTTCCTTCCTAATCTGCTCTGTGTTATTGCTTGGTGGTGCATGTCCGGCCTTAGCCACTTCCCCAGGAGCACCTACAAAGTACATAACATTACACAGGTAACATAACTAGATATGAAGTTTATCAATCCATACTTGCAGACAGATAAATACCTTTTATGTTTAAAATACCTTTTACACTTAAAACAATTTTGAAAAGAAGCCTGCTGCTTTTAACTCTATCAACTTCCTATTCTGAATAACAAGGAAATTTGACTTGAAACAAATATACAGATTTTCATATAATTAAAAAAGTACTGCAAAAGACTGCTGAATGTGCACACCTATATAATAAGTGCATGTACATTTAAGGGTTGAAAATACTGAAAATATACTTCGACTTGCATAATGTGTGCACCCAAAATTTCAGTCAAAACCTTCTCCGGGAGCCAAGAAACTGACCTCAGATTGTTCAGGTAACATGTCTGACCAACGATATAAGGTCCAAAACTTGTAAGTATACTCTTTATAAAAAATTCATTTTCATATCATTTATTGACTTTTAATTACTTACTTTTCTCTTTAATTACAGTTACAATACAATAGAAGAAATCTGCCTAATGTTGTGCACCACTTGTTTGATTGACACCAGACACATAATGCTGCATCACACACTTACCTAACAAAATCATCTAGACTTATCAATCTTGCATACACAAACATTTCTTTTCCCTCTCTAACCAACAGTGTTCATTGTTGCAATAACAGGTACCAGTAATTATCTACCTATTAATGACCAAACCAGATAAAAACAATATCTGCAAAGTCAAGTTGTCTTTTGTGACTCATGGTCATATTGTGCATGATCCATCAACTATCCATATATTTACCTTGGAAACCTCCCTCTGGGATAGGGAGCTGACCCATCAACTATCCATATATTTACCTTGGAAACCTCCCTCAGGCATTGGAAGCTGACCCATCAATCATCCATATATTTACCTTGGAAACCTCCCTCTGGGATAGGGAGCTGACCCATCAACCATCCATATATTTACCTTGGAAACCTCAATCTGGGATAAGGAGCTGACCCATCAACATTGCCTTAAGCTTGGTGATCTCCCTCTGGGATAGGTAGCTGACCCATCAACCATCCATATATTTACCTTGGAGACCTCAATCTGGGATATGGGGGCTGACCCATCAACCATCCATATATTTACCTTGGAACCTCCCTCTGGGATAGGTAGCTGACCCATCAACCATCCATATATTTACCTTGGAGACCTCAATCTGGAATATGGGGGCTGACCCATCAACCATCCATATATTTACCTTGGAAACCTCCCTCTGGGATAGGGAGCTGACCCATCAACCATCCATATATTTACCTTGGAAACCTCCCTCTGGGATAGGGAGCTGGCCCATCAACCATCCATATATTTACCTTGGAAACCTCCCTCTGGGATAGGGAGCTGGCCCATCAACCATCCATATATTTACTTTGGAAACCTCCCTCTGGCATTGGGAACTGACCCATCAACCATCCATATATTTACCTTGGAGATCTCAATCTGGTATATGGGGGCTGACCCATCAACCATCCATATATTTACCTTAGAAACCTCCCTCTGGGATAGGGAGCTGACCCATCAACCATCCATATATTTACCTTGGAAACCTCCCTCTGGGATAGGGAGCTGACCCATCAACATTGCCTTAAGCTTGGTGATCTCTTCCTGGTATTCCCTCAGTAGGGCATCCTTGGGGTCCTCATTAATCTTTGGTTTGTTCTGAATATTCTTGGCTCGGTTGGCATAACGTAATGTGCTTATGGTCTCCTCATAATTGTTGTCAGCCGGAGACAAACAGGCAACCATGAGTGTTTTTGTATTACCTAGAAAACAGCAAAATAAGTTCTCACTAAAAAAAAAGACACAGTACAATTAGTGTTGGATCCTGTCAATGTGATGATATTAACAAACGAAAGCAGTCTGTATTAAAAAAAAATAAAAAGTTCTGGTAAATTCATTTGCCTGTAATTAGTATAAGAAAGAGAAAATGTTGATACCTCCGAGTGAATCCTGGAGAAGACGGGTAAGCTTGGAATCTCTGTACGGTATATGTTTGGTTTTTGCATCAACAAGTGCTGATATGACATTTCCAAGGGCAGACAATGATAAGTTAATCTTCGTGGCCTCTTTCAGACGGTCTCCAGTAGCACCTGAGTGTCAAAAATATTTCAGAATTATGTGCAGGATACCTTTAGCTGTATATATATTTTAAAATTCATTTCCATCACAGGATATGTCTGAAACAAAATGTATTCTGTATATAGAAAGCAGCTTTATCTACAGAAAGCAACTGTAAGAACTTTTGGCATAAACTTCAATTTAAGTATGCTAATAATGTAAAATGTACTTTTACAAGTCCTCTGGAAAATTAATATGGATTCACAAAAGGGCAGCTGAAGTGTTATGTGCCATTAGTACATGACAGCTGGAAAACTTTCACATCATGATGTCCCAACGCTGATTCACCTGTTTTGGACTGCCTTTCACTTCCAGCCAGATCAACAAGGTTGAGCTTTCCAGCACGGATATGTTCTTCCCCTTCAGCATCTTCCTGTATCATCTCTAAGTTAATGGTAAAGATGCTGTGGCTGCGAGAAGAGTCTGCATTCATCAGTGTGGCACCTGTTGCACGGTTCTTCCAACCCTTGTCCATGATCCGTTCACATTCAGTGACATTGTGTACTGGGTGCATTGAGAGTCCTAGAATTCAAAGATCCAATTGGAGGTGATTTATCAAAGTAATGCAAATAAACTATATTTTTCTGTCAATAAAAACTCAGTTTGGGTTGCCATAGATATGCTCCCATCTTTCAAAAGCTGTGAAATGTGACCTTTGTTCCTGTACCTCGACAAATGCTCCCCAAAATATTTTAGGTGAAGAACTTGATATCATGATACCTTGATGTAAATATCATCTACATTTCAGGTGTTCATGCCATACTTTGTACACAAACTTTTGATTCCCAATGTGGTTACGTGTGATATCTGACCATTTGCCCACAACCAATACAACCAAAATTTTATACACAGAGCTTGGTTTTAGGATATAAAGATGAGAAAGTGAATTATAAATCTATTGAGGAATTTAGGAATTCATGACATCTCTGCAATAGGTTCAATATTTTTGTTCTGACAGACAATCAAAAAGTTATAACTATTTATGTCCCTTCCCATTCTTTTTACTTGTGGGGATTACCATAATCACAGTCTCAAAAGCAAAAGATTGTTTAAGTATGGTTGATGTCTTAAAAGATTGTTTTTTGCAACCACCTATGGTACATGTATAGGCAAACATACCACTGACATAAACTCCTTTCTCAGGGTGTTCTTTAAGATCCATCTTTGCTTTGGCATCTTTTCCCAACAAATCCCTAATTTCTTCATTGTAGATTTCCAAATATGATGCATGAATGAGAAATTTTGTGTCTTCTGCCACAGACACCGTCTCAAAAATGTGGTCAAATGCTCTGAAAGAAATCAGGACATCAAAATAGTGTTATGATTTCAAATTAAAACAATCCTTCAACAATTCAAGCTAGGTAAAATTCTTCAGGAGAAATATTCACATAATCTTGACATGGATAATTAAACAAATGAAGCACTGGTAACAACATAGCTTTCCTTAAATTGCAAATAATAAATAAAAGGATCAACAACACATGAAATAAGATTCTGCAGTAGCTTTTAACTAAATTCCACTTGCAAGTGATGGCTTTTTATTCATTCATTGTTTGGTGTTCATTTTTTTTCTTTCTTTTTTTTGGTTTTAACATGTTGTGCTACCTTGATTATAGATATAAAAACGTACAGCATCTGCCATACAAAAGCTACTTGCAACTGTATGATAAATACACAAATCTTTATAAACTGGAATCCAAAGAAATGTAGACAGTGAGGATATGCTAACCTTGGAATGATGCCCCGCTGTGATGCAGGGTTCGTGATACCTTGCATGGTGAATGATTTGCCACATCCTGTCTGACCGTAAGCAAAGATCGTCCCATTGTATCCCTCTGTCACACCCTACAAAACAGTCAGAATTTCTGTTAATGTCTTTTGAAACTTCATGACAGCTGTCACAAGATTCAAAAATGATTTGGTGCCCACCATCATATTATCTTATAAAATTATTATATTGTTTCCTTAACAGCTGGATATTCTTTCTGGTCTCATCCAGCCAAAATTCAACTATACACAAGAAAGAACAAAGGAAAAAATACATATCAAATTTGAGAATTATCCAACCAAAAGTTTCTCAAGAATTTACAGTAACAGCCCCCTAAACATAACCAAAATGGAGCTTATGGGTTTGCAAGAAAAGCTTAGCAATAAATCTGAGGAAGTCTGTTCCATGACTTTGTTCCGTAGTCCAAAACTTGCCCCATTTGATGAAAATAAGGATTCCTGTCTGCAATGACAAAAGTTTTATGCTACGACCCAACATTGGGACAAGTTGCTACATTGGGCTACCAATCTCAGTGTTCTCCTCAAGGGAGTACTCAGGCTAAGATCCTGTAACATCCTCACCTCGACTAATGCCTCGATTGGGATCATGTTACAGGATCTTAACCTTTGACCGAGATACCCCGATCTCACTCAGTTACAGTTAACAGATTTTTTTAATCCAGAACTCCATTACCAAAAATCATTCAAACAAACTATAACAGGAGTAATCAAGGAAGGCTGTTTGTTTGACAGAGTACCTAAATACATATGAAATTAATAGAAGATTTATCAAATTCATATAAAGAAATAGCAATCGATCTAACAGGTTTGCAAATAGCAATAAAAAATTTCAACAGTCAAAAACCAAGATAGTGGACTAATAGCTATTTTATTCCAGATCAGACCTAAGCATACCTGCCAACTTTCTTGATTCATTTGTGAGTGTTCCGATTTTCACTCCTCAACCCAGTCTCCCGATTGTATGGATCAAAATTAGGGCAATTTTCTGGATTTCAGAGATCTTGCTTGATAAGTCATATGTAACCTTCCTATATCTGTCAAATAGGTAAGGTTGACCATCTGGCCACATAATCAAGGCCTAGCTAGATGAATACACATCCCAAATATCTTATTAGTGTCACCCAAGTTAATCCTTGCTGACCGCTATGTATGGGAGCACATGTTTGTAGTCCTCCCAGCTACCTAATTTAGTAATTAATGATAGACCATTGGTCAGGACTCAAGAGCAGGCCCTTACCAATAATCAGTTACAATGTGGTCATTACACAGATAATTATCATGTATATACTACCTATTTGGCCAAATAACATTCTTTATGATATAACAATGTTGATAATTTAACCATATCAGTCCTTTACAAACTATTTGGTTGGCATCCTGAGTAGAAAAATTAGATCAAAGAAACATTTCTTTTGCAATAAAGGACCAGTTCTGGACAAGATTTAAAATATCATGGACTATTTAATCTAAATTAAAGTATTTTGAATTTCGAGAACAAAAATTATTTCATCTTTCTTTTTGCCTGATTCTCTAAAATTTTGATAAGATGACAGCTTAAAATTTCACAAGGTGATCAATATTATTTTCTCCTTATTTCAATGAAATAAATTCTTTCAGAAACATCATATATTTGGAAACACATATTATTACCAACAACCAAACAGATAATCATAAATCTTAATATCTGTTACATTGTTTGATTTAAATAAATACTCAAAATCTTAATATCTGTTACATTGTTTGATTTAAATAAATACTCAAAATCTTAATATCTGTTACATTGTTTGATTTAAATAAATACTCAAAATCTTAATATCTGTTACATTGTTTGATTTAAATAAATACTCAAAATCTTAATATCTGTTACATTGTTTGATTTAAATAAATACTCAAAATCTTAATATCTGTTACATTGTTTGATTTAAATAAATACTCAAAATCTTAATATCTGTTACATTGTTTGATTTAAATAAATACTCAAAATCTTAATATCTGTTACATTGTTTGATTTAAATAAATACTCAAAATCTTAATATCTGTTTCATTGTTTGATTTAAATAAATACTCAAAATCTTAATATCTGTTACATTGTTTGATTTAAATAAATACTCAAAATCTTAATATCTGTTACATTGTTTGATTTAAATAAATACTCAAAATCTTAATATCTGTTACATTGTTTGATTTAAATAAATACTCAAAATCTTAATATCTGTTACATTGTTTGATTTAAATAAATACTCAAAATCTTAATATCTGTTACATTGTTTGATTTAAATAAATACTCAAAATCTTAATATCTGTTACATTGTTTGATTTAAATAAATACTCAAAATCTTAATATCTGTTACATTGTTTGATTTAAATAAATACTCAAAATCTTAAAAATCTAATTTTACAGAGAATTCAGATTTGATAAATTCCAACTTGATCCTGACATGCAGAAAAAAAATTAAAATCATCAGTATAGAAAGGTGAGCACATTGTGAACTCAAACTTATCTAAAAATATTGATTTATTTTACATTAATTTTTTTTTCCTGTGTGGAAAATGTCACAAGGTATTATGTTGAGTCAAAAATGTTGTTCACACATTTTTCTCCTTCATGAGAATTTCGAAAAGTTGGCAGGTATTCCTAAAACTGACTGCAAGCATAATTAGGGGCCAAGAATAGGAAATTCCAAAAAGATCAGCCTTTCTTTTTTCCCCAATCAGTCCTAAAACTGAATGTGACACAACTATAAACCTTGGAGAATATACAAATGAAACAAGAGAATGATCAATTCTGTAGTTCCTAAGAAATAGGGAGTATTGTCTAAGGACACCAAGGCACAACAAAAAAATCATAGCTTATCCTGAAAGGTGGATTTTGATGAGACAAGTTTTATTGGGAACTAGTCTGTCAGCTGAGATTTTCCTATGTAATTCCATGATGCATTAGCAATATAACTGTCTATAATATACCTAACCACTGACAATTACTTTCTTTTTTGAGTCATTTTTTTGTGGAAAATCATTAAATAAAACTGTCTGTACATAACCATAGGCCCTTATCATCTCTCGCACTATAACAGCTGACTAAATCATGAATGTTGATACCCATAGCATGTCTCAAATATTGGGTATAAGTGGTCCACACTAACACAATCTAATACCATAAGAAATATATCAGCTTAACCCACAGGTCAGGGTTTTTAAAAGATTTATTGTCCTTAATTGCTAGTTGTGTCTAGCACTTAAGCTGAAGGTTAAATATAGCATAATATTACAGCTCAATTGGCACAAGAGAATCCTCATGGTGGTACTTTTGATAGACAGAGGGATAAGGAATAGTAGTTCTCTCTGGTTTCACTGATAAGAGACTAATAACACAACATGTCAGGTTTCTTCTAATACGAATATTTTTTATGCAAATTGTATAAGCAATTAAAACAACAATAAAGAACTGAAGCATACTCACCTCCACCAGTGGGTAGGCTATATCTGCATATATATTTTCTGTTACTGAGTCTGTGAAATAAGATCCATCAAATGTGAATACTTTTGGAGGTGCCTTTGGATCACTTGGATTTTTTATGGTACACTGAGCACGTTTGCTATCCATACTAAGAACACATTCACATTTCAGCTCTTTTTCTCGTGTGTTCATTGGACGACACCTCACAATTACCTTAACACATTCCCCATCAGACATCTTGACGGTCTGAAAATCAAAATTATTTTTTTTTATTAATATTAACATTAACAAAGTGTGTGCATTTATCAAAAACAGCGTGTTTACTGAAAGATATCACAGGTACCTGAAAGTTAGTCTCCTCAAAGATATCGATTCAAAAATGATCAATAAACTTGGAGGGCGAAACAACAAATAAGCAGTACATGATACAAGTTGTTTCCCAGATTAATTCTCATCAATTATTTTGTCATTTTCCAAAATTACTAAAGGCTATTTTTAGTATACATCTCGAGTTAAAATACTGCATTAAGACTTGCTATAATTAGTAAAACACCAAACAATGAAATACTTACATTTTAGTACACACCGGACAAATAAAGTTTTCTGAAGTCTAGATTTTCCGTAATATGGTTTCCTTGGAAACAAGTACGCTGTCTAGTATCAGCTGTTTTTGAGGTCACCTATATTTAAACTGGGTCCTTTTGCAACACATTTTGTATAGTGCTATATGTCAAATTTCAATTAAAATAAAACGAATTTTTATGACAGTGTCGTGTTGTTGATGGAATGCGTAAACAGCAGTTTCCAGCACTCAGCTGTCACTTTCGAGCTTTCCTGGCAAAACTATGTCGCAAAGGATCATGGGAATGAAAGACGCCAAATCGGAATACCTCACGGCTTTTTAATGTGCTACGATCTCTTTCCGAGTATTGAGATTGTAGGTGTCACACACTAATTTTCAACTGTACTTATTGCCTTTGTTAGTCATCCATGTATACCCGTGTATAAACATCGAAAGTATACAGTTAAACCTATACACATCGCCGATCATTATTTTATTGCATGTCAGAAGGCAAACATGATGGGCAAAATAACATTTTTTTTTAAATTTTACTCTTACGATCAGGGACGTATATGACGTCATATACGTCCCTGTTACGATTAATGTCTGAAATTACTCGCAACCCTAAATCCTTGCTCATAAGTCAGATCACTCCATAAATCGGGTCGATTTTCACCAAAATTGCATCCCTAAATCTTTCGAAATTATGAACAAAAGAATGATTAATACGGAGATCCAAGAAAATTACTTGGCAAAAAAACACCATGTCTTCTCAGGGCATTAGTGTCATGCAAATCCTAGTAAGTAAAAAAAAAACTATGAAATATTACCTGATTTATAATTAAAATACAAATTCTATGAAACTTAGGCAAGATATGAACAAATAAAGGCGTTAAACGGACACCCAAGAAAAAGTTTAAATAGAATTAGACCAGAGGTTCCAGTTGAGTATGTATCTTCTGCATTCATCGACGACCCCGTCTTGTAAATCTTTATTAAGTTCAGTAAGTATGGTCGAGTCCCTTATGAACACAAAATGTCGAACTTGATATCACACAAAGAAATAGAATACTAAAAGAACTTTCCAATACTCAGTCAAGCGTATATTTATGATATGGTTATACGTCGTCCTTTGAAATGTCTTACTTATATCACAGATGTAATATTCTAAGCCGTGCATTAATGTAATATTTCCATCTTTGCAAACAAACAAAATATGACTGAACTCGGATCCCGTGAAGTTTTTCGCTAGTTTATAATCAGTGCGAGTCATTTCGGCCAATCGAAACGTTCGGGTTAAATTTCTTTTTTTTTTCTTCGTTCAAATAAATTAATATCAATATGTGGTACTTAAGTTATGATTTAAGAAAACAATTTATTGCATCTTTTTAAAATTTAGTATAGATATTTTCCAAAAAATAATTTGAAGTCACGTTAGAACGAGATATCAACTCCATACCGGCAAACATGGCGGACAAAACTGAGAAAGAGGATTCTGCTGTAAGCGAAAAGAAGGAAACTAATAAGAAAGATGAAAAGGAAAAGGAAACTGAAATGGTATTCTTGAAGTTTTATCCTTTATTTTCATAAACATCGTCCAATTTTGTGTACTTGTGTGTGTTATATTACCAAATCAGTCTTTTACTTGACCCACGCACTCGATTTGAAGTCTTCAAATCTGCTGTGTCACATCAGTATATCACATAGAACTTTGCATTTGTATTCAAGCGATATTTTCTAAAACTCTTTTAAATGTTTAAATCACGATTTAAGGAAATTTCATGTCTCACCATCGAAACATGTGGATAAATGTATGCAAGTACCAAAATTGCAGCGATGAAATTCAACCAACTCACGGAGATTGTCTTCTGACAAAAAAACATTTGTTTTACCAACTCGTTAGATTCTTGTCCATTTTTTTATGTGCACACCATAATAACGACCAGGTATGGCCCAGTTGTTTACATTTGCCCTATATAAAACAGAATTCAGCATCATGAAATATTGGTTACATCTGTGATAACCCTTTTTATATATACAAAAAAAAGTTGCAATTATGTAGTCTTGCGTTACAGCCAGTTCAGAATCCGAGTCCATGTTACATTCCAGAATATTTTGTAAGAAAAAAGGGTACCGATGTCGTATACCAGCAAATCTTAATATTGTCGTGCAAAGCTATTTTACAATATTGTGCAATAGTAAATCTATTGCTGAATGGAAAGATGTAACAAAGACACTAAATTGTGTTTGGTGATAGCGATATAATTCACCACAGGCTTTTTATCTGCTATGTGTTGAAAGGAAAAGAGTTTTTCTTGCATATATTGGGTTTTCTTGTGTTATTGAGGCTTAGAATCAAACATATTAGTAACATTTGAGAGTAATTCATCAGGATGCAACGAAGGACTCTAAACCAGATCAAAAATGTACAATGAAACAAACCTTGACTATAATTTGTCATATTACTGCATGTTCATCTAATGTTCGGAAGGTAACATTGGACTTGCATCACTGCTGTTTCAATATATAGGTCATCTTTTGTAGGACATCTATCATGATGTCGTTAAACATGTATACCAATGCACTCATAATAAGAGATAAATAGGTTTGGTGTCAAAGGCCAGGACATAACATTATGACATGATTTACACAAGTGCTAAATGATTTTTTTAAAACATGTTAAGAAGGTTTCTAATACATTTTTAATTATTACATCACCAACCGATTCTGCCAATTATGTCCAGGTGCTAATTTTTCAAAATGTTGTAAATGTAGATTAATGTACATATCTGAAAAGTAAATACATCTCAGCAATTTTTTCAGTCTTAATCCATCGAACAAAACAGAAATGTTGCTTGTGAAAATGTCTCCTCTCGACTATGGACACCAAAAATGGTATGGTATCCATGCCAAATGAAATTTAAATGCAATAATGCTAATAAAAATTGTGATGTAAATAATTCATGATATTACAAATTGTTTTGGTAGCTATGTCCTATTATTTCAATTGATATTATTCAGTAAACAAGATTTGGAGATATATTCAAAGGGAGCAGACATAACAAATATCTTCCCTTCTTATATACATATAGTCAGATTTGACTATATAGCCAAATTTGCTAGTGCTCTAGTACCTGTATGTCTGTAATTTATAATTTGCACACAAAACACAGGGCTTTTTGAGCTGGTATATGGACACATTCTCAATTGAAATAATCTGGTGTTTTAGACTAATTCCAGTTACTGAGAGGGAGGGGTGGGGGAGGGTATTTGCATTTAATTCATGAAAATTTTCATCAATGTTCATTGATTTTCTTTCCAAAATGAGAAAACTCTGGCCCATAGTCAGCCAGTGAAAATAAATCCTGAACCATTGCTGGTGTAAAAGGAATTTGCAATGAAAAAGCATCCTCACCACTGCTTGGATTCAAAGTAGCGATCATTCAGTTTCTAGACAGACAATCTACACTTGAGTAAAGGGAAATTCCACACTTCTCGCTCCATCACAAATATTTTGACCCTGAAGACAATAGCAACTCGAGTTGATAACTCTATGGAAGCATCTGAGTTTCTTATAGCATCTACTCCTGGACTGGAGTGGTCAATAGTACCAAATCTGTAAAAAAAAGAATTAGTAGAGACATCCCTGCTACTGTTTGGATTCAAAGTAGTAACTCTTCGGTCTCTAGGCGGACACTCTTGTAATAGAAATTCCCTCTAGCTGAGGCTAGGAACATGTACTCTCAACTTCTTCACAAGTACACTGCCCATTCCAAATAACACATTAACATATGCTGAGAGTGTTCTACTGATCATCCCATAGTCTTTGTATCAGTTTCTAGTCTGTTAAAACTGACCATAATCATAGGCTCCGATATTTCATTTGGTTGCCTGTTTATGATCAACTATTCTTAAAAAACTTGGAGATTGTCGTTCCAATCTGGTAACATGGATTATGTCAAATTTCGGTAGGAAATGGGTAAAATTGTTTTACCAATATGTTCATGAGTTCATTTCATACACACTTGACTTTTATTTCCTATGTCATTTTATCAAATAATCAATTATCATTCAATTCATTAAATGGTTCAAGACTGTTTACCTGGGCATTTTACCTGTATCGAAAATACCTCAGCCAGTCAAAACAAGTGTTTTCTTGGTGACAATAAAACCAAGTACCTATATCAATATATATTTACGTGTGTATATACATCAGTTTTGTCATGACATACAATGGTGTCACCACTCACTTATATACACTCATCATATTGCAGATGAGAGAAAAACATACATTAACTTGGAATATGTTTTAATTTTGTAGTCTGAAGAAGATAAACAGTTGCAGGAAGAATTGAACATGTTAGTGGAGCGTCTCAAGGTGAGATTAAAAAGTGATATCAATCAGTATTTGAAAGTTATTGTTCTTGGATGACACTGGATGTCAGTATATACCTTGAATTTAAATGCTTATATACATTGACCTTGAAAATGGTTCAAAATTATCACCTTTTACAAAAATTTGATATATTTCACTTTCACACCCTATTTCAATTGAATGAGTATGATGAGACTTTTGGCTGAAGTGACTGAAAATTTTGATTGTTGTAGGAAAGTGACCAAAAATTATACAAGCCTGCCCTGGAAAGTCTGCGTTCACAGATAAGAGCTTCTACCACATCAATGACATCAGTGCCAAAACCTCTCAAGTTTCTTCGGCCCCACTATGATTCAATTAAGGAGGTCTATGAAAAGATTATTGATACAGAAACAAAGGTATTGTAATATAAATACAGGATGGCCATTACATAATATCAAAGTGAGGTTACAAAAATGTTTGTTTATCATTACCAAATTCATTAGTCTTTTATTAAATATAGGATGTTAAAATGTTTGTTTATCATTACCAAATTCATTAGTCTTTTATTAAATATAGGATGTATCACAAATATTCAAACACAAAATTTTCAGATACCAATGAAATATTGGAATGACAAGGGAAATCAACAAAGAATCTAAAACATTTACCATAAAGTATGAAGTGAAATGGTTAATTTCACTTTGTAAGGGAATTTCCCTAGTAATGTGTTCTCAAACATATTTTTCCTTTTTGTATTAACAGTGCTTTTGTGCAGATATTATTTCTGTCCTTGGTATGACGATGAGTGATGGCCGAGAAAGTTTGAAGTACCGCCTCCTTGGCTCAAAGGAAGAGATTGGATCCTGGGGTCATGAATATGTCAGGTATTAATTGTGGAATCTATCACATGAATAAATTCTTTATAGACTTTAGGAGAAAAAAAGATAATGAAAACAGATTTGGCAAGAAAGAAAATGGGAGTTTGTTTCTCATCATGGTTTGATTTTTTTTCATGACAGACATTTAGCAGGCCAGGTAGCACTGGAGTGGCAGGACACTGATGAGGCAAACAGCTCAATGAAGGACTCCTTACTGACAATGACAAAGGAGGTGGTACCTTACCATATGGCCCACAATGCAGAGGCTGAAGCCTGTGATCTTCTCATGGAAATTGAACGACTTGACATCCTGCATAATTATGTAGATGAGAATGCTTACCCTCGAGTTTGTCTCTATCTCATAAGGTTAGACTTCCTTTGATCTGACAAGCAACTTTTTATTAAGGCAAAGCCAATTATAAGAATATCTCTCAAAAAAAATCTGTATGAAATTTTCAGAGCAGGTAGGGAGGTATGCAGAACATTTTATTGTGGCAAAACATTTTGCTTAAGTCAAAGAGCATGCATCTAAATTCTGACTCTGCTTGTGCTTGTCATAAAGTTACCATGTGATAATAATTAGGTAGTCATTGGAATTGGAGACTCTCATATTTTGTTTTGGACTAATAAGATTACCAAATTATGACAGGGAAATGAGCTTTGATGAAAATAACTGATGGTAAATGTTTCATAAATATTATAGATGTTTTATGTTAGAGTATTGGAAGTTTTTATGTGTCCATTTTATGGAGGATAGGGGCATATAGTGTTTCCATTTACGGTCTGTCATGGTTTTGCCCCATCATAAAGCATCCCATTTTGTGTTGTTTTGAGCCAGTGTCACATCAGAAGAACCATTCAAAAGAGTTGGATTACATTCACTCTGTATTGTCAAAACTTTCAATTCTAAACCTGATCAGACCCTAGTTTGCATTCATAAATATTCTCTAGTTTTTTTGCTTGTACTTTCTTTTGCCCAAATATTCTTGTTGTGTAGATGGCATGCATTCAGAAAATGAAAGCTCATTTCATGCATAATTAAGTCATTTTCTGAAGTTCATAAAAATCAGCCAGAAATACTCAATGATATTTTGGATTATTCTTGATAGGGAAAGTGTTTTCTTATTCACTATTCATCCTTGTTTGTAGTTGTGTGCCATATGTCCCTGACCCAGAGAACCTTACTTTGCTGAAGACTGCAGTGGATTTATACAGGAAGTTCAAACAGTACCCACAGGCATTGCGCTGTGCTATGCAGCTCAATGATATGAAGCTGATTGAAGAGATTTTCCTGTCCTGTAAAGACATGTAAGAAATGATAGAGAGGTTGTGTGTTATGACTAGTATTTATAGTGGCAATGGTGTAGGGTTGAAAAAGTAACAAGTACCGGGTAAATCTCAACTGGATATGTTCTGATAGCAATACAATTTTAGATCAATTTTGATTGATTCCAGTTGGTTTGCATCTTCTAAACATTTTTTGGTTAAATCTGAACTCCACATTTTGGATTCCACAACCTGATATTTAAGTTTTTAAACATGCATTATTTGTTACAGGATGATGCAAAAGCAGCTTGCTTACATGTTGGGGAGACAGCAGATATATCTAGAGCTTGGTGATGATGTGGAGGAGTTTGATGAGATGACCGAGATCATGTCCAATGCCCATCTCAACAACAATTTCCTTGCATTGGCCAGAGAGGTATGATGTTCTGATTTCAGAAGTCTATATTGTATATGTTATTTTTAATAGAATAAAAACTAAAGGTAACAATATAAAAAAGATTTTGATTGTTATGTCAAGTTAAGCCAGTTTATTGTTGTTCATTTAAAAAGTGAAGTAAATTGATAAAACCAACTTGTTGGTATGAGACTTAACGACCCATTAGAGTAGTCTTAATGTTGCAAATACTAAAAAGAACCTATTAAAGTGTTGCAGCACACCATTTAGTTACTAACATTTTCTCTGTCTGAGACATTACAAACACATTGTATTATAACAAAGTTCTCAAGAAGGGGGGTAATCAGCCCATGAACATTTTGAGGCGGTATCTTGTTGTGGTAGCTAAGGGCTACGTCACTGAATATTGCCATTCAAAGCAATTAAAATGGTAAGTGTCTTTCTTATCAACACAAGACATCTTCATGAGAAACAGAAACTGCCTTGGATGGGGAGCATTAAACTACACCAGAGATCTTCACCTGATGTCACATAGGCCACTTTATGAACACGCAGCATCTATTTCTTGGAAGTTGCTTTTTAACAAACATGTTTTAAAGATACCATTTTCCTTTGCAGTTGGATATCATGGAACCCAAAGTGCCAGAGGACATCTATAAGTCACATTTAGAACAAAGTCGTAAGTAATTTAGAGGATTTGTAACATAGATGATGTTAAAACAAAATAGATACAGAGGATTTTGAAATTTTAAACAGGGCAATCAGATCTTTGAATTTGAATGATATCTACATTTTCCTATTTTAAATGTGTTCTTGATGGTGTTGATAATATAATTGAAGAACTTTATTAGTTCCTTGACATAACTAGTCCCCAGTTATTTGTTCATTTTATACATATTATATGACATATGTAATAAAACTCATGTGGTGTGCCCCGTGAAGTGAATGAATCAAGTGGGGTATAGTGCAAAAAAAGGGTTGCACAATTTCTCCCTAACTTTTGGACCAGTTTCTCTGAAACTAGCCAGGAGACTAAGGGACTATGTGTAAATGTGCACACAGGTTTTATTTTTCAGCAGAAATCTTAGTTCTGTTGCCATGGTAATCAGGTCACTATACGTTGTTTTTTATGTAATGACTCACAGCTGATCAGTTCTTTGATAAAATGAGTATAAGTATATACCCAGGTGCAGTATATACTTTTATGCATCAGGTGTTTCTAGAGCTGTTACTGTAAAAAAAAGACATTCAATGCATTTTGGTTACAATGGTAATTGAATAAGAACTATCTTGTTCAGGCTTTGAAATTTGGGAACCAGTTTTGTAAAAAAATCTGGTTGCCTTGGTAACAGGGTCACTATACATATATATTGGTAATGTAAATGACAAATAGCATTTATGATATATGGTAAGGAGATCGGCATGACAAATGAAAATGTTGAGGTCAATTTGACTGAATCTTAAACTGATGTCCATGTTATATTTAATTAAAACTTTATCGTTATCTGAAGACACATAAAAGCTCTTGTGATACCAAATTATTGAATTCTTTTTATCAATAGAATAGGACTTTATATTCATGTAATGTTTAAATTTGACTTTGATGCTTTGTAAATATTTATGATTTTATGTGATATAGTGTTTCAGTAAATAAGATTTAAACAAAAAAATATTTCTGATCAAGGTATTGGGATCTAAGGATTACTAACTAAAATTGACTTTGGTCTTGTTTTGCTTTATAGGTAGCACCATAGGTCCCAGTAATGTAGACTCTGCAAGGCAAAATTTGGCTTCGTCATTTGTAAATGGATTTGTGAATGCAGCATTTGGCCAGGACAAACTGTTGATGGAGGATGGAAATAAGTGGCTGTATAAAAACAAGGAGCATGGTATGTAAGATTCTCGATTACTGGATTAGAAGGAAACCTATGGTTGCAACTTCATCATAACTCTCTGTTTGAGCACTGTTTTTTTTTTTTTCATTTGGCATAAATGAATAACAGATTTTGTAATTGGCACAATAAAGAATGTTAAACATTGAAATCACTATGTTTTAGGTTGATTGTAAGAGTATAAAGCTAGTGAAATGGTTTGTGTTGTAGGTATGTTAAGTGCCACAGCATCCTTAGGTCTTATCCTGTTGTGGGATGTGGATGGTGGTCTCACACAAATAGACAAATACTTGTACTCTTCTGAGGACTTCATCAAGGCGGGGGCTCTCCTGGCTTGTGGTATTGTTAACTCTGGTGTGAGGAATGAATGTGACCCTGCACTCGCCCTTCTGTCTGACTATGTCATGCACACAACAGCAATCATGAGGATTGGTGCCATTGTTGGGTGAGGAATGAAATAGTCATATATATTTCTGTTTGTCTATTAAATCTATGTTGATAGCTAATAAAAATTTCTTGGAAAATGTGTTTGAACTGATTTGTTACTTATTGTATGTAATTTTTTAATTTCTCAACAATTATATGCTGTTGATCTAAATCAAATGACAATCATATATTATAACTTTGAATTTGCCTTACTTTTCCATGTTACAGGCTTTCATATAAAAAGTTACTCATCTTTTTATTTGTTTAATCTCAAGTTTTTAGAGCATCAAACATATACATGTTTTGTTGTAGCCTTGGTTTAGCATATGCAGGTTCTAACAGAGAAGATGTGTTAACACTGATATTGCCAGTACTTGGTGATAGCAAAGCTGCTATGGAGGTAAGCATTGCATTATTGGTGTTATTCTCAAATCATTTGAGCTTAAATTTCTTCATCTTTGAAAATAAATAAGATATAGAATGTAGAAACATTTCCAGACTGTTTGAAAATTTAGTACATTGGTATAATGTTGTTTTGATCTTACCCTTCAGCTTTTGTTTTGATAATTTGGTTTTAAAGGTATTACTGAATAGTGATTTTGAAAAAAATGTTTTCTTTTTTGTAAAGGTTGTAGGGATGGCAGCTTTGGCATGTGGTATGATATCTGTTGGAAGCTGTAATGGGGATGTTACCTCCACAATCATACAGACCATGATGGAAAGGTCTGAGGCAGATCTGAAGGACACATACTCAAGATTTCTGGCCCTTGGACTTGCTCTGACATATCTAGGTAAGATTATAATTGTCCTCTTTCTTAACATGTTTCTGTCCATGATGAGGATTTTTATTTTCTAAAAAGACCACATATCAAATTTTTACAAATTTCAGAAATTGTCCCATAAAATTGATAGTTAATTGTAAATTTGTTTGAAATACAATAGTTAGTTTATTGCGTGTAATTCCAGGTAAACAGGATGCGGTAGAAGCTACCCTAGTGGCTCTAGAAGTGATTGCAGAGCCTCTCAAGTCAATGGCTCGTATGCTGGTTGACGTGTGTGCCTATGCTGGTAAGTAAACTTTGCAGTAACCTCTCTAGTGTCTAATAGGACCTGGCATCTTATTATTTATCTCAAAAACATATTGGAAAAAGATGTTTTCTTTTGTGATATTTTTTTGTTCAAATCTTATTTATTTGGGATATTACAGACATGAGTCTAATAAGCTCTGAAATCTTCATTTCAGTTATTTAATGGTTGTGAAAGTTATAAAAACTGAATGTGGCCATAAAAAAATATAACATCAATGATTTATAATGAGCTTTTGCTTATTTGAAGAAACTAACATTTTGGTAAATGACTTCACTATGTAAAGTTCATATTGTAGCTAGAACTGTCTGGAAAATTATCTTTTCATGTAAAAAAAAAAAATTTTGTAATGTTTTTGGCATTCATTGTATGTGGATATTGTGTAAAGTTGCTATTTGTTTCAGTTAACTTGAAAACATGTATTGACAGCTTGTACAAAGTAGAATTTGTTTCCTTTTATTAGGCACTGGGAATGTATTAAAGATCCAGCATTTACTGCATATCTGCTCTGAACACGACGACTCCAAAGATCAGGTTGGTGTCCTTTTTTTCACCAAATTAAACTGCTCTGACAGAGCACTTTCTTGTCAGTAAGCATCGTTAATATTCAGAAGATCTATTTTGGTAGCAATTTTTGTCTCTACACTGTTCAACACTGGTTTGTCATGACCAAACTGAAGGCTGTGATTAACTAGTCTCCAAACTATGAGGAATTCAAGCTAACATGTGATCTGTTTAATTAGAAAGGGATTGCACAAAAGCATGAAGATTAGTTTGAACCAATGAAGAAAATCAGATGGCTTACTACCAGCCTGTGATAATTTGTCACTGCTTCCATTACTGCAGTAAAGATCAGTATAATGAAAATAGAATAGTTGCATTTTAAAGTTTCTCCCTTAGAAGATGTGTTATTGCTGTGGATTTGCTGATTATTATGAAATCTCACATGGATCTGTTATTCAGACAAGACATATCTCAATCCAAGTGTAAGAATTTGGGATAAGATATTTCTTGACCATTGAACATACCTTTGCTGGAATGTTTTCATATACTTAGCATAAAACATTTTAAAAATTGTAAGTTGCTGTGAACCCTAATCATCGCCATCATCAATGTCCCATGAAATGTGCTTTGAAATTGATGATGTGATCAACTTGCAACATGGTCACACTTCATAAAATGATGAAGCTACCCTATGTTGTGTAGTGTCAAATCAGGTGCCAGTGGTCTTTCCCTACTTTACTCTAATCAGTGAGATTACTAGAATCTTTCACCCCCTTAGAGGTGGATTAGGTAGATCTCAACCTTAAGGATAAGATTATTCAGTTAGCAAACATGAGGCTTGCCAAGTGTTTACGACGTAAAAATCTTTTCCCAAGGGTTGAGATCCCATCACACCCACAAGGGGCTGAATGATCATTTGTTTCTGTTGGTAGACTTCAGTATGCCGATGCCTTTTAAATTGAATTTAGAATGAGTTGTTGAATAGCCAATAGTATCATCGCTTTATTGTCTGTAGTGAAATACAAAAATTTCAGATGTTCTGCATTTGAGATGGAAAAATTGTATAACATCACAACCTAGAGTACCTTATGGTGTTCTCATTTCTTTTTTAAGGAAAATAATGAAAAGAAAGATGACAAGAAGAAAAAAGATAGTAAAGAAAAAGAAAAGGAAAAAGAAAAGGAAAAAGAAGCCACAAATGCAGACCTCTCTTCACAACAAGGTATTATCTTATTGTTAAAAAATGGCAGTCAAGTTAAATGACTCCAGTGAAACAAATTTAAATGATCTTAGCCAAAGTTATCACCTTTTTAGATGTATGTGGAAAATGTTTAACTTATTGAACTCTGATATTCAAATTCTTAATCATGAATTCCCAATAGTACAGAATTACTTTTCATGAATTTCACAGGATGATTTCTCACACAATTTATTTATCAACCTTAAATTATATCAAGTATTACATATTTGATACCCCTAGATTAAAATTTCCTGCTTTTATTATTAATATTTAATGCAGTTTAATGTTTTATGACACTCACCAGCTATATCTGATTTAATTTCAGGAATTGCAGTGTTAGGTGTAGGGCTGATAGCTATGGGAGAAGAAATTGGTTCAGAAATGTCTTTCAGAGCTTTTGGACATTTAGTAAGTTTGTCTAATGAAGTCAACATCAATGTTTTAATGATAAATTCTCAGGATGAGAAAGGAAGTCCATATATCATGTTTAGATGGACATGTGAACTTGAGATATAGATATTACAAAAATGGTTTTAAAGCAAATTACCAATAGATTAAAAAAAGATGTATCACAAATATGAGTGTAAGTTTTTGCTTGTTCTGATTTAGTAATTAGTATTTTATTTATTAGAACTTCTCAGACCTAGAGTAGCTTGTTGAAAAATCTATGTAGATATTGTAATATTTTTGGTAGATCTCAGTTTTTGTCATACTGATAAAGTGACTTTCTTTGTTGTTAATAGCTGCGTTATGGTGAACCTGCGATAAAACGAGCAGTACCACTTGCCTTGGGTCTGATATCTGTGTCGAACCCAAAATTAAACATTCTGGACACTCTGAGCAAGTTCTCCCATGATAATGACACAGAAGTTGCTCACAATGCTATTTTGTCCATGGGCCTGGTTGGAGCAGGTATAAGAAATATTTGTTCGTTCAATGTTTCATTTAGAAAAAGATTTCTATGAAATACTTAATCACAACAAAATAACTTTTACATGAAAACTAAGAACAAAGTTGACCTATTAAGTCCATCACAACCAGTGTTACAGGAAACAAACCCAATACATACCATCTCGACATTTTCAGTGATGACAGTTTTGATTAGTGCATGCTTCTTCAGTTATTACAGTTTTAATCAAGTCTCTAATTGTCAGCACTTTTGCTACTGTAAGAAAACAAAACTGTTTATTCAATGTATGTTCATCAGTTTACAGTTAATCTTTTACAGTTAAACATTTCATGGGTTGTATTGTGTAATTTTTTTTTTCAGGAACAAATAATGCACGTCTAGCTGCAATGTTACGACAGTTAGCTGTGTACCATGCCAAGGACCCAAATAACTTGTTCATGGTTCGGCTAGCACAGGGACTTGCTCACTTGGGCAAGGGTACACTCACCCTTTGTCCCTACCACAGTGACCGTACCCTTATGTCACCTGTCGCAGTCGCAGGGCTTATGTCTGTCCTTGTTGCCTGTCTCGATGTAAAAAATCGTAAGTTTTTCATTGAACTTTTTTTCTTACTGATGAAAGCAAAGTTTTAGTTAATAATATGACTCATAGTTCAGATACAAATATATCGAAACAATTTTCTCATTAAACAAAACTAAAAGCATAAACAGTTCAGATTTTGAAGATTTTTTGTGCGTGATCTGTAAGTAGTCATTTACCCACGGTTCTAATTGGAGAGGAAAAAAAATTGTAATGAAAATAAAATTGATAGACAATACATTATATGTAAAATCATTTTTTGAAATTGATGGTTTTATCTCTAATGTATTTTGTTTCATATGAATATTTGCATATTATTTCACTCTACTGTCTTTGTTGCAGTCATCCTAGGTAAATCTCATTACATCTTGTACCACCTTGTGTCAGCGATGCAACCACGTATGTTAACTACCTTTGACGAAGAACTGCGACCACTTCCTGTTCCTGTGAGAGTTGGACAGGTAACATCACGATGACTACAATAAGCTGTCTCATGTCAAGAGATGTTTTCTAGTTCAAATAAGTAGAAATATTTCCAGTTCAAATGGACAGAAATAACTGATTCAGATAAAAAATATGAAATGATCCATATTAACTATGAAGTTTGTCCAAATGAGCTAGACCACTCACGTTGAATCCTTTTGAAGGGCGAAATATTTAGCTATCAACATAGTATAGGTTAAATTCTAGATCTACGTGATTTCTATGTTTGTTTGTTTTATTTGAAAGGCTGTTGATGTGGTCGGACAAGCAGGTAAACCTAAAACCATCACAGGATTCCAAACACACACTACACCTGTACTTTTGGCCTATGGAGAGCGGGCAGAACTCGCCACAGAGGAATGTATCCTTTTCAGTGTGATATCATGAAGTTAATGTCCCTACCTCAATTCTCTTCTTATATCATTACAAAGACACATCAAAATGAAATTAGACTTTACGGAAAAAATGTATATCTGAGGCTTGCTTTGTACTAACTCTCTTTATAGGAGCTTTTAAAAACAAATAGAACCTTACGGCTAGAATTCAACATGTTCAACATGATAAAGCAATTACCTCTTTCTGGAGTCTACAACAAAATTCTTTCACACAAAAATTGATAAGTAATAATTTTTCCTTTACATACATGACCAAACATCAGCAACTTCCATTGAAAAGATACAAAAAGTCATGTTAAAAAAAAGGGGGGTGGGGGGAATACAAATATGTTTTTCCTTGTGTCAATCATGGAATAGCTAGAATTTCTTTTAGGGTAAATACTTATAAATTACAATGAATTATAATAGTTCCAGCTGTCAGCAATTAATGAAAGTGATGCAGCCTGTTTATCAAAGCTTAGACTTCTAATGATCATGCAATTATAATGCATGGCTTTGGAATGTAGACATGGCATTGGTAATTCAGACCAATAAGGCTAGGTGAAAGATCTAGCTCTGGTTACAGGACAGCTGTCTGGTAACTCTATATTCAGAAGTTAGCATGAACTGGCTCTAAACAATTCATAGAGTATATAAAACTTACTTGGTTTGGTCTGGTGTAGGACTTATATTTTGATTCAAGATGAGAAGAGTAAATGTACCCATCATTGCTGTTTCATATACTACATTTTAACACTTAGGTAAAACCTCAATAAATCAGCCATGTTATTCAAGTACTATAACCTTTTGAAAGCCATACAAAATTGCACTTGATCATCAAAACATAAACTGGTTAGCTCTTGTGACTGGAATTAAGATTTAAATTAATGATTCTAGATTAAAAGCTCATTTCACTTTGGTTTAATTAGTTATGTAAATCATGCATATGAACATAAGGGCCATTTTATTCTTGACTCTCTGTATTTAGTGACTATAACACTTCATTCTGTTTCCTTAACCCATAACAGACCTGCCACTGAGTCCACTTATGGAAGGCTTTGTGATATTAAGGAAGAATCCAGACTACCAGGATTGATGACCTGTTGGCTAGATTGTAATCTGCTTGACATGGTGTGACCAACAGATTTAGAGACACTTTCCTATTATCATAATCTCTACAGTTTAAGTACAGACTCTGACAAAAATATGGATTTCGGCTATTCCTTGTTTTAATGAAATAAGGGATGCCTGTTTATTTGACTGGTTGTTGGAACAAATGTAACTTTAAACATTTCAAAAAGTGCTTGGAGTAAAATCAGTTACTGTTGAGGCATTATAATATAAACCATGTAACTGTATTAGTACTACAGGAATGATGGTAAAGTGACTACTGCTTATTGTTAAATGCCTGTATCTGTGAATCCACTGCAAAAATCATTTTATTAGTTGCCCAGAATGTAACAAGATCTTACAGAAATCATGTTATGTTGACCAGGATTTAGGAACCTTATACTGATAATGTTTAGGAATTATACATTATTTAATATCTACTTACTGATTATAGAAATGTTCCGGTGTTGCATCTTGGATTTATTTGACATCAGTATTTCTAGAAATCTTTCAGCATAGTGCTACATTGTAATACTGATATACAACATAGATTGATGTTTTCTAATGTTCAAACAAGGTGTTATAAAACGAAATCTTTGAGAAGAGTTCTTGGTATGGATGTAAATGATTGTGAGTTATGCATTTAGTGTGTAAGTTGCTATGTTAGGATATGAATGGCACAATTGTATGGTTGACAAAGATTCACAGTTTTGATAGAAAAACAAATTAAAGCCGTGAAATATCATAATTGCTTGTTTGTTTGTATAGATTTTTTTTTTCAAATTGTCCTTCATCTTTCATATATTGTCCATCTGAATTATTCTTGTAATTGCTCTTTCTTGAGCAGCACTTTACGGATCTTTCTTAAATATCATTAAGTTCAAATAATATATTTTCATATGTAATCCAAGATAGCTATCTGTAGGCCATTTTTCTTTTCAAAATTAGAACTGAATGCATATGAATTTTAGAAAGATCTCTCCCTTTATTTCCTGAGAAGGTGATCAAATCAAATCGTCAAATGACAGGATAGTGACATTTTGTCACGCACAATCGATGACAAAGAACAAAACTTAAAATCCTTGATTGGTCAAAAACCTCATATAGGTCTAAATATATCACTATGTTACACTGAGTCTGGTGTACTGTGTGCATGCATGGGGAATATAACTGGTCAAAACACCTCTTATAGGTCTAAATATATCACTATGTTACACTGAGTCTGGTGTACTGTGTGCATGCATGGGGAATATAACTGGTCAAAACACCTCTTATAGGTCTAAATATATCACTATGTTACACGGAGTCTGGTGTACTGTGTGCATGCATGGGGAATATAACTGGTCAAAACACCTCTTATAGGTCTAAATATATCACTATGTTACATGGAGTCTGGTGTACTGTGTGCATGCATGGGGAATATAACTGGTCAAAACACCTCTTATAGGTCTAAATATATCACTATGTTACACAGAGTCTGGTGTACTGTGTGCATGCATGGTGAATATAACTGGTCAAAACACCTCTCATAGGTCTAAATATATCACTATGTTACACGGAGTCTGGTGTACTATGTGCATGCGTGATGAATATCACGGTTCAAAACACCTCTCATAGGTCTAAATATATCACTATGTTACACTGAGTCTGGTGTACTGTGTGCATGGTGGTGAATATCACGGTTCAAAACACCTCTCATAGGTCTAAATATATCACTATGTTACACTGAGTCTGGTGTACTGTGTGCATGGTGGTTAATATCACAGTTCAAAACACCTCTCATAGGTCTAAATATATCACTATGTTACACTGAGTCTGGTGTACTGTGTGCATGGTGGTGAATATCACGGTTCAAAACTCTATAAGGTATCTCACAGGTGAATGTAACAATCCAGTAACCTGTACTTCAGTTTTTGACGATATTCATGGTTTGTGGTATCTTTATAGCCAGCTGACCCTTAAAACTAATTGGCCTGTTGTTTCATATCCTAATAGTTCAAATCACAATTCAAGATTTTGCTTTGCACTGAAAGCTTTTTCAACTCTACCAGCGAAAAGGTTTTATACAGACACTAATGGACTATCTGCTTTTAAGACTGTAGACCAAAGGTCTCACTTCAGTTTGCAGTTCAACTGAAATTCAACCCCAACAATCTTGCAATCAAATATTCAACCTATACTATGGAAACATGTTCAGCCAAACTAATGTTAACATTGGTTTACATGTGAAAAAAATCCATAATCTGTAATTGACATTTCAACCATTACATAGCAATGGCAAGGTAATCACATATGCATACAAAGCAGACTTCACTGGACTGACTTGTCCTTCACAACCTCATCCTCGACACCCCAGAAGTTACATCACTTTCGCTATCAGCACCTCTGGGACATTTCATGGCAAAATTGCAGGCACGAGTGCAGTAATTTGATCGGCCAAGAGCGGGTTTCAGGAGAAAAAAACCTGACCAGTCAGATTCATATGCGACACCAAATTTCAAAGCCAATACAACATCCTGTTGTGCTACCTTAGATTCGTTTGATGTACATCAAAGGATCAAACAAGTCTTCTTGGCTTATCCAAGGAACCTACAATTTTGCCATGAAATGTGAGCGTAACCCCTGAAGAATCTATGATGTGGTAACCTGTGCTTCGTACACTAACAGTGCAAAAGACGGGAAAAGAGTCGCAGAAGCATGCTCGGAGTCGAAGAACTATACCTTTTCAGATTGTCTTCCTTTTGGTGCTTTCATATTTTCTGTGGGAGCTCGTGCCATTGAATTGGCGCTCAAATATATAACAGAAAGTCGTGCCTAAAACGCAAGTGTACACAGACTATCTTATAACGTCTCTGTGGACTCCTTGACATGTCGGAAACATCGATAAAAATAATGCTGACAGGGCATCCAAAAATGTACTGAACCTGTCGCAGACATTAAACTGCTATATACTGACCTTATATCAACAATTTTAGCATTAATGAGAGATTATTGGCTACAAATTGAGAAGCAAGAAAATATAAGGACCTGCATGTTTTCTTTAAAGGGCAAATCGGAGAGAGGAAGTTGTCCTTTCTCAGCTCATAACCAAGCTTTCTTACCCTTCTGTCAATTTCTTAAACGCGTTAAGAACCAACAGGTATTTCCAGAGCCCAGATTAAAGATATTTATTTCACTTCCGTCGAACTGGTGAAGTTGCTTAATTTCGTTCGAGAGACAGGTCATTTTGATCAAAATGTTAACTCTTATATAACTAGACATGTTGTTTTCTGTCTAATGTTTGTTTTATCGAACATAATACATGCCAAAAAGTATCGGGGCTTTCGATGGGCCGTTACCAACCAAAGGCACACAAAAATGAAACGGTCTACGACTGGATTCATAAAATCTCATATGAAATGAAAACTCGTCTTGTAGGATCCTATATTTGTATAAAAAAGCGAACTTTTCAGCTTTGTATGTATGGCGAAAAAGAGACAAAAGGTGAAATATTCCTGCACTTGTAGTATCCACGGTAAGATAGTTTTCTTTGATAATGACATCATATCCGCATGTCGTGTACGTAGAACGGAGGGGACATGTCAAGAAGTCGGCGACAAGGTACACTGTACATACATAGTACCGACAATCTAGCTGCAGTCAGGTTAAGCGCACTAACTTTGTGTTCACTTTTCTGTAGTGGAGATATTATGACAGAAGTCATCTATGTAAGTCCAATTTGCATCTTATTCATGTATCTTATTTTGGTTTTGGAAGTTTTTACATTGGCATAAAATGGTTTAGAATAATACCACAACATCCAATATACACATGTCTAAGTACACAGTCTTACTACAAATTAATCGTAATAACACATACCGGTAATTGAATTTTCGGGAAACTCATCGATTGATTGTCGGATTTCCATTGGAGCTCAGTTTCAGCGTGGCTAAATTTTACGGATATAAGTAATACATTACACTATTAAACAGCATGCTATAAGAAGATACTAGACTTGTTGTAAGGCCAGTTACACATGTACTTATATGTTTCTTCTCGTGTTTTGTTACATAAACATGAAGTGGTATCGTATTATTTGTGTGTTTACTTAGTGTTTAAATGACGCTGTAAGTGCCACATCTCTTAAAATCCAGGTACAGGTATTGTATCATTTTGATATACCTTCACTGACTTGTAGAAAACTGAGACAATGATAAATTAAACGTCTGTTCGGTCTATAATGCAAATGACTTGTACTCACTGAGTATACCAGAAAGTCTGTTTGTTACATTTTCCGCTTACAAGTAAAAATCAGCGAGTTTACTTCGTTAAACAAACATTTATATAAATGTATTTTATTCCAATATCGACTTGTTACAGTATTTAATTTAGCATATGAATGCCCTTTCTCACATAGGATTATTTCTAGTATACATCTTAAAGCATTTTTGTGAACATTTCGTCTGGCATCTCTCCTTGATTTTACTCATACGAACAACGAAATAAAACACTTTTATTTTTATCACACACTTTGGTCAGGTACGAGGGTTGAAGACGCACGTTGTCTGCCGCCGCAGTGCCATGTCTACGTTCTATAACGTCACTTACTCGACAGAGGGTCGCGTTTACAAATCTCACGATGAAATGGACACCCATGAAAGTCTTTGAAATACATTAATTGTTCAAACTTGTCTGTTTTACTTGATTGTAGTCACTATCATCATTCAAAATCATAGTATCAAAACACAAAAAAGCGGCATATGATATCTCTCAAGTGTTGTTAGGATGTTTCGTTGTAACGAACTGAGTCCACACACAATGCAATAAATAACTTTCAAATAACAGAAATTTGGACAACTGGTTGGTTTTGGCAGAGACGTATAAAACTAAGAAGTTTCGATATACGTTTAAGTTGAGAACTGCGACAAGACCTCCCCCTTAAATTGCGTACATATACATTCCATAAACAATATGTTTACTCACATCTTTTTAAATCAACTAAATGGCTTTTACGGAATTCTTCATGTTTTTTAAACTTTAAATTTTCGACAACGTCTAGTTACCATTAGATCAATCAAGTTTGTTGATACTGTTACTGCACTTCACAAGTCTAACGCCGACAACCAATCTTTTGTAAACAATTATATTTAAAATCTGTTTTTATCTAATATTTATGTGATTTCCTTTTGATTTTGCATTTTTTTCGATTTCCTCTCTAGTGAATTCAGCCTCTGAATCATTTCCGTTTCTTTGGGGTCCGGCTCTAAATTTAGAATTGCTCACTCAGTCACATAAACGTTTACATCTGCTGGATGCCTCTCAGATCAGATTTCATAGAGGAAGAAGGGAACAGTCTTTTGATGTATGTTGTCTTGTTTCTCAACCCTCAACATTCGATCACATAGCGATGTGCAAAATTTTCAATATTAAAGTGGTAAGTGGTAATTCCGAAATACTTCAACATATCATGCGATATGCCATTAGTTTGGCAACACATAACTGACCTGCTGCGGAATTCTAGACTATATAATATGCCGCTAACTTCACATGTGTATTGTGTGAAGAACATGTTTCGCTATGGAAAGAAATGGATATTAGCACAATTTCTTACGGGAGGAAATATAAAAAAATTGTGATGATGGAACAAGTTTTGTTATTAGTTGAACGATAAATTATAAATAGCCTGCCTCTCTCTGTAACTGTTGGAGTAAATTACTGTACAATATGGAGGCATATATACGGGGACAATTTTTCACCAGTTGTCCATAGATTAGTGAGTTAGGTGTGAAATGATATTTCTCCTTCATTTTTATCGATAGACTTCGTTCATCTTTCTAGAGAAGTAAACTTGTTTCTAGTATCAAAATTTTCTTTTGAAATATCATTAATACCATATTTGGTTATACAGACCATGCAGGTATATCACACGTAACTGGTAACTGTCTTACATGTCATTTCTGGCAGCTGCATTTTTAGGTTGAGACTATCAACAAATAGCGAATGGCAATGTCATGTGGGAGGAACATCACAGGTGCGACAATTCAAAGCAACTGAGATAAAGTGTTCAGTCTAAGGTCACAAGTACACCAGGACTGTTGGTGATCACTATCCTCAGACAAACTTCCCTGAGAAGGGATCAAACCACATTTGAGGTTGTATTAGTCTCACAGTCAAAATCTACCTTACCTATTGAGGTATCATGGGTCTGTTTGAGTCTTAGGACCTTGTTTGGTCCTAAGAAGGGCTGCAAATGTACACTCACTGGCTGGTTTAGCTTACTAGATAAACTTCTCCTCTTTATCATTGACTGTTTCATTGCTTCGGCAATACAAGGGTAGGCAGCCTTCAATTACATCCTGTGGATGAGATTTGTCTAATTGGTCCAGTAGTTCAGGGATTGACATATTATTGAAATGGAACTTTGTTACAAAAATAACATGCTGATGTGAAGAAAATAAGAATGACCTATTACAGAAGTATAATAATTGACCTGTCTGTAATTATTGAAATTTGAAAATTAAAATGTAACTGAAATTTTCTCCATAGAAATTCTGGTACAACATCAAGCTCATGCCTTGAAAAAAAAACTGCCGGTGTCTGTTCAGTTAGAAGAAAACTATTTTACATTCCTGCAATAAGCCCACCTGTGTCTGTTTAGTTAAAAGTTAACAATTGTCAATTTTTGCAATAAGCCCACCTGTTAAAATAAAAATGTGTCCACTCTGTAGTAAGCCCACCAGTGCTTCTCAGTTGAATAAAAAACTATCGTCCTCTTCTTCAATAAGCCCACACCTACTTTGACTCATCTATGTCTTGACCCTATGTGCTTATTACACGTTAAAGAAATAACCTCAGAAATACACAGTTTAAATTGGTTAAAAATTGCTCTCAGTTTTATTAGTTTTAATGGTTTATAGCAAAGGTTTCATGATCTTAACGGTGGTGAACAAATTGTTTATTTCTACAGTGAATGAAAGTGAGCATTCTCTAAAAATCAAAACTTGATAAGTTTCCAAACATTTTCTGCTGGTTGGTTTTCCGATTATTTGTTTTGGGTGGGTTAATGTAATTAAAGTTCTTATTCACAATCAGTAGCAGATCTGAGTGTGATGCATCACACTGGTCATTTGTCTGTTAAAGGTGACGATGAAATCATCAAAACATCACGCTCAAGCTTTTTAAATTTTTTGTCCTTTTCTTTGTAGGTGTGACCCTCATGAAAATGGCCTCTACTTCGAGGAGCAAAAACACTTCAGATGAGTGGTATGATCAGATTACCAACTGCTTGAGAGATGAAGGAAGTCTGGAAGAATTGAGAAAGAAATTTGATCAATGTAAATCAAATGAAGAACGAGTGAATTTAATATATAAACTTCAAATCACACAAGATGTTGTTCAAGCAAATTTGAATTTCAGAGAAAAATGCGAAGAAAAAGCAGTAAATCTTCGAAACCAAGGGAATGCTTTCTTCCAGAGGAAGAAATATAAACAAGCACTTGATCTCTATACCCAAAGTGTTCTCTTCTCACCTTGGAAAAGTCACAATACTACAAATGAAAATAATGGTAACCTGGATAAACCTCCAACTTTAGCTTTGGCATTTGCAAATAGATCTGCAGTTTTATTTCATATGGCAAAAGATGAACTGTGTCTAGCAGATATTGAGCTTGCATTGGAAAATGGCTACCCAAAAAACCTGCAGTACAAACTTTATGACAGGAAAGGGAAATGTTACATGCAGTTGAAGTGGGGAGAGGATGCTATTCAAGCCTTTGAGAAAGCCAAGAGTCAAATAAAGATATCTGACTTGGACGAAGACAAAATTAAAAAGATAACGGAGGAGTTAGATAGACTGATTGAAGCTTGTAGAAAAATAAAAGATGATCAACAGAAAAAAGTAATGAAAACCCAAGCAGAGTGTAACAGAAGTCATTCTGCTCTTCCGGTAATAACAAAGCTAAGCAAGAAATTTCCCAATGCCTCTACTGCTGTTACCATGGAAGAAAGTGAGGAAATGGGTCGTGGGGTATATGCAACAGATGACATAGATATTGGGGATGTCCTGGTTGTGGAGAAAGCCTATATGTCTGTGACCATGCCAGGACTCAGCATGTCAAATTGCCACCACTGCTGTGAAAAATTGTTTTCTCCATTCCCATGTCGTAACTGTGCTGGTGTTGGTTATTGTTCTCGTCAGTGTGAAATGGAATCCTGGGAAACGTATCATTACGTTGAGTGTGAACATCTTGCTGGTATTCAATCTGCTCAGCTGGGCCTTGGACATCTGTCATTTCGAATGGTTCTGAAAGCTGGATTTGAGTATTTGAAGGAACATAAGAACCAATTTGATATTGTTGGTGATTTGTTTGGATCTGGCTTCAATGAAGATGGGGTTTATGATTCCAATAATTATAATGCAGTTTACAATCTAGTAAATCATTGTGAAAAACGTACAACCACAGATCTCTTAAAACGTACAATAAATGCTGTCTATCTTGTTAAATGCTTGGAGAACTCCACTTTTGTTTCATCTACAGAAAAACGACAACAGGATTTGATGTATATAGGTGGTCACATTCTGCGTCACATCCAAATGCTTCCATGCAATGCCCATGAAGTTTCTGAATTGAAGTTGAAAAGAACTATGGTTGCTGAATCCGTCGGTGAGGAAATTGGTTCTGCTATATATGCAATGCTCAGTCTGTTCAACCATTCATGTGATCCAGATGTTGTCCGTCATTCCTATGGGGATGTTTGTATTGTAAGAGCCATCAAGAAAATTTCAAAAGGTCATGAAATTTTGGACAATTATGGAGCTGTGTATGCAGTTAGTACAAAATCTGAACGACAGAAAAAACTCTCGCAGTACCAATTCGTTTGTAATTGTCTCCCCTGTCAGAATGTATGGCCTATGTATTTCAGCATACCCAGTGAAATACCTGTCTACAAGTGTGAAAAATGTGGCGGTGCTCTCTCCAATGTCAACACCACCACAAAAACTGCTAAGTGCACTGTTTGTAAGCACTCTCAAAAACTGGCCAAGACTATTCTCACCTTGGAATGCTCGGACAAAGTTTTTCGAGCTGTCTTAGAGAAGTTTTTATCTGGAAATCAGGGACCAGAACACACACTTCATGTGTTGAATAAACATCTACAATTCCTGCAACAGAACCTTTGTTTACCGTGGCAGGACTTCAACAACTGCCAGGAGGCTATCAAACAGTGTTATGCAATGCAAGCTAACTGTCATGTAATAGATTAACCTGCTCTACAGCAAACAAACTTTGCTGTACTATGCAGGCACTGTGCCATGTCAAAAAATGTCATCATTTGCTGTGATATAAATCAGATGTTTGTGAATCACTATTGGAAAAAGTGCCTACCAGTTTGAAACATTTCTTGTTTTTGTATCAAAATTTGTCCTGAAGATTTTCATTGTGTTGACATATTTATGCTGTTATCTGTAATTATCTAAGTGAATTATTTAAAGAGATGTTGTATGTTGAAGAGTTCACTAATGCTGTCCAACTGTAAATTGATTAAGACTCTACATTGTCTTATACAATGGTTTAAAGTCTGCTAAGCTCAGTCATCAATAAGGCTTCACAATGTAGAATGAAATATTCTACAAGCATGCCTGTCAGTTTTTTGTTTTTGTTGTTTTTCCTATTTAAATAAGATGGCATATTTATATGTCATTTTTAGAAATCCAATGAAATTTCTTAATATGACATATTGGAATGTAAATGAGTATCATGATGTTTTATAGAGAAAATCTAACCTAGACATGGAATGGAGGTAAAGAAAGTAAATCAACAAGGCCAATTATTATTTGTTAAGAATGAGATCAGAATTCCAGCAGTCGAACATGTTGAAATTATACCATATCATACAGGTGTTAATTTACCGGTAGGTTAACATCAAGTCTGTTTCCTATATACCCTAAAAACTAAAAAAGATGTGGCTATTTTCTAAAATAGTAAACAAATGCAGTTTTTTTTGTTTAAGAAACTAGAGGCTTACTTTTAGAAATAGTTTCATGGAGGCCCATGCAGAGCAATTGGGGTAGAGTGTCTTTTCTGTGGACATAACCATGCTAAAGTATTATGTGGAAAGTTGAATTTGTCGAAATAAATTTGTGATTGTAGCCTGAAAATACTTTATTAATTCAATTAATGATGGGTCATGTGAGCTACATCAAATTGTTATTTTCTGTCTAATATGTGAAAGTCACAGTAATAAAATACATAAAAAGGTAAGTCATCAAATCAACAATCCTATACTAATGAATTTAGCTGTAAGCTGCTTAAAAATTAGCTATGAAATTTATATATCACATATAATATATTTTGTCCAGAATGGTAAAAGCAGAAACTGTATGATTTATGAATAATAAAAAATTGGTTGGTTTTAGAAATGGTTGTTAAAGAATTATGAAATTGGAAGCAATTTTTAACTTTATTTCAAATTTTGAAGAAGGAAATTATGTCAAAGTTGAAAACTGTACATTTGATCTTGTCCAGAAATGAAATGATTAATGATGAGTTATAGTATCATACAACACACTTAAAAATGTAATTTTATAAGTTAAATGGACAGGTTAAAAGACAGAGGAATCCTTTTGTTTACCTCTTGCTTTTTTGGATAAATCAACTGCAAAGATCATTGTTTGAACACTTTTCAAGATTGTACAGGAAATTGTCCTGAAATCATGTTTACTAGCTTTGAAGTACAATATATATTTTTTGTGGACTTCAGTTAAATTTTTCAGACATTTAGTCACGTAGCCAATTTACCTAGTTGTAATGCATTAGACAGAATTTTTCTTTATCATTCTACTCCAGTATTTGCAGAATTGTGAATTTATATGTACACTTGTATTTTAATTTTTACATCCTGGCATCATCAGATGCTATCCTATCAAGTATCCGATATCAACATTTGTAGAGTGTCTTACTACATAATGTGAAATAAATATTGATTTGTTGTGTTCATGAACATCATAGTAGCTTACTACAAGATCTTGTTACTTTATTTTACATTTGCTTGTGATAAATTCCATACTAAATGGTGCTATTGTACTTAGCACTGAAGTTTTAGCTCATCATGGTACTTGGTCCTTATATAGGTGCTTGCCATTTTAATATATGTAGGCTTTTGTATAATGAACCACTTCTGATATGTAGATTTTTCATTTCAGAATTGATTAAAAATTTCATGTTGATGATAGTATTTATTTGTATCTCATTAATTGGTGCTCTGTAAACAAGTCCTTATATGTAAGATGCCAGTTGTGAAACATTGATATTATATTAGTACACAACATACGGTTTTGATATAAAATTCTAAGCCAAAATTGATTTTTGTCTTTCATTCTAACAGTAGTCCATTTATTGTGGTTGAAATATTGTATCAAAATTGAATATTATGTTTTTTGATATGTTCCCATATGAGCATGACAAAAGATTATTGATGGTTTTAATATTCAAGTTCTTGAACAAAGTGTAAATGTGGCACAGATTACTTGCTTTTTGTCATTTATTGTACCCAGGTACTTGTAATAGGAAGATGTAATTTTTCTGAAGTGTGGTAACTTTGCACCCTGGGAAACTTATGCTGCAGTTTAATTTTTGCCCATTTTGACTTTTTGTAAATTGACAAATTAAATAGGATCTTTGAGGTGTATGGGTTTGAGACAACAAGGTTCTGTTGTATATGTTATTGAGCTTTAATGGAAGTCATTTTGATGGGAGAGCACAGACAACACTAGGATAACTTTGTCAGCGTTGTTGTGTCTTCTTCACAAAGGTATCCATTATGATTAAACCAAATTATATGAGTTTCTATATGTGAAACTCAAGCTCCTGGTACATTAAAACATACTAACTTAACATTAACTCATATTGAGATCTGAAGTTTAAGAGAATTATTTCAATTTCACACAATAACTTGCAGATGCCTTGGGTGTGTCATTCTCAAGAGCTCTACAGGTATGCTAAAAATTGTAACCATTACCCCCATTGCATGATCACTAAAGTGGAGATTTTATATTTGTTTTTTTCTTGGATCCTTTTCTCTTGTCTAATGTCGGTCTTTGTGTGATTTCAGCTGCTATGAGGATGTAAAACAACACAAATATCCAGACTTGTACATCAGTTCCTTTTGGAAAGTGTTTTGATGAAAATAATGAAACCTTTAGTATATGAAACAGAGATGTATTTAGATTACTCAATGCACTCAAGGTTTATTAGGACATATATGTAAATGGTACTATGCTTCATATTATCACGGCTTCTTCATCTGAACCCTCCTTATATAAATGTAATTCATTATAAAATATTTCATCTATATATTGTAATATGTTGTCTTGACATTGAGCTTTTTAGAGTGATAAATGTTTTTCTCCATTTTAGAATAATCTGAATTGCTGTCTCAACAAGTATACACATTTTAATGTACCCTAAAGGGAGGTAATTGATTTGTCTACCTTTACTGGTGTTGAGGATGAGACTACAGGTCACCTAACAAGCCTTGGTGAGTGGGATTCCCCTGAAGTGTCCCTAGTTGAAACCTGGATGGGGGCAGCATGTTTTTTTATTAGTTTTTCCATTACACTAGTACCAATACAGGGAAGGAATTTTGGAATAATTTTTTTTTCATTACTTCTAAAGCTGTTGTAATTTAAACTGATTTGAGTTCAGGTTTTATAATCAACAAGTTGTCATGTCTTATACCAAGGAATTTCAATGTTAGATATGTGTGCAATATATAATTTCATTTCCTTTACAATTTGTGATGGATTCAGCTTGTTGAGAATATAATAGACTGTGTTGGAGAAAGTTTACTTTGTAGACCTACATGTTTGGTGTGTTTTCATTTAATTCCTTCTTGTGTTCAAGTATTAAGAAAGATACCTTTATTTGATTTTGTTTTAACAATAAAAGATAACAGAAATGCCTAATTACTTTTGTTTTTAGTTCACCTGACGACTTCAGCCATGTTTAGTGATACAGACTCATCTGGCCTTTTGTTTACTCACTAAGTACAAAGTGTTTATCACATGGTAATTTTTTGTTTGTTGTTATGCTTTAATTTTGAACAAGTTCTCAAGAATCTAAAAAATGCCAAGGATCATAATATTGATAAACAACCAAGTGTGAGTAAAGGACTGACATTTCAAGGTCACCTTCCTGTTTGAGACAATATATCCCTTGATGCTTCAAGGTTTGTAAAACTGTCTGATAATTACATAAATATTTTTGATTGGTGAGTCAATAAAGAACAAACTATTTGATACAGCATACAGTTTAATTGTAATCAGTATATCCAGACATACAAGATTAACACATTTCTCTGCAATATATAAATAATGTATTGATCTGATAACATTAGAGAGGCCTGTATGGTCGGTATCACTGTAGTTATTGCATTTGATTACACAGAAATAGAAATCGTGTAGAATTTCAACAAGATTCGTGATTTACATTTATCCAAATCTCTTTTTATTAATGTTTTGTGAACTGTACTACCAAATACAGGTGACATATTTTCTTCCCTGTATCACAAGAGCCGAAGTTTGTGGGTTTCATTATGAAATTCATTACCATATTTATAATGCAATAAGACCTAGGGTCAACACATCACTATACACAGAGAAGTAGAGATGGTATATTCTGTGTGTACTTCCATCGAACAGCAATACATACAAAGAGGGCTTATTACCAGATAAATATAGTAAACTCTTGAAAATAATGTCCTTCTTTCACATGCTTACCCTTGAATAGGCATGCATGCTGTTACACTTTTATATAGCTTGGCAGACTGGAAATACCAGCAATAACAGTTCACCAACTTTTTCAACATTGTTCAATCATGTCATGTACATTGGAACATCTTTCTTGAAGGCAGATTTGAAAAAAAATGAAAATATCCAATATAATGTGCTTGAACAGCCCATTTGAATTTCCCATACAGTTGCAGAAGTTCTAACACATTTTAGTGCAATGCAGGTAGATCACAATTCAACGACCTCCAAAAAAGCCATATCAAAAATTAAATTTTGTGTAGTAATAAATTCAGTAATTGTCAGTCTATTCATTTATATTGCTGAAAGAGATGCACACAATATGCTTCAATTTTTTATGGAAATATAGCACATACTATATCTACTTTTCTTAACACTGAAGACATATTTAAGCATCTAACATTCAGTAAAAACATCAAACTAAAGCCATACTCTCCCAAATTATTGATTTATTATACAATATCAAACATGTTCTTTTCCTATAGATCTAAACTATTCTCATAAATGTACTTTTATCGGGTTTGAAAATTACTAAGACAAACAAAATCAAGTCCTGTTCTATAACACCTTGGATGTCTGCAAGTTCATTAATGCTGCATGGATTAAATGGTAGATTTGTTTGGTTTTTATGTACAGATGTATCATTTATCTAAAAAAAGCTCTGGTAAAGCTGATCTCTCACAATGGATTGACATTTTTATATGAAAATAAAGGAAGTGTTTTTAAGCAGTGAACTTTGAGGTGGCAATCCTGAGCAATATGAAAACATGAACTAATTAAAGGGCAAATTCAATTATGCACTTTATTCACAGTTGGGATATATAAGTCACAGAAATGCCACCTAAAAGCAGTTCACTGGTTGTGTATATTTATCATTTTCAAGTGTCATCTTGTTATAAAAGGCGATAACCTCAGTTTCATTTCATGAATATGATATTGGTAACACACAATTTTCATTGGTAGGTTACACCAGACTATTACCATTTAATTGTAAATATTTTCCAAAAACGATCGAAAATGTTTTTGTAAATCATATTACATACAACCCAGAACATATTAAGTGAAATTTAGTGAAGCAATCATTATTGGTTCAACATATTTATACAGACCATGAAAACAAACACAGAGACTTTGAATTTATCCTTCGAATGCAACATCCTTTTCATCATGTCCTTACCATTATTGTATTGTTGAACAGTCAAAATATCATTTTGTGTCCAAGAATTGTGTTAGTTTTCTTCAAATTTTGAATATTACGAAAAAAAGGAAACAAATAGAAAATGCCTCATTTTGTTCCAAATGTTTTAAAAAGGCACAAAAGGAATAAACAATGCTTAAAAGTCATTTGTTGAAAAAAATTGTGATGAGTAATTTATTCATTAGTGTATCCATTGTTGTATGCTTTATTTTGTAGTAAAAATAAAAACTAGTAGGTAACATTACATATTTTAATATTTAGCAATGCTTATCTTAGACTTAGAATTCAAACATCTGAGGTTTCATTGTTCAAAATCTGAACTACAGAATTACATTTGATGTATTTACAGCTACATCAATATCCACATTACAAGCACTGTTTCAAATCAACATATTTACTCAACATGTATAAATGATATGTCCATTTCAATTGTGAAGTACTAAAGATCTCCATAGTTACAAACAAATGAACAACAAGATTTTTTACTTACGAAAATTACAAATAAAAACGATATGATAAAACATATTCAATCTCATTTATTTCGGATGGAATCTATAGAAATTAGCATAGTATGTTACCATTACCTCAAAACACACTGGCCAATGTCAGTGGACAGGAAGGTTTAGAAAACCCAAAGAGAAACAACAATAAGACGTATGTATCAACTTCCTACATCCTGTCAAAGAAACCATACACATTTAATTCAAACTATGAAATAAAACATGTATATCACACTATTGACTGTTTTCATTATGTCTGATTCAAAAGAGATTCAGAGCGATATCATGATCATAACAGAAAGTGAAACAAATGTCATCATTGTTTAAATATTTGTTTGATTCCACAAATTTTATCCTAAATTTTGTGAAAATAGTTTCATAAAACTTAATTGATTTAATGAAAATATTATCCGAGTGTAGACAAGAAAATAATTTAATGTAAATCTTTATGAAAGAATTGTTCAAAAATCTATAAAAGGAGGCTGGTTTTATTCCCGATATTTCAATGATAACAATACTTGTCCATGTAGTATCATCTATTATCTTTGGAAGATTTAAAACAAAATTCATTTCTCAAAATAATAAAAAGTTACTTACAAAAAAGCTTTGTCTACACTATAATTTTGGAACATTTTAAGGAAAAATTCAAAGTTTCTGTTTCTCAATGATCTGAAAGGATGAAAAATTTACACAGCTTCGGAAACATTGTCTAAATAAATACAAAACATTCATTATTGTTCTGATACTTGTAAAAACATAAAAAGAAAAAAAAAAGGAGATGTAGAAGCTGAAGCATTCAATCACATTATGCAGTAAAACTACATGTAATCACAGAAAAAAATCTCACATTACAGCAATATGAATTAAACACATGAAAGGATAGAAGTGTAATACCTGACAAACAATTTTCCACCAAATTTGGTATGTTAAATATTCCAATAATTTAAAAAGTTTTGGTATTAAAATATTAATTTTACTATTTGTGTTACTATGCTCACATAAATTATTTCGCACTTATCAGTTGAAAAACTCACTGAAGTATGCATCAGAATTTCATCACACCTGTCAGTTATATAGGGTAAATGTGCCAAGTGTATCTTTAACATGTTACAAGTATATGCACTTAACATGTATTTGCATACAAATTCTCTTATCTAAAATCTAAACCTATATCTAATAGTCATAATTTGAGAAAGGAATGTAACTTGTTTTATTCTAATTATCACAGTAGATTTTTTTTCATTAATCAAAACAACGATTTTCATTTCAATTTTTTACCTCGCATCTCATTTTGGCTCACAATGTGCTTAGTAATTTGCTTAGCATATTAATTGAGAAATATTCTTTGTTTGTCACTATTTGCAGAAATAAAGTATCAAAATAACAAAAATGGACTGTCCTAATATCACATTAAGCACAATAAACATTATAATACATATCTGATATTACTGGAATATTGCAGTACACTTGTACATGTATTAACAATATGTCTGATGTGAATTAGCAAAGATGTTAGCAAATCTTTTATGAATAACCTTTATTGGTGTTATGGAGCTTTAGCAAATATATTTTTGTGACAAAAATAGCACTTCATTATAAACCTACTCACAATACATATCTTAAAAATAACAGAAGATATATCCTTTAAAAATACATCTGTATATAAAAGTAGATAGAGTAATAAACTGTATATTAGCACTTACCAATTATGATGAATCATATGTAAACCTAAACTGATATATGCGGAAAGCTGAGACAATTCCTAAATGACTGAAGTGTTGTACTAGTAAAGATGAGTGATTTTTGAGTCTCATGCTTCTTCTCAATTTTGAGAATCCTCTATATCTTTACGTAACTGGTTTCATCAGTATTGTGGAAACAATGCCCTGGATTTCTAAAAAAATCCGACAAAATTTACTGAAGCTCATTTTAACTGCATTTTTATGACAGGTGAAATACTTGACATCATGTACAGATAATCATGTTCAGATATACAATTCTGACAAATGAAACTATTCAGGCAGTCTATGTAAGTAAATAGGACATATTTACATAGATATAAAACTATTGTCTAAAATCAATGATTTCTGTTGCTATATCTGATTCTATTTTATCACTGGGAAAGTATATCAATATATTTCAGACAATGATATTGTTTTTAATGTTGTTTTATGTCTTTGATGTCTACATATAAAAAAATTGTCGTTTTATTGATTTTTTGTCATGCACCAAGACATTTGAATGGTGGTAAAATTTACATAATGATCTCTATATATAGATATTCAATGAATCCAACATATCATTTACAACATTTTATAAAATGTTTTATTGCATAATATATCTACTTAATGCATAAAATATTTTATTTAGAAACATCATTTTAATAAAAGAACTTATCTGGTATACAAAATTGAAAGTAATGGCCAAAAAACAGATTGACTCTAATCCAAACATGACTACTGTAAACGTACTTCATTTAGTGTATCTAGATTTTTGCACAATATCACATTTCAACAAACAAGTGCAATGATAAATTCTTGCACCAATAATAACTGCACCATATAAACCATTTACAGAAGTGACTATTAGTGCAATACTTTCAGTGCAAAAAGCACTAAAATAAGATTACCACTAAAATAAGTGCATTTACAGTATATAGGAGATGGTACAGAGGAAAACAGCTATAATGTACACTGATGGGTATTATTATTTCAATTAATAGCCTCCTAGGAAAATAACTGCTGGTGGATTGGGTCATTAAAAAGAGCCTGCACTGCCAATATATTTTCTGTAATAACTCTTTAAATGATGGAATAAGTTATTAAGTATAAGCAAGGTGATCAAATAATTGTCAAACCCGGTAATAAAAGCTGAAGAGTGATGAGGAAATACTCCGGTAGAAATCAGTATTCACATATCTCAATATTGCTATACAATTTTACAAGACACAGGATTTCTGCAATCAGATCTCATTAAAGAACAACATGATCACTAAACAATACACCAAGCCACGTGATTCATAAGTACATAATCCTAACTAAAAACTCACAATTCTCACATCTATGAAATCTGGAAAAAGATTTTGCACACGTATTGCAACAAACCCTAACATCATTTTTCCAATTTTGTCTTTATTACTTACACTTCTCTACACTAAGCCAGATTACTACAGTACTGGCAGGAAAGTTTCAGTACTAAAAAGTGGAGACAAGCTATTTTTGGGAGGTGTCCATTCATATAATTTTACCTGTCCAAGAAGCAATCTCAGTATTCAAAATGTAACAACTTTTCTACTGGAAATCTGAAACTAAAATTATTTCTCAAACAGACCAATATGAAAATAATCCATTCCTAATTGTAACATGATTTGGAAGCATTAGCAGTTTTATACAAACTCAGATCGGCTGAACACGAAGCGGCGTATTCTGGGAGATAAACAAATGCTTGTAGAAAAAAACATCACAGACTCATGATAAACCATACTTGAAGGGACTATGTAAACACATCCTAATAACACCACAAAGTGGTGATGATGTACTTTTTGCAAGACATTTGTGCTTGATTAATTTGACCAACTGATATCTAATTTTTTTTTTAAACTGGAATTCTTGCATAGCTAATCAAACAACATAAGCCAAAGCCACTCAAATTCACACTGCACTATTCAATGCCAATTTTGTACAGAATAACACATACCGGTAATCTTCTCATAAAAATTGGCATTTTCAGATAGATTCAAAACAAGCACTTGCTGTAAGGCCCAAAATATGTGAAATGGGCAGAAGAAAACAGTAGAATGTGACATCATTTCATAATAAACAAGCAAATCCCCCAAAATATGAATTACAATAACCTTACAGGGCAGTAACAAGGTGGTAGCTTATCACCAATCACTTCCGAATATTTTTTCATTATAATAAACATCATCATACAGATTTGATAAAACATATTTTCCAGATTATAAGCAGCATCTTTTTTCCTTGAGAGTTTATGTTGTGTGGAAGAAAATAAAATTGGCAGGATGAAAAAACAAGGAAAAAACAGGAAGCCACCATTACACCACTGCAATACAGTACTGAGGTTTTTACGAGTACCTGACTGTCACATGTTTATGACTGAAACAGATCCCAGAGAACCGTCATTTGCAATTTGATGATTTGAAGATTGAAATAAAATAACATTCTTGTAGATTTAATTAATCAAACCTTATAATATGAATCACAATAATATCTTCTGGACTTTCACAACTACTTCGAAGCCATAGCTAAAGTTTACAAAAGTACAGAATTTGTGTTATTCAATTATATGGGTTGAGAAATGTCTCCAATTAATTTTTTGCATATATTTTTCTTTAATAAACTAAACTTTTTACAAAAATCAATATACTAACAATAATTAGTTTCTGTTGGTAATAAAAAAAGTAATAAAATGCCACAAAACTAATTACCATAATCACTTTCACAATCAACAAAACTTGAATCCTTAAATTTTTTGTGTTGAGAGGTTATCCAGACCATGTAAGTCAAAAGATTGACTATGGTCTTACACAACAGTGAAGAGTGGAGATGAAATTGGATTAGTAAGGGAGATTATGTACCCATTACCAAACAAAATATACACCTACCCATACCACCCATAATTAAATACTGTATATATATATATATATACACATATATATACACACACAAATACACATATATTTACTGTTTATCAAATCTATGTTTGTTTCAATCGTCAACAAGGAAAGGGTTTAAAACAATGTGAAGATGCTTATAAAAAAACACTTGAATAGACGGCATCTGGCCTTTGCACAAGTGATTCCCTTCTTGTCACCAGTGATTAAATTTGAAACTTTGTACTTTGAACACAACCTTTCTGCCATGCAATGGACAGAATCCAGTGGAAAGAGGTTAATCAAAGACTGTAATAAACCAATGGTCAATCAAACATCTGTGTCACTACCTTTCTGGAATCCAGTAAACAACAGTTGAAACATTTGGGGAAACATGGAGACTAAACATTTGTATACATTAATTAACACACCATAACAAGCTAACGTTTACTTTACCCAACATACAAACACCATGCTAAAGGTTACCATGTATAACCTAGCTTTAACACAACAGCGGAACATATACCGCTACCTAGGAACAAAGTCTAACAATAATCACCTAGATATCATTTTCCTGTCGATCGTTCACTATCCTCTGTTAATGCTGTATCCTGATTTGGCTGCTGACTTGAGTCTGTCACATTATTTTCTAATTTGTTACTTTCATTATCATCCTCATCATCATCCTCATCAAATTCATCTTTCATCAACTGCTTGGCTAATTTAACAGCTTGAAATTCATTGTAGTGAAGCTTTCTCTTCTGCTCAAAAGCTTTCCTCACAGCTGTAATAAAAGATATTTAACATCAAATTAAGATGTTTCCAGGCAATATATGTAAAAATTCAATAATCAAGGACCACAAAATAAATCAAATGAAAGAAATTTCAATAGAATTCACACCTTCATCAGCAACACAAAGGAAATGTCATCACCAGGTTTACAGTATATTGTTCTTACTGCGATATGTCAATTACGAAACAGATGAAGTTAATAAAATACCCTGCTGGAAACTTAATTTGTGGGTTTCCCAAAGGAGAAATACTTCAATTAACTTACTAAAGTGAACTCTTATACCATATGAGAAAGCAAAACCACAGATAGCTTTTGTGTGCTTGGAGTATTAAGGAATAATGATTTACTAACAACCAATGACCAAAGGGGTTCCTTCTTGATGATAACTCCGTCTCACTCTTAAATGAATTCCTAATATGATTTGTTACATGTACAGTTGAAACTTGTATTCCAAAACTTCAAGGGACTGTGGAAAATATTTTGACTCATTCAAATTTCATATTTAGGTTGATGATATCAGTTTTCTAATGTTGATTATGGTACAGGTTACGACTGCACAGTGCTCAGGTGTAAAAACAGCGTAATTTAATCTGTTATTTGAAATGGCAGTAAATTGACAAAAACAAATAGATTTGTACTTTGTCGTTTTCTTGATTGTTCATCCAAATAACAAAACATGTAATAACAATACCGACCGACCACATTTGTACCCACTTCATTCTGTCCTGCACACATGTGCACCTACCTCTTGTCAAAGCACATATAGATCATATATCTTATGTCAATAAAACAAAACTAAAATTTACTTTTGATATGGTACTAAAACCGATGTATGAAGCTACAAATCATATTAACATGACTTTACTATGAACAAATAAACATATGGAAAAAGTTTTTACCTGTTATAGTAAACATTATACAAGCACTGGACTTAACAAATCACGCACAGATATAGACTCTAGCAATTAAAGATACTTTCAGCACGGCATTGTCCAAACACCAAATCTAGCAACATACCCAGTAACAGTTCTAAGTAAACAAGCACAATAATTAGTTTCTATCGGAATTGTAGGGATCAGATTTGGTCAAAAAGGTGGTACTTGTTAGACTGTTTTGTTTTTATTATTCCTCAATATGCACGCAACCAAGCTTGTCTTGTTTTGGCATGCTTCTTGTTATTGCTACACTGATTAAGAAGCCAACAATTCTGGGAATTAATCATCAGAGACCAAGTGTTGTGTGTACGATGCACCAATATGCTGTAATTAGCCGTGTGTTACACACAAGTGTATGCATTGACTGATTTTTTCAGAAGACATGTTGATGTTTTGACAGTAATCAATTTTGAGACAACAAATGACTTTTCTCTTGCTTTACAATTGAAGGGGCTGTAAAATCACTTTGACTCAAAAGAAATTTTGACAATGAAAATTGAAGACATCCAAACTAAAATTACAAAGATAAAGAAGGAAAATAATCCAGACATGGAAATTATTTTGCATCAAACAGAATTTGACTCGTGTGATTTTGAGATCACGAGTTTCAACTGTATTTAGGAAAAAAAACAAAACAAAAACTCAACTACAACATTTGTTGTATATATATCCTACGCCTGTATCAAATGAAAATGGATTGTGTTTCATTTACACACAACAAATTCTTGGTTCCTTCTCAAAAACATTTGATCCTACATCTTTTTGAGAAAGAAAATTAGCTTAAGACTTACATATTCTGCAATATACTAGAGCAGCTAATGAGATACATAATATTTCAAAATACTGAAACTTATCAGACCTAATTCTAAACAAAACCTTGCCTTCATATGTATATACCATTAGATGTATTTATGGCCATCACGAAGATATTCTGTTAACTATCTATCTATCTATCTATTGCAATGTTCAATATCTTCACCTTGCTGTTCTGGATTTTCTGGTTCTTCGTCATCAGACGATTCTTCTTCTATAGAAGCATGACTTCTAAGCACAGTGGGATTAATGCCTTCTTCATTTAATCTGGAAACAACAAAGATATTAAGGAAAACAATTAGCTACTTTTGTGAAAAAATGAGATCAATTGCACCTATATAGTTCACCTTTTAATCAAACTCAGACTACAGGGTAAGCTACATCGTCCATTTTTCTTTGAATAACAACAAATCTACAGGTGCTGTGGAAATACTTTATAAATTAATGGAAGAAATTTTATAAAATTTTTATTTATGAATCTTGAACTTTATTTCCATCAACGATGGGGTTGATATCTCATTTCTGAGATATTTCTAATGAGCAGGGATCTAAATTTATGTTATGTAAGGACTAAGTCTACAGAATCTGGCAGAGTTCTGGTCGGGGAACTTTGTTAAGAACTGTGTGATTTTTTTTATCTTTGCTATAAACAGTGTCATCTGGTTAATGTTTACATTGGAATATGTCTATATACCCCATTAGCAGAATTTGTAACAATTCCATGCCATTACAAACTACAGTTACAATGAAAAATGTCAGTGACATAATTCAACGAAATTTATCATTATGTGACAGTGAAGTGTCAATCTACAAAACTCAGACGAGTTAAATAATCATGACACAAGGTAGAAATGTCCAAAACAGTAAGAATAACAAATATGGAATACAGATTATTTCAAATGAATACTAAACATCTATCTAATTATTAATAGAGGATTGAAAACTTGAGAGCAATGTTGAATAATATGGCACTAACTTTACATCAGACAATCAAAGTTAGGAACTTGTTTAATAAAATAAACTTCATCATTTAACCTTGAAGCGATCGTCTCCGCATTCAGCTCAATCTCTTTTTCACTAATGCTGCTGCGTCTCTGGTGTGTCTCCCCATCCTCATCTTCAGGGTCAGAATATTTGCTGTAAGGTGTGAGTGGTTCATCTATCTTCATGTGGCCATAATCTTTATCTGCAGGATGATGTGTGGCCAATATATTCATCTCATCCCATGTCATCTCTTTCCTTCCATCCCTAGGTGTGGTGGTGACGCTGGAAAGTATTTAGTAGTTATCTTAGTACACATGATAATAATCTGTTAAAAGATCACTGCTTTTGAGTTCAGAAAACTGAAAAGTAACACTGCTTACAATTTTTTTTCTTCGTTTTTTGCTTCTTTCTAAAGCAGGTCTCTAAAAACATTTACAAAGTAACAATTTAATTGGATTAGATTAAGAAGCAATGACTCAACCAACAAGCACTATACAATATTATATAAAGACTAAATTTTGCTGCAATCCTACAACTCCACATAATATTGGCTCTGAAAAAACCTTGACATCAAAAAATATCCTACAACTCTATATCAAGATCCTTCTTTGGTACATAGTATATATATACCCCATCCCAATCCTGTAACACATTAATAACCAGTGGGACGGTGTTCATTTATGCCACTTATATACAGATTAGATTACAACAGATATGGTTTGTGACACTGTCATCCAGGACCATCAATAAAGACACGAAAATACTGTCACTGAAACAGAGAATTGTATGTAGCTGCTCCATAAATCCTTATACGTATCCAAACAAATAAGCACTTAACAAAATGGACCAGGTGGCTGGATTACAGGTAAAATGCAAAATTACTGTTTGTTCTAATATCTTACACCGATTTTTACATGGCAGAGGCCAAGTTTGAACTTCTTTGAGTTTGCAGTGATGCACTACAACTGCAATCGAAGTACTAGAATTACTATAAACAAACATTTCTGTAAAGTATAAATAGACATTTGAGTTAGAAATGTGATTTAGAACATGTATTAAACACAGATGTATTATGGTTTTAACCTTTGGAAGTTGGCTGTGTAGTTATTGAGACATCTCTAGATTACTCAACTGAAATTCAACAAGACAATTTGGCAATTTACAGTCACCCACCAACACACTGCTTACAAAGGTGAACACATACCCCTACACCAAGTATGAGGTTTCTATGATTAGCAGTGTAGGAGATAAAGCCTAGACAAACTTTTTCTTCAATGTAGGTCAAAGGTAAAAATATAGGTCAGAATGGCTTCCTTTTACTATGTTACACAACACCTCAGGAAGGTGAACCCATAAACTAAGTATGAAGTTCAAGTGAATGGTAGTGTTTGACAAAGTGCCTGGACAAACATTTTCTTCAATGTTGGTCAAAAGTCAACATATAGGTGAAAGTGACTTTCTTTTGATACATTATACACTGCCTCGCCCAATAGACCATACACTCTTAAGTATGAAGTTCCAGTGACAAGTAAAGTGGGAGCTCAGAAAAACTTTTTTTCAATGTAGGTCAAAGGTAAAAATGTACCTCAGATTGACCTACTTTTAATCCATGACACACTGCTTTACAAAAGTAAACTCATACAATAAGTATTAAGTTCCAGTGACTAATAGTGTGTAGAAATTTGAGCATGGACAAACATTTTCTTTGATGTAGGTTAAAATTCAAATATAAGTAAGAGTGACCTATTGTTTACATTCTACACACTGTCACACAGTGGTGAACCAATATTGCAAGTTTACAGTTCCTGTGATTAGTACTATAGGAATTAGTGCCTTAACAATTTCCATTTTCTTTGATGTAGGCCAGAGGTCAAAATGTAGGTCAGAATGACCTACTTTTAATACATGACACACTGTCTCACCAAATGTTTAGTTGAAGTATATATGAGAGATTCTAAACATATTATTTATGAGACTTGCTAATGTTAAACAATACATAAATGAGAAAAGTCACAAGTAAGATTTCAAGCAATGTTTTAAATGTGCTAGGTCTTGCAGTTTATAAAAAGATATAATAAATTTTCAAAGATGAACCCTTTCAGTTTTAAAATCACTAGACATCACTGGTGTGTTTAAACAAATTTGATCCATGTGACCCTGAATATGTTTAAAGATATTGTTTGTAGACTTTGTACAACTGATAAAATTCCTGTAAGCTTTTTTGTTAGTAAGTAATAAGAAGACTTAGTTAGAGGGTTTCATCTGCATTGTATAAGTTGACTCCCAAGAACTAAACAATGAGTTTATGTTCATTCTTTTCCAACACTAAATCTATTTGTAGAGTTGAAATTTTCAAGCAAGATGCCTTATAGACCTATATTGTTCATCACTTCTACAGCTGTCAAGAAAAGACCAAAATATCCTTGACCTGTGCCTTGAAAGAGAACTGAAGATATTCAATATAATATACCTCGGGTACAATGAAAAGTTTTCCTGGAAATGTGCCACCAGCTAAATACCTTACCTGGAGATGTCAAGATCATTTATTTGAACAAACTTGTTAGCCCTTCTTCATAAAAATGTTTTTACTTTAATCTTTAAAGTGAACATTTCTTTCTATAAATCCATTATAAAACCACAGCATCTTGCGAAAAAGGGTCAAAGAATTATTCTGCCTCATCAGCACCTATAAAACCAATTATCTAGTAATACAAACATGTAATGGTACAAGAGCTTTTCCCCTCTTTGTATTTGTTCCATACAAAACACATTTCATATCAGATACATTCAGATTTGAAGGCTAGTTTTACTTATAGCAGTCAAAAGTTCTAAAACAATGCCAGATTGACCATGATCAATAATTGTCATTAACTTTTCAAATGATCCATTCTTTTGTGATGCCCTTTTAATTGATTGACAGTGAAATATTCTACTTTAACTAAACTCTATATAATTGTATATCATTATATTTACATACATGATTGAAATTTTGCTTATGTCATAACCTTTCTCTTTTATGTCACTCAGAAGTTTTAAGGGAAAAAGTTGACTTAACAAAGACTAAGCTTGAAAGTGTTATTTGATACATGTTATTGGACATGTGATAAAGTATGTTGGCATAGATCCTTGAACATTTATAACAGGTTTCAGGAATACAATAAGACAAGATTTTTTTTTGCATAAACATTGAAAACTTATGTTTTACCTGGAAACTTCTTTGTGTAGGTAGCGTACCACTGCAATCTTTTTCATTCTGGGTACACATGCTTTAGTTTTGTTAGAAAACAATCTAGGTATAGGTTAGCAGATAACATGTTTGGTAGATGATTTGCACTCAAACAGTGCAATATCACATCTTGCTATTAGAATATGTTGTGTGTTGGAGGGAGACATAAATAGGTCTCTAGACCTGCTTATGCCAGAGTCTTCACCTACACACGAACAGCTAGCAATACCAGATAGATATCACAGTTTATCTAGATGTCTCTGGGTTATTATAGGTTAGTTGAAAATAGCAATAAGAGGTTTTCGTTTGATAACAAAGTCCTTGATTTTCATAAGAGGAATCTTAAAATTCTGCACAACGCTATGAAGGCCAAAGCTTTCAAGTCACTAGTGCAACCCAAACATGAGCATGGTACTTGCGTATGGGATCTCCACACAAATTGTAGTATTAACAAAATTAAAATAATTCCAAAACATGCAGCCAGATATACCATACAAGCAGCGTGTCAGGAATAACTGAACATAGTTTTATGTTAAATCTAAACATATATATTCTCTCAACGTCCCCAGTGCACTCCAGGTAATTTTCTTTGCAAAGCAGGTCTGGAGAAAGAAGTCTATCACAAACTATCAAATACTGCTATAAATTTAATATTTTATATAACACATAGTCACAGATTAAGTTTTTATATCACAATTCAATTCTAATCGCATCACATCGTCTGATCTTTATCCACATGCACCTATGGATTGGAACCCCAAAGTCAGGGAATGAGCACCCTCATAATCATAACAAATGAGCCAGCTGATTATGGTGTGTTGTGTCTACGATGTTATTCTAGGTCACGATACCAAAATAAGTTTTTAGTATACACATGTTAAGATTAACAGTAGCGGATATCTATTTCTTACTAAATTGGATCTGGTTTGTCAAAACTGGAAGACGATTTAAGGATCCCCTTCATCGGCTTCCTCTGCTGGGAAGCCATCTTCGAAGCTAATGATATGACTAGAGGGTCTGTCATTTCATTGGTCGCTGGATGGGATTAAAATCCGCACAATTTCTCCCATAAGTGAGTGTGTTGCCTTATTTCTAGTATGAGGACAATAACATTATTTACTTATCAGATAATATAGTTAAAAATTTTATGTTGGAGTTTTAATTTTCTTTGATATTAAGATCCAATTAATGAAGACCATTTTCTGCACCTCAGTCTAAAACACTTCACTTCCGGTTACAACTGAAATCGAAACAAACTTCGTCTTTGGATTCTCCGACTTTATTTATGATGAGACAACAAATCAGTCAATTGTCACATGAAGGTTTGTACACTGATTGATTAATCACTTTTAACACGTCATATAGAATCTTCAAAGTGGAAGTATGACCAAACTGTAATAGCAAAATAGATGAACCTAAACTTTGTTTACATTTTTCCCAGTTCTGAATACTGACATTTGATTACCTTCTGCAGACAAAAGTGTCATGTAAAAAGAAAATCCTGTGATCACGAGGCTATGGTGATACAAAAAAATTGTCTACGTGAACGGCAGTCAGATTGTGATAATTTGACGAGAGCGTTTGATGACAACTGCCGTTAAATCGGTCAAACGACCACAAAATAAAAATAGATTATTTCATAAATAGCTATGATGCAAATAAAAGTCACCTGGCCAGTGCTCGAACACTAAACACCAGAATACTTGTCAGTGATTTCAAATATTGTTGTATTAACTTCAAAGAGACATTTATAAACACTTTCAGCAATATTATAATCACATGTAGTTGTTGTTAAACAACACCTGTGTAATGACAGATATTGATAGATGTCAGAACTTGTGCTTGTACACCCCATTTAAAAATCAAATATTTACAATGTTATTGTGATGACTTTCAATGTAATATTTTTCAAACCTTCCTTCACAAAAACCACAAAAGACTCTTTCTAAATGGATAATGTAAAATTACATAAGATGAAAGAAATGAATAGAATAGAAGTTCGTTTAACACAATGAGTAGAAGATTTGAGTGTGACGTTTTGATAACTATTTTATGGTCACATTCATCAGACAAATGACGAATGTGGAGCATACTAGCACAGACACATAGTGTACAGCTGTACTATAATCCTATGTACACTAAGGATGAAAATGGTATGATGAGATGTTAAATAAATTAAAGTCACAAGATGGTAACAATGTACTGTAGACGATTTGGCTACACTTTGTCAAACACTTGGTCATAGAATTGTGAGAGCCTGTGGCCCCCACTCGTCTTTGTTTAGTACTGGCCTGCTACAACATAATCGGATGCATCCTTAACGAGCCGTCTGAGAAGGTTGTTTACTCTGTTGACTGTTTTGTAATTTTCTCTGTCAATGATATGATTTTGCTGTGTAGAATGATCTGTAAGTACTGATTTATTAATTTTGAACTGAGAATGTTTTCGATCTGATCTAGTGATTTTTTTTTCTTTTTGTGATTTTGTATCTTTCTGGTGTTCATGAAGTCATACCCTGAATCCCCTACCTGTTTCTCTGAAACACAATGCATCACAGTTCTTGCATCCAATTTTGCAGCAGTTCTTTATATTTGAATTGTATCACATTTAGAATAGACTCCCAAAACTTTGGTTATTAAGGTTTAGCTGTGAACATGGTACATCACAACAATGAACTACTCTTTTTTTCCAGACTATGAAGCAAATACTGCTGATGCTAGTAGATTGGTAGACCAAGACTGGCTACAGTAGTTGACAATATGCAGGGTCTGTCTAGACAGAGAAGTGAGGAGAACAGAGTGCTCTGTGGGTCCTGTCCTGACGAGCAGTGCCAGGCCAAGTTGTTTTTTCCTGCCTATGACAAGAGTGTGGAATGCACAGGCTGTGGAAAACGACACGAGCAGACATCACTTCAGAATATTGCTGAAGTAACTAATCCTAGTGTAGCATTACACAACATTTTGAAAAACATCCTCTTAGGAAATGTGAAGCCAAAGAAAGGAACTGATGATGTCAAAGTTTTAGGCTTATCAAACTATGTCTGCAAATCTATTTCTCCAATTTTGACACATTATGGAATGGACAAGAGAACTGGAAAGGCTATACTTTTGAGGGAGCTTTCACAACAAGATATTTTCAATTGTGGAAAAATTCTTGGTGATCGTGCTTTCCTCATTGAGGAAGAGAACTTGGAGGTGATTGGATATGGGAGGGACAGGTCTGGAAGTGTTAGATATTTAGCAGACATTCTGAAAGAAATCAAGCTCTACAATGACAACGAAGAACGCCTTGTCCCTATACATGCTGATGGAGATGGACATTGCCTTGTACATGCTGTTTCCCGAGCTTTGGTAGGCAGGGAATTATTCTGGCATGCTCTACGACTGAATTTAAGCGACCATTTCCAGAAAGATTTGTCAAGATACAAGGAACATTTTAGAGAATTTATAGACATCGATGAATGGGACTCAATTATTAGGGAATGTGACCCAGACTTTATTCCTAGTGATGGAGAGCCATTGGGTCTCCGAAACATTCATGTGTTTGGTTTGGCTAATGTTCTACATAGACCTGTGATTCTTTTGGATTCTTGTCTTGGCATGCAGAGCTCAGGGGATTATTCTGGTAGGTTTAGACCATTTATATACAGTAAAATGAACAACTGCCTGAAATTGACAAGTGATCAGATATTTTCTCTTCTTTATACTAGCACCCTCCCCTCTTAAAAACATGACATGATTAAATTCAAAACTGAATTGTTTCTTTATCAAACTTGTGTCAGGTGTTTTCCTGCCAGCTTTGGTGGAGCCTGAAGCCTGCAGAAGCCGAGATGGTACACTCAACAAACCACTGTGTATTGCCTGGAGCAGTTCAGGACGGAATCACTACATTCCTCTCGTAGGAATCAAAGGTCAGAGGTCATTCTTAGGATGCAATTCATTTGAAATTGAAACTTTAACTTTAATCTTGTGAAGTGATTAATGTTTAATTTCATGTAAGAGGACAAACATTAAGAAAACTTATTTGTATTCAAAATATAATGAGATAATATTTAGATGATGAAGTAGCTCATGATTATTAAATGATAAGATTAGATTTGGGTTTGTGATATGAAATCATATGTCTTCCTACTTTTGTAGGTGATAAGTGTGGTATAAATGATTATTTCAGGAAGGAAGCTGCCTAACCTGCCCAGATCTATGATCCAGCGAGCTTGGGGAGTTCCTTCAGATTTGATTGATAAATACATTGAGTTTGACCATTCAGGACTTTGTAGAATAGGAGGTGACAAGTGTTTATCAGTGAGTTGATACTTATACAGTAGGTGATGTCAAATCTGCACTGCAATGGTATAAGTTTATCCATTGTTTTAGTAAAGCAACAGAATACTTTAATATATTTAAAAGAAGAACATTTGGGGGAGAATTTCTTAAATAGCATGAAATCACATTTGAAGACACAAAAAAGAATAATGCTTGTTATGTATTTGTTAGGTTACCTGAGCCAATGGCTCATGCTGACTTATGCCATCACCATGAATTGTCAGTTGTCATGCATTGCCCCTTTTAACACTTAACTTTTCAGATTTTCAGCTTTTCATACACCCGTCATTGAGGGGTCATATTATGGTATACCCTGCATTGTTCGTCCATCTGTCCGTTTGCTAACATTTCCTTGTTAGCCCTTGTAAGGGCCCTGCATCGAGATACTGGTGCCCTATAGTAATTGGCTTGTCTGTCTGTCTGTCAGTCCATTTGTTTCTTTTTTGGTTTTTCTACTGTATTTCAAATGCTGTTGGGCCAATGGCACTCATACTTTATGCCAAGTCTCCTTGAAGGAAGTGCTTGCTTGGGGTATGTAGCTTTTCATCTCCCAAGATTAAAGGTCGAGGTCACTGTTGCTATAAATAGAAAATCAGCTTATGCTCAACAATATCTAGAGTTGTATTTGGCCACATGCACTCAGATTTTATCCACTATTATCTCAAAGGAAGTGCTGGTTTGATTAAGCTTTACATGTCCAGAGGTCAAAGGTCAAGGTCACTTGCTAAATGTAGAAAATCATTTAATTTTAACCATTTTTTTTAAAAAAGTTTGTTTCTGTGGTATAAGTTTAGTTTCCTTGGGCCTATCCAGCGAAAACTTCATATAGTGCTCCTTATTGAAATGTTTGTATGGGATTGCTTTTCAACTTCAAAAGTCAAAGGTCAGTCAGTTTTACTATAAATAGAAAATCAGTTTTTATGTGATAACGAGAATTCGCTTTCGCCAATCTAACCCAAACTTTTTACAGTACTTCCTTACTGAAAATGTTTGCTCAGGATTGCTTTACCAATTGAAGATCAAAGGGCAATGTCACTGTTACTATAAATAGAAAAATTAGTTTCCCAGTGATAACTCAAATTTGCATTAGCCAATCAAAGTAAAACATCATACAATGCTTTCAGATTGCTTTTCATCTTCGAAGGTCCAAAGTCATGGTCACTTAAACTGTAAATAGAAAAATCAGTTTCAATGTGATAACTCAAATTTGTGTAGGCCAATCAAAGTCAAACATCATGCAGTTCTTCTGGATTGCTTTTCTGCTTTGAAGATCAAATTAAATTTTAAAAAATCAATTTCTCTGAGATAACTCAAGTTTTTTTTGGCCAAAACAATCCAAAAACTCATACTGTGTGTGTCTAAGGGTGAGTTGATGCAGGGGGGATTTCCTGCCACAGGTCCTTGTCAGTGTTCTAGTTATCTATACATTTTTGACAAAAATTTATATTTTCATGTCCAGAGTATAACTTTGAATGCATTTAAACTAGGATAGTAAAACGTGGTGTATACATTGATCATACAAAGACAATATGCCAAATTTATTGTCCTTTACCCCTCAGTTACAGTACTATTGCCATTTGTTATAAAAAAATTCTTGGCCAGAGAATAACTTGCTAGCATTAAAACTAGGGTAAGGAAAGTTAGTGTATGCATTGATCATACAAAGAGGTTGTGCATTGTATCAAATTCAAGGCCTGTGGCCCCTTATTTAGTTATTGCCCTTTGTTAAAAATTTGCTTTTGCTTTTATTAAACTAGGATAATGAAATATGATGTATTCATCAGTCATACAAAAACAAGGTGCAAAGTGACCTTTTGATGAAACAATATTTTCAAAAAGTTATTGTCCTTTGTTCTTTTCAACATTCTGATTTTGTCTAGATTTCTTGTCAGTTTTCCAAACATCTCTTGAAAACTTGGCATGCTCTATTTGATAAAAAAAAACATGGTACTCTTGAAATTTGACTCAATAACACTATTTCAATATTTGTATTCTTTTTGATAAAAAAAGTAAATATTTCTTAAGAATATTTCTTATTTAAATGAATTCTGATCATAGGCATCAATTTATAAAGGGACATCAAAATTTCAAAATTTGTTGTCCTCATCCCCTTAGGGATCTCTTCTTGGAGACATAACTGAAATAAGTCCTTGATACGATTGTGATCTTGAAGAGTAGCTCTAGCAAATTTTCAAAATTCTTGGTCTCTGAATGTACTGTTCATCTGTCTTGAGTATGGCTGGTTTTGGCAGAGCTTAAATGCAAAAACAGTAATAAAATGCCAATGGCTTGGAACTGTAACCCTTTTTTATATGTAAAAGTAGGTAGGAGTGATAGCAAGACTGTTTTGGAGCAAGCTGCAACATAATTGAGTCCAAGGTCAGAGGCGTTTAGAGGTAGTGAAACTGCCAATTCTCTCCAAAACCATGAAATTTTTTCATAAGCACATGCTTAAGAAATATTAAGTCTAGCTCACTTGGTCCATAGACTGATGATCCTATGTCATGTGTGGCATTCGTCATCTCAACTTTTTACTAAAAACTACTACTTATCATGAACAACTGAACAAATTTTTACCAAATTTTGTCAGAAGCATCCTTGGGGGAAGAGGAACCAAGATTGTATAAACATTTGTTCCAGACTACCTTGAGACGGGAGGGGTAGGGGCACTTAATAGGGGAAATAGAGTAAATGCTTACAAATCCTACTGCTTCCGTAGGAAGTTATGGATATTACTCAAATTTGGTCCGAGGCATTCTAACTTTGAGAAAAATCAATTTTGTGAAAACGGTATGTCTTGGCCCCCTTTGGAGGGAGGAGTGCAGCCCAAAAGGGAAATAAAGCAAATTCCGTAAAATTCTACTCCTGCTGTAGGAATGATTGGATTTTTCTAAAATTTTGTCTCTGAAGTATTCTCAGATGAAGGGAAATCAGTTCTGCATGTATTGGGGATCCCAGCCCCCTGGGGCAGGACGGATGAGGCCCATTAGGGGAAATGTAAGTTCATAAAACCCTTCTTTCATACAAGGATATTGTCCAAGTTTGGTCAGAAACAGTTTTTTGAATAGTGAATCTTACTACTGTTTAACCACAAGACCACAACCTTATAAGTAAATTATTTCAGAAATTATATGAAATTCTTTTTTAAAAGACTGAATAGCTAAATTAGCCCGATGGGTGATGCAGGCCCTGTGGGCCCTTTGTTTATGTCTCATAAAAAAACCACATCCTTAACCAACATTTTATCTGAAAGCCACATTTAAGTTATTTATGGGTATGACAGTTTTAGTTGATATTCAACTACACAGGGATTTGACATCTTTGCTTCTTGAACTCAGGTGGACCATTGTGTCTTTGAATTGGTGTGTACTAGATCACAATACATGTATATGTGTAGCACTTGTTCAATAACTTGATAACATGCTAAATAAATGCAGACTCTTAAATGGTTTTCCATTGTCTTGGCTGATTACTTTACAATTTAGATGTACTTCATAAGTTTCATAAAAATCAGAGGAAAATATCTGTCACACACTCAACTAAAAAATGTTCAGTTTCATACTAAATGATTGGTAACTAGTAAAATTAATTCCGTTCCGTACCGATTCAGAATAATCACATAGGAACTTCATTGTTCGAGAGATTTTGGTAAAACTTTACACAATGATCAAGAATGAGTATACAACATTGTGTTTGAGGAGCCCATGGTCAAGGCCAAGATTGCTCTTGCAATGTGTAATCATCAACTGATTAAATTCAAACACATCATCTTGGCATTAGGGCATTTATGTCTTACTGTCATTTTCTAATTGTTTTAGCTGTAAATTTGTGTGTCATTTAATGTTGCTTTTCATGATGGCACAATATATGTCATTGATACACAGTATAGATATTTCATATTTCTTTACAGTAGTGAGACATAGTGTAGCATGACAATCATATACTTGTGGAAAATAAGAATTCCTTGATAGAACTTCTTGTCAAGTTTGTCAAGAAAATATCACATTTGTTTCCTGTAGGACAAGTACATTCGTCAACTGGTGTCAGCCATGGATGAAGTGTTTATACAGAAGAATGGAGTCCCTCCTCAGCTGGTGGCTGATGTTCACCAGTTCCTGTACAAATCTTCAGGTACATCAAACACAGGCTGATAACATTTAAAGCACCAGAGACTGTGAAGGTTCATTTGAATCAATTTCACACAATTATTGAAACTATAAATGGTATCCTTGGATGTTATAAAAAGTATCCTTATGTAGACTGATACTTATGCTTTAAACATTTGAAAAATGATAGATCTCACAATACAAGTGAAAAAGAATTGATTTTGAGATTTAGAAAAAAGTTTCTTTTACCCAAATGCTTCGGAGATGCCCCCTTTGATAACGATATCTTTTGGTCGGTGTATCTAAGGAATTGGCAGTTATTTTAGTCTAAGCCTTACTTGGAAATGAGTATGGGCATCCCAGGGTATGAAAAGCTTGCAACCTGTGACTGGTTATCATTTCATCATTGACTACCTGAAATAAAACCTTAAAAGAGTACACTCCTTTAAAGCACAGCGAACTTCCCATAATCCATCAAATATATCATGAAACACCTACATGTGCACTAAACTCAACCAATTTTACTTTGTCGCTGAGGTGCTTGAAAATGTTAGATAACAACACTGTGTGAAAATTTGACCAGTGAGGTTTTTTTTTTTAAGGAAATAAATAAATAGTAGAGCTTATAACACAGGAATTTATTTCTGTATTCTGGAAGAACATGGTAGAAGCATACTGATTTATTTTTATCTCAAGATGAAAGTTTTTAACTTGCATTGTCAGCTTTAACCAGTTTTTAACAAACATGTCACTGCCTCACAGTCAAATACAACATATATGAAATTAAATAATGTTGAATTAAATGGATCCTGTGAATTGTTTTTAAAAATGATCCATAGCGAAAGTTAAGATGAAACCTACTGTGTAATGTTGTGTTGTAGGAATTGTCGGGGTGAAACTCGAAGAGGTGATAGAGACAACAAAAATTGCAGTAGAGGAGCATGTTCTCTACAGATGTCTTACCTGTGAAGCCCTGATTAGGTATATATACACATACATGTGACCAGGCCCTGACAAGGCATACACAGCAGTAGGTGTACAAATTGCAGCTTAGTTTTTATTTTCATAGACTATTTCAGTATCAGGAAATTTAAAATTCCTGAAATTTCACTGTGATATAACTTTACTGGTATATGTATTTCTGTAAGTAATGTAGTTTTGAATAAGCAACAAGGGTCACAGATACTGTTTCTAAAATGAGAATAAGGCTTAGTTTGTTTATTAAGGCTTAGTTTATTATGTTCGGTCATGCTGAATGACCCTAGCTAAAATTTGAATCTGAATTAGCTGTCGGTCATTCCATTTACTCAGAAAAAGCAAGAATATACAAACGATGATAAACAGAATAATTGCTGGAAGAAGTCTATAATTCTTTACTTTATAAGGTTTTGTTTGTACAAGGCTTTATAAGGTTTTGTTTGTATGAGGACAACATATACCACATGGTTCTTTGTTAACACCTACCTTACAAGTGGTCCTTGAATAGCACTTACATCACACAGTGTTCCTTGCTACCACCTAGTCTTCAAATAGTTCTTAGTTACTACCTAATCCACAAGTAGTTCTCACATACCATCTAAGTCACACAGGGTTTTAGGGTACCACCTAGCCCTCAAATAATTTTACAACCTAGCCCACAAGTGGTTCTTTTGGTCCACTTACCCTACAAGTGGTTTTTGAATTCCACCTACATCACCAGTAGTTCTTTTGTTGGCCTTCACCACAAGGGGTTCAAAGGACTGCAAACCCCACAAGTGGTTCTTGGGGTACTTCTTACACCACAACTGTTTCAGGAGTACCACTAACACCACAAGTGGTTCTTGGGGTACCACTAATACCACAAGTGGTTCTTGGGGTACCACTAACACCACAAGTGGTTCTTGGGGTACCACTAACACCACAAGTGGTTCTTGGGGTACCACTAACACCACAAGTGGTTCTTGGGGTACCACTAACACCACAAGTGGTTCTTGGGGTACCACTAACACCACAAGTGGTTCTTGGGGTACCACTAACACCACAAGTGGTTCTTGGGGTACCACTAACACCACAAGTGGTTCTTGGGGTACCACTAACACCACAAGTGGTTCTTGGGGTACCACTAACACCACAAACGGTTCTTGGGGTACCACTAACACCACAAGTGGTTCTTGGGGTACCACTAACACCACAAGTGGTTCTTGGGGTACCACTAACACCACAAGTGGTTCTTGGGGAACCACTAACACCACAAGTGGTTCCTGGGGTACTACTTACACCATGAGTGGTTCTTGGGGTACCACTAACACTACAAGTGGTTCTTGGGGTACCACTAACACTACAAGTGGTTCTTGGGGTACCACTAACACCACAAGTGGTTCTTGGGGTACCACTAACACCACAAGTGGTTCTTGGGGTACCACTAACACCACAAGTGGTTCTTGGGGTACCACTAACACCACAAGTGGTTCTTGGGGTACCACTAACACCACAAGTGGTTCTTGGGGTACCACTAACACCACAAGTGGTTCTTGGGGTACCACTAACACTACAAGTGGTTCTTGGAGTACCACTAACACTACAAGTGGTTCTTGGGGTACCACTAACACCACAAACGGTTCTTGGGGTACCACTAACACCACAAGTGGTTCCTGGGGTACTACTTACACCATGAGTGGTTCTTGGGGTACCACTAACACCACAAGTGGTTCTTGGGGTACCACTAATACCACAAGTGGTTCTTGGGGTACCACTAACACCACAAGTGATTCTTGGGGTACCAGTGGTTCTTGGGGTACCACTAACACCACAAGTGGTTCTTGGGGTACCACTAACACCACAAGTGGTTCTTGGGGTACCACTAACACCACAAGTGGTTCTTGGGGTACCACTAACACCACAAGTGGTTCCTGGGGTACTACTTACACCATGAGTGGTTCTTGGGGTACCACCCTCGACAAGTGTTTCTTCTGGTGTCCATTAATACCACAAGTGGTTCTTGGGGTACCACTAACACTACAAGTGGTTCTTGGGGTACCACTAACACTACAAGTGGTTCTTGGGGTACCACTAACACCACAAGTGGTTCTTTCGGTACCACTAACACCACAAGTGGTTCTTGGGGTACCACTAACACCACAAGTGGTTCCTGGGGTACTACTTACACCATGAGTGGTTCTTGGGGTACCACTAACACCACAAGTGGTTCTTGGGGTACCACTAACACCACAAGTGATTCTTGGGGTACTACTTACACCACAACTGTTTCAGAGGTACTACTGGGGTACCTAATTATGCCACAAGTGGTTCTCATATATCTTGATTCTTGACTTTGTAAAATTGATTTAGGTACCAACTGCCATCTGAGTGGTTCAGGAGAGGAGGTAGTCTCTACAATCTTGCAGTAAAGACACACAAGACTCTACTCACAGACAAGAAATATGTCTTTCCCTATCAAGGTACTTGATTCTATTTGTAGTTTACTTATATACTTATGTACTGATTATTGATAGATATACATCTATATATATTTATAATTAGGTTTTTTGTTGTACTTTGATTTTCAGTTACAGATGGTAACTTGTTTGTTTAGAATTAGGCTTTCTTTCACGTTTATTAATTCATGTATTACAAATGATTACATACAGATAGTATTTTGATAGATTGACTTTTTACAGGTAGGTTGTCTTCAGATTGAATTTGAGTTTTAAATTGGCCATTTAGTATTCAGATTTCTTCAAATGGTTTGTGTAGAATTTGATTGTATTTTGATTAACTGTTTGGAATTCAGTTGCACATATATTTTGGTTTTAGGGTTTTGGCCACAATGTTGGAGTTTTGTTGAATTCTGTCACAGCATAATCTAGCTAGCGCTACCACTGATATGATGGCACTCAAATATGTCCCAATGATTATTTCTATGCAGTTGAAAGTACTTGTTATGCAGGAATATGAAATTTAGTGAGGTAGTACAATTGACACGAAAGTGTTCCTTTGACTAATCATGTCCAATATGTAAACAGAAGCAGAGAAGGCAGACACTTCTTTTATGATCATGTTGTTTTCGCAATATCCTTGATTGACTTTAACTAAATATTTTATACCAATCTATACATGCAAACTTGAGCAAATAAAACTGAAGGATTAAAATAAAATTAGTGGAAAATCTACATTGAAGGATTGTGAGTGAGTGATATAACATGTGTGATTAGAATGTCTGTTACTGTTATGAAAGAAGTTTTCATATGGTATTTTATGATTTTGGCTTTTCAGTCTCAGATGTTTACATTGTGTTGTAACCAAGGTATTTACACATGTTCTCACTTCCATGTACTGTACGTGTGTCAACAATTGTAACGTAAACAAGAGAATCATACTGATATTTAAGACAAATTGATAAACAATACTAATCCTGTGGCAGTTGTAAAAGCACATAAACTATATGACTTGCTAAATTTTAAGAGCTGGATTTCCTGTACTTTCTGTAAAAAATACAAATGTCTATCACATGTTTTGACTGGTGTTACGAAAAAGTTATGACCGCATTAGCATACAGTACAAAGATCCAGAATTTTATAATTACTTGAACAAGTGGGGCAAGATGCTGTATATGTTATTATGATAAAATTTCAGTTTGAATGGAAATAACTTTAATCATTACTGAGAACAAAAGTTTGTCATTTTCGTTAAGATTTCTGAAGTTATATATTGGTCACCAGTTTGATATTTGCTTGCAAAATGTAATGAAACTAGAAATAAGATGGGTCTTTATTAAACATTTCAAATATAATGTGTAAATCAACTGTCACATTTTTATGATTTTTAGTGATTACCAAATTTCACACAATGAAAAATTTCAGTTAGAAGTCATACTGACTGCAGTATAATTCTGGGTGTATATGCTATGAATGATCTTGGACATGGTCATTCACACAACTGCATGTAGTTGTGCCCCGTTAACATATTGATTTCCCTTTCAAAGGTTACAAATAAAGAAAATAAAACACTTTTTTTTGCTGCCCTACATCATTATGTAAACTATACAGTATATACAAAGGACGGTTTCACAAAAAAAATTTATAAATGAATATGGGCGTGACTTTTATAGGTGTGTCTTATTTATTTAATATTTATATTCACCAGAGAAAGCTAAAGGAGTATGAACAAGCTTTTGCAGTGTGCCGAGAGTGACACAATATTATGAAATACATACATTATTGTATTATATAGGTTGAAATATTGAATTATTAAAAACTTGTGGCCAAAACTTTCTGTTCAGAATTTGGTTGTGCATATATTTTGATTAACTCTTCAGAATTTTGTTGTATTTTGAGTGTTTAGAGTACTGTATAATTTTGTTGTATTTTGAGTGTTTAGAGTACTGTATAATTTTGTTGTATTTTGAGTGTTTAGAGTACTGTATAATTTTGTTGTATTTTGAGTGTTTAGAGTACTGTATAATTTTGTTGTATTTTGAGTGTTAAGAGTACTGTATAATTTTGTTGTATTTTGAGTGTTTAGAGTACTGTATAATTTTGTTGTATTTTGAGTGTTTAGAGTACTGTATAATTTTGTTGTATTTTGAGTGTTTAGAGTACTGTATAATTTTGTTGTATTTTGAGTTTTAAGAGTACTGTATAATTTTGTTGTATTTTGAGTGTTTAGAGTACTGTATAATTTTGTTGTATTTTGAGTGTTTAAGAGTACTGTATAATTTTGTTGTATTTTGAGTGTTTAGAGTACTGTATAATTTTGTTGTATTTTGAGTGTTAAGAGTACTGTATAATTTTGTTGTATTTTGAGTGTTTAGAGTACTGTATAATTTTGTTGTATTTTGAGTGTTTAGAGTACTGTATAATTTTGTTGTATTTTGAGTGTTTAGAGTACTGTATAATTTTGTTGTATTTTGAGTGTTTAGAGTACTGTATAATTTTGTTGTATTTTGAGTGTTTAGAGTACTGTATAATTTTGTTGTATTTTGAGTGTTTAGAGTACTGTATAATTTTGTTGTATTTTGAGTGTTAAGAGTACTGTATAATTTTGTTGTATTTTGAGTGTTTAGAGTACTGTATAATTTTGTTGTATTTTGAGTGTTTAGAGTACTGTATAATTTTGTTGTATTTTGAGTGTTTAGAGTACTGTATAATTTTGTTGTGAAGAAATGTTCATTGTTTTCATGACCAATAAACAAACCACAAGATTGAAAAACAGTAATTAAGGCTGAAGTTCAAAGCATTATGATTACGTAGTATTCACAAAAGTTTTTACTTTGATGTCTTATGTAGAAGTGTTATATTCTGATGGCCTTAATTAGACTAGTAAAGTGGTTAAATTAATTGTTGTGTATTAGGTTGAATTTTGATGGGCCACTGAAAATTTGGTGGTATCTTCATTTACTTTGGGAAATATGAGTGTGGAATCCTGTTATTTTGGAAATATTCCCTTTATAGGAGTGACTTGTTTGTACAACAAAGACAAAGATATTCTAGTCCCAGATAAGGAGTCCTCTAGACTGAAAACATGTTCCTTTTGTCAAGGGTAAGTATACTTTTCTGTTATCTAGTGCAAGTAGTATACATATTATGCAGCCATTTGTCCCTCTGTAGGAAACAATTTGACAGTGTGTATGATAAATCTGTGCATTCCATGCAGCCATTTGTCCTTCTACAGTAAAGAATTTGACAGTGTGTATGATATATCTGTGCATTCCATGCAGCCATTTGTCTCTCTGCAGTAAAGAATTTGACAGAGAGAGTGATATATCTCTGAGCACCTCAACTGATGTATTCATATATGCAGCATTGTATTGTGATACCAATTTGTACACCTGTTTTGATTTTGGATACTGTAGGTAAATGTTAAAAGGTCAGAGGTTACTTACTGTAAGTGATTTTTATAATGATAAAGCTGTTGTATAGTATATCTCATGATGATATTAAAACAAGGTTTTGAAATTGGTAGACATTGATCAAGGTCAGAAGGCATTAATCAAGGTCAGTAGGCAAAAGGTTAAAAAGACATTTTTCAAGGAATTATCACGTACACCACTTATTTACATGATCTCTTCCTTGTTTTACTCTCCATATTCATATTGGGCTAAAAATTCACATACTCCTGTGGATTTGTGATAATAATGATCTACCAGTTATATATTGACCTTCATCAAGGTTAATTTCTTTTCTTAGGTCTATACAAACATATTAATCACTTCAACAAATATGAATGATTGAGCTAACAAAAAAGTACCATCAAGGGAAGTGGATCCGTTTGTGTCCTGACATTTGTCAGGTCATATATTAATTGTAATGTTTTAAGTAGTTGTTAACATGACTTTATGACAGGTATGTAGATATACTTCTGTCTCATTTTCATTGTTTCCATTTCATTCCCTGGGACATTCACTTTAGGTTCCAGAAGTCATATTCTTATTCACATCAATTAATTGAACAAGAAATGTAATCCTTGTGTAGGGGTGATAGATTTCATAATCCGTAGTCAGCTTTGCAATTAAAATGGATTTTTCTTTATTCTATTCTTCATTACTTTCTCTATTCATTTGTAACTCACCATCTATATAATCTTAATTTAGCTATTAAGTGGTGAAAGAAATGTACAATAAGAGTGATGTTTTTCACATTTAACAAAACTTCAGTGAAACCGTGCGTCTAGTCAAACCTGATGGAAGTGTGCAGTATTACAATGGTGATCGTACCTTGGCACGGTCTACCTCTAATCGATGTGCCTGTGGCTTCAAACACTACTGGGATGGCAAGGAATATGATAACATTCCAGAAATGTATGTATAATGGTTACTCACTTATCTATTATTTAGAAAATCTTAATTAACAATGAAGGAGTCAATAATTTAATGATACCCAGTTGGTTTGCTACAGGTTCTCTATCTCTCTATAAGTCTAGGCAATTTTTTCACAGATGAATGTAAGTGGCATGGACATCATGTACTTTGTAAAGGTTACAATGATTGGTGTATTTTTCCGTTCTAGATTTCCTGTGACCCTACAGTGGAATGGTAAGGTGGTCGAGGAGAAGGTATCCTGGTTCCAGTATGAGACAGACCCAAGTCTGAACAGTAATGTGTTTCAGGTAGCACAAAGGCTAGTCCAGCAACATTTCCCAGGTAAATTTATTTATGTGCTAAAATAGTCATTTTCATGCTACCTCAATATTATGTAGGGTTCCTACACTGTGAAAGGGTCCTACATCCCTTTCATGGCATCTTGCCTTGCCACATCCTCCTGAACCATCATTAATTTCATTGCTTTTCCGATATTATACATAAATTGGTTCTCTTGAGACATCGAGAACATGATGTAGCTGTAATCGTACAGAGTCACTTTGAGGCAGGGACCACGCTCAACAACATAAGTCAGGTCTGTTGTATGCCATCCAAGCTATCAGGTCTGAGGTAACCTAAGTCAATGCTCTAATCTACATCTGATAAAGAGCTTAATCTGTTACTGTCTAAAATGCAGTGAAGAATAAAGAGAATACACAAGGATAGTATTTAGTCAAAAAATAACAAAATGACTTTGAGATGAACATCTTGGATTTGGCAGGAAAAGATTATCATTGCTATTTCTGCAAAGGAATGTTTAACTTCCTTATCATGATGAGCAAAAACAGAGAAGAGAAAAGAAGGGAAATTTTTAACTTTCAAAGAGCAAATAAAGATCAAACAATGGTGGGTGCCAAGATCCCTTTGGGATCTCTTGTTATGTAATGGGCATAACTCACCAATCCTTTGATCAGTTTTATTGAAATTTGGTTTTATGGTGTACCTTGTCAATGCCTGTAATTTGACACATGAGGTGTTACCAGAATTGTTACAATGGAAGCATGATAGGTGCTTCTTATTGGTCGAAATTGAGATATTGTCAGACTGTGCTGAAAGCAGATATTTAAGGGTTTTGAGGGAAGACAATAACAATAATGTTTTTCTAAAACATCAGATGTTATTTGTTTGATATGGTAGCCACATGAGGCCAATAATTTAATAAATCTTTTCTAGACTTCTCCTATGTTGTGGACCAATTACAATGAGTAGATGTGCAAAATTGTGCATGCAGGTTTTTTTCAGAAGTTTTGTTTGCCATGGTTACCAGGTCACTATACACAGGTTTTCATATAATGTGCCATAACTCTTAGCCCTTTCATTAATTTCGTTTAAACATGATCAAATACTATATCTGATTATAATTGTAATTGACTTATTAGGTGTTCTAAAACTGTTACCATGGAAGCACATTGGAGGCTTCTGATTGGTCAAAATTAAGATAACTGATAAAAGTGAAAATTGGTATAAAAAGTTTTAGAGGGATGACAAAAAAAAGTGAAGGTCTCTTGGAGGAATATTGTTCCAACAACCCTTCCCAAACTATTGTTGGGGAGTGAAGGTGGGTGGAGGTGTATTAGTCGGCCATTCTGGTAACAGTTCTAATTTGGTAGTAACAGACATTTCTATAAACAGGTGAATTTGGAAGTGAGCGACTAGTCCAGCAGGTTGTTGACACCATCCTTCGCAATACTGCCAGCCGGGATACCAGTCAGACGGAGGAAGCTATGGCATCACAGGATGTTGATATGGCTGATGACCCTTTGTGGTCCTCTGATACTCCCTCTAAAATTATACTGACCGGTTATAAGGTAAAGGTCATCTTACATCATACTGATTGGTTATAAGGTAAAGGTCATCTTACATCATACTGATTGGTTATAAGGTAAAGGTCATCTTACATCATACTGATTGGTTATAAGGTAAAGGTCATCTTACATCATACTGATTGGTTATAAGATAAAAGTTACCTGCATCATAATGATATAAGGTAAAGGTCATCCATAGTCAATGACATCCTACATCATATGGATAAGTTATAAATGTTAAGGTCATGTAAAGTCTTGCTAACTGGTTATAAGGTCATTCTACATTATACTGACCAGTTGTAAGGTAAAGTTCATCCCACATTCTACTGACCAGTTATAAGGTAAGGGTAATCCTACATCATACTGACCAGTTATAAGGTAAGGGTAATCCTACATCATACTGACCAGTTATAAGGTAAGGGTAATCCTACATCATACTGACCAGTTATAAGGTAAGGGTAATCCTACATCATACTGACCAGTTATAAGGTAAGGGTAATCCTACATCATACTGACCAGTAATAAGGTAAGGGTAATCCTACATCATACTGACCAGTTATAAGGTAAGGGTAATCCTACATCATACTGACCAGTTATAAGGTAAGGGTAATCCTACATCATACTGACCAGTTATAAGGTAAGGGTAATCCTACATCATACTGACCAGTAATAAGGTAAGGGTAATCCCACATCATACTGACCAGTTATAAGGTAAGGGTAATCCCACATCATACTGACCAGTTATAAGGTAAGGGTAATCCCACATCATACTGACCAGTTATAAGGTAAGGGTAATCCCACATCATACTGACCAGTTATATGGTAAGGGTTATTCCACATTATACTGACCAGTTATTAGGTAAGGATAATCCCACATCATACTGACCAGTTATAAGGTAAGGGTAATCCTACATCATACTGACCAGTTATTAGGTAAAGATAATCCTACATCACCTCTCCTAGAAATGTAATGATACACATGTTGTTTGTATGAAACTACTGAAGAACACTTTGTTGAAATAACAACAGATCTAGCTGAATATTACTGAATTTATATACTGCATTGTAATTTTGAAATATCAGCATCAAACCTTGCACAAAGAGGAGCTGACAAAGAGTCAGACAGAGAAAAATATCCGTAAGCAGGTAGAGAGCCAGGCGTCTAAAAACCAACACAGAAGGACAAAGGAGGTTGCTATCTTGACGGCTAAGTCCAGTCCAAAAAAGGTTAGTATTCATTATTTCCAGCAATTTGTATTATCTAAACATAATTCTTAAGTTATCTAGAAAACTTATTAGCTAACCATAGCCATCTGTATATCTGACTTTCCCCGAACAATTATTGGTTTGGCAATTTCTCGGGAAGTAATGGAAGGACGTTCTTAATTTACATATGAAGGTTCTTCTTTGTCCTTTGCTATGAATCGTATGCTTTGGAACTGATCATAAAAATGAAATGGCTGACAGGTGGCCATCTTGGTCTTTGACACTTACAGTTGATAAAAGCTATTTCTTGCCCTGCCCGTCACTTGTTTATTGATGTAAGCATATGATTATTATATAGGAGGAAACTTTTGGGATAGTTGAACTGTTTCCCATTTTGTCAATGAATAAAAAACAAAATGGCAGCCAAATTTCTGTATTAAAGCTGGAAATATCTTGTGATTTTAGTGATGATTAGATATTCCTACATTAATTTACCTTCAGGATTCAAATATTAGAGTTACAGATTATAAATACATTATTACATTTCTTCCGTATGTTGGTAAAGTCCAAGTCTGACTTCATCGCCAAGAAGATAGAAAACACTAGCCCTTCTCATGTTCCCATGGAAACTACACCATCAACTAAGACAAGGCAGAAAAAGGTTCGCTTGGCAACCTCAGACGGAAGACAGGTAATATTTGCACAAAGTGTGGTTCTTATTCTGATGTTTTTCTGAAGGTAAAGATATCACTGATTGAGAAAACACAGTGTTACTAGTGCTACTTAATTTCTAATTGACATATATTTCGGCCATCTTTATCTTTTATCGTTGAAATCATTTGACCAATTAAAAAAAGTTGTTGATTGGAATATGTTCCGTAATTATAGATATTTAGATGAATTATTCTGATATATCAGATATGAATTCGTATGTGATTCTTTCCAGTGGACAATATGTTCTAGTTAGATTTTGTCTGGAATTTATCACACATTTAAAGTTGCTCATATAGAAAACTGCAATTTAATTTAAATTCTCAATTAGGAAATAAGGTAAGCATGAAAAGTCTTTGTACAAAACAATTTTTTGTTTCACATTTAAGGTGATGCTAACATTAGATAAAGATTTGACCTTCAATGATCTACAACAAATGATTCACTCAGCTGTTGATGTCCCTCCCAAACGTCAGAAAATTAGGGTTGGATTTCCTCCAAAAGAGCTTAAGCCGCCACCTGAATCAGAGTCAGATAGGCTCATCAACCTTCAACATGGTGATAAGATTGCCCTTGAGGTTCTACCAGACCCATTATCAAACGTGGCAAAGTCAAAGTCATTAAGTAAGTATTCAAGGTCACTCTCTCTTCTAGTAGAACTTTCTAGTATCTAAATGATGTAATTTCCGATCGTTTGTATCAAAGGTACTGTGGATCTAATGTTGGATATGGAAGTAAATTAAGATAAAAATTGTGAAAGTATTTCAAATTACTTACAATTTTAAAATCTTCACTTGTTCTCCACTATAGATGGAGTTATTGGTCTGTCGTTCAGCATGTACCATTTTTAGCTAACCTGGCCTGAAGGGCAGAGTGAGCTATAGGGATACCATGGCATCTGTCATCCTTTTACACAGTCCATCATCTGTCGTCTGTCAACCTATAAATGGCAACTAGTCATGAATAACTGAGCAGATTTTAATCAAATTTGGTGCGAGGCATCCTTTGGAGACAGCGAACCAATTTGTATACACGATGGGTTTTGGCCCCCATGGGCCTTGGGGCCCAATAGGGAAAATCTATCAGTTTCTTTAAAATCTATCTTGTTTTTCAGGAATTGCAGGATATTGTCAAAATTTAGTCAGAATCATACTTGGGTAAAAGGGAATCAGTTTTGTATAAATGGTGGGTGGAATAGTAGAAATTCTCTAAAATCCCTTTTTTGTTGGAATGCCTGATTCTTTTATAATTTCATCTGAAGCATATCTAGTTGAAAGGAACCTAACTTTGTATCTACCAGGAGTTTAACATCAGAGATGTACATTCTTCCATATGAGGATATTGTCCATGTTTGGTCTGATGCAATTTTTGTGAATGGTGAATCTGACTTCTATTTGACCACAAGGCTGGTTGGGACCCAATATGGAAATTATTGCAGAAATCATTTGTCATATTTGAAATTTTATTTATATGACTTAATAGCAGAATTAGTCTGGTGAACACTGCTGGCCCCTTGGACCCTTACTTATAAATTTGGTTGATATAGGTTCCGTGTCAGCCTCGCCTGCAGCAACTGTACCCCGAATGAGTTGGAGCCACTTCGACGAGGACACCCACCCTGCCTCCGCTGACAGTTTATTGCAGAGTCTAAAAGATGCACAGGATGGTAATTATGCACATTGTTTATCATGTAATATGCCCTGTCCTGAAAGTCATGTCAGAGTTACATGGCAAGGAAATATCGTCGGTTTACAGGTCCACTTAAGAGCAGTATATATACACATACATGACCAGATTTAGGCTTATTTCAAGTTTTAAAATTATGGTAGTGAGGGGTTTCTTTGATTTTATATAGATTTTTATTTCTTATGGAGATTTAAGAAACAAATCTTTTTCTTTTTGTGTTTTTTTTTACATTCACAGCCAAGAGAATTTTGCAATAACTTAGCAACCAAGCATTATTATAAGCCCAACATCATCAGATGGTGTGCTATTCAAATTGCTCTTCGTTCGTCTGTCCAGGTGTCTGTCCGTCCATCTGCCTGTAAACAATTTTTGTTATCACTATTTCTTGAGAAGTCCTGGATGGATCTTGCATATGTAGGTTCCCCTGGGGCCTTAGTTGTGCCCATTTGATTTTAATAAAAAATACAAAATGGCAGATGGACAGCCACCTTGGGTGTTTTCAATGAAGTTTGTTATTGCTATTTCTTGAAAAGTAATGGATGGATCCCTTTCAAATTTCATATGCAATTTTCCTTTGGTTTGTAGTTGTGCCTATCTGATTTTGGGTATGATAAAAAAAATAAATAACTGACAGGTAGCCATCTTGTATTTTAACTTTGAGTTTGTTATTACTATTTCTTGAGAAGGACCAGATGGATCTATCTCAAATTTCATAGTAGGTTCCCCTTGGTCTCTAGTTGTGTCCATGTAATTCTGGAACTGATGAGAAAAGCAAAATGGCTGATAGGTTGCCATCTTGGATTTTGATTTGAAAGATTTTAATCACTATTTCACAAGAAGTGCTCAATGGATCTTTCTTAAATTTCATATGTAAGTTTCTCATGGTCTTTAGTAATGCCCATTTAATTTTGGATCTGATCAGAAAAGCAAAATGGCTGATAGGTGGCCATCTTGGATTTTGATTTGAAAGTTTGTAATCGCTATTTCTCAAGAAGTATTCAATGGATCTTTCTTAAATTTCATATGTAAATTTCTCATGGTCTATAGTAATGCCCTTTTAATTCTGGATCTGATCAGGGGAAAAAAATGGCCAAAAGGTGGCCATCTTGGATTATGTTATTGCTACTTCTTGAGAACTACTGTATAGATCTTTCTCAAATTTCATGTATAGGGTATTTTAGGTTCCTACTTGTGCCTATTTGAGTTTTGAATGATCAGAAAAACAAAATGGCCAACAGGCAGCAATCTTGGATTTTGTCTAGTAAAGATTGTTATTGCTTTTTCTGAAAGGATATCTCTCAGATTTCATACTTATGTTCCCTTTGATCTTTCCTTCTGCTTGTTAGCTTTTGGAACTGATAAGAAGAAACACAATTATTTTGCAGGCTAATCTTTACTTGCCAAATTCAAAATGGCCAACTGGAAGCCATTTTGAATTTGGCAAGTAAAGATTAGCCTGCAAAATAATGTTCAAATGTCTTATCATTAAGAGCAAAACCAGAGAAGAGAAAAGAAGGGAAAAGATCCAACTTTCAAGGGGCATAGAAAGATAAAACAATGGTGGGCGCCAAGATCCCTCTGGGATATATATTCATCTTTTTTATCTCCCTTTGCATCTTATGTATCTGATTTCTTTCTATAGACCTGTGCATTATTCACTCGTAGAGAAAATCATTTTATACACATTCACCCACATGATTCCACAGCATATGTGTGTAAGTGAAGTGTTATGTAATGATATGTATAACGGTTTGTTTTTGCGAAGTTGAGTTGAATGATTACGAGCCATGTATGTATTTATGTTCGTATGTAGAAGTATAAATCTAAAGAGAGGCGTAGTGGAGAAAGGATGTGTATACAAGTATTGGAAGATAAGCATGAATGTCAGCAAGTGATAGAGGGTGTGTACTTGTATGTGTGCGGCAAATAAATGTGTGTATGCTAGTGGTATGCTATGTATAGATTAGGACACTGGTGAACAGATCTGGGTAGGGAAATAGTTGTAAGATTATCTCTCTTCAGAGAAAAACAGAGAAACAAATCTTTCTTGTTTAAGCAAGCTTCTGGTGTCTGAAGATAAGGTAAAAAAATTGGGACAAATTTCATAGATCACTAGGAAAGGATGAATTTAATATCTTTTTTATCACATGGTCCTTTCCTTGTGCAGAAATGTTTCCTTTGGCTCCATTTCTATGATCTCCATTGTGATAAGTTATGTAACGTAATACAGCATGACCTCATTTGCAAAAATATTGCAAGGATATTAACTGAATAATGCAACAGGCGTATGATACTGCTAATTATTTCAGTATTAGGTGTGACTGTTTTACCAAAGCCTAATTTGTTAGATATCCATTATGGGTAAAAATGCTAAACCTTTGGTAATGCAGTAATATTCAGTATGACAGTATGTTTTCAAGGGCTTCTGTTTTCAAGGTTTAGTTAGCATTGCTATAATGCTGTAGTATTCATAATGACAGAATTTTTTAAGGGCTTCTATTTTCAAGGTTAAGTTAGCATTGCTAAACCACTGATAATTCTGAAGTATTCATTATGATGATATTTTTCAACAGCTTCAAGCATTGCTATATCTCTAGTAATGCTGTAGTAATCATTATGACAGTATTTTTCAAGAGCTTTTATTTTCATGGTTTTGTTGGCATTGCTATACCACTGATAATTCTGTAGTGTACATTATGACAGTATTTTCAAGAGCTTCTATTTTCAAGGTTTATTTAGCATTGCTATATCTCTAGTAATGCTGTAGTAATCATTATGACAGTATTTTTCGATGGCTTCTATTTTTGAGGATGGAATAAAATTTAAATCGGAAGGAAAAGTAATAACAAGTATTAATTTCAAGTTTTCCTTAAATTCCCCTATTTGCCTGGATTTTGGGTAAAATCTTGAAAATATGAATGATTATAAAAAAGCAACATCTACCGTATTGCATCAATAGTATACAAAGAAATGCTTCTTTTGCCTTCATGTATCACAGGAAATGGTTCCTTATGATCTTTTACTTGATTTACAGCTAATGACACACTAGATGCCAGTATTGCATCACTAGCCATTATGGCAACCATTGCTGGAAAGGATCTTTGGACACAGGTGCAGAGTATGCCTCATTTGTTCTCCGTTGGGGGTCTCTTCTACAAACAGGTGGAGCGGGACCTTGGACTGGTAGATGGTAAACACTGCCAGCTTCCATCTATCCCAGGAAAGGTACAAGATTTCATTTATCTCAATTTTCAAGTTTAATTTATTCAGAATCTAAATATATGAACAAATTACACAGAGGCACATTGCGAGGAAGCTTAATAGATTATTACATTATGATAATATGGGTTAAGGGGCTATAACAGCTGTAGTGCTTGCCAAAACTTCAGTATTACCCGGCGAACAAGTAAATACTTAAATAGAACGTCAAGATATTGAAGTTGCTTTGTACTTAAAGAGAGGCAACTTAACTATTTACTGCCAAATAGACTTCTTGGGGGACTTACGAATTACATAATGAAGTAAAATGCCCAAATTGAAGATGTACCACAGCTGAAATACCCCCAAGAACTAAAATAAAGTCTCTTGTGACCTATTGCAAATGCCTTTTGTCCCATGGCGTGCTGCATCCAGCGTCGTGCAAGCATTGTAAACAATTTCCATTTTCGACTTCTACTCAATAAACAAATGGCCTAGGGTCTTTGTATTGGGCCAGTAGCATACTGGGATGATGAGCTACTAAGTTTGTTCAAATGAATGACCTTGACCTTCTTTCAAGGTAGCATGGGTCAAATGTGTTAAAATTAAAATTAAAATATTTTAATAACTTCTTATCAATAACAAAATGACCCAAGGTCATGATATTGGGCCAGTAGCATGCTGACTTTCACCTTTATTCAAGGTAACAGAGATCAAATATGCTAAACAGGCGGGGGTCAAATGTATTAAAAAATCTTCAAACAACTTCTCTATAATGAAAGGGTAATTAAATTGGGCTTTTAGCTTACTGGGGAAAAGGAGTACCAATATTGTTCAAAGGAATGCCATCAAATAACTTTCAGTAACCTTTTAATGTTACACAAACAGGTGAGTAATGCAGGCACATTGGGCCTCTTGATTACCACAATGCACCCTGGGAGAAAGTGATATAAAGAAGTGAAAGATAAGAGATATTAGAATCTTATTATATTCAATCAGTGAAAATATCAAAACTTGTTTAGATATTGCTTATATTGTCACTGTCAAAACCTATAATTCTCCATTAAATATAAGTAGTTGTAGCAGATATTTATTTTCTAAAAAATTACTAAATTTTCTCTTTTGAAACTCTCAGTCTTAGTCAAATAATTACATTGAAGTCTGTACTACCTTTTGCAGGTTTTTCGATATAATGCTAAGGAAGGCAGACTTGAGCTCTGCATGGAGCCTTACGGTCATTTCCCAATTGAACCTGGTGTTGATAGAAAAGTAGCAGAGCTGAAGGAACAGGAAGAGAAAATAAGATTTGGAAGCAGCGGAGCTTTGAAACATGAAACTAGAAAACAGACAGCCTTCTCAGGTGAAGGACATTCCTTACAGAAAATGAACATTGAACGAATGCCTAGCAATATTGTCAATATGACTACCCACCATCACCATGGAAACCATAACAATACTGTTAGAACCATGCAGACAATGTGTGATCCCAATAAACATGAAGCTGCCATACCAGAAGATATGGTCACTGAGACCTCTGTTAAGGGAGATAAGTCTGCTGAGGAAGGGAGAAAGTACCAGAGGCTTGGGCCAGGGTACAGTGTGTTGGATGCTGATGTTACTGGCAACACCAGTCAGAGTGCTCAGTTTTTTAAGGAAATAACAGACAGTATGGAAAAATCCATGCAAGAGATTGATCAAGAGGTAATGATTTGCTGATTTTTCTTAGAGTTAAGATATTTCAACAAAATATATGTGACTGCAACTAAGAAAAGAAAATCCTAGAAAACTTGACTCACATTAATTTAAGTTGCTCATTTAATTATGTGATCCATGCTAATCCATGTAAAGTGCTGTGTAGTTGATAAAGCTTAAGCCAAACTTTAAAGAAGATTTTAGATTTTGCAGGTTTAGTGAAATCATTGGCACTTGGTAATTTAAAATCTGAGTACTTGTGTCTTCATATATCATCTGCTCTGTTTTAGTGTTCACAAAATATGATATATGTATATGCTATTTGATTTTTGTTTCTCTGAAACTACTTAGCAGATCTTTTGTACCATATCCAGATATTGGCCACATTTTCTTTCTGGATTGTTTTTTTGGTTACTGTCATAAACAGTCATTATATAAAATTTCTTGAGAAATTGACTGGAACTCTTCAGTCCTATATTTCAATAGTACAATGTTTTTTGGTCAATAGATTTAACATTTCATTTTCTATAATGAAATATTTTCTAATCATTTGCCATGGCAACATTAGGGAGACTCCCATTTGGTTGAAGTTTAAAGATTGTCTGATTAACTTATGATAGGGTTTTTAACTCGCATGTCTCAAAGCCCAAGTGAGCTTTTGACATGTCATGGAATTGCCATATGTCCAACAGTTGCTACAAATCCTACCCACTGATTGGGTTTTGATTTTGTTTGTTCAGAAGCACTTTTGGGAAAGGGAGCCAATTTCATGTGAATGGTTGGTTTGGGCAACTCAGACCTGAGAGGTGGCAGTCTAAAGGGGGAAAATTTTCAAATTCTTTAAGTTCTCTTTCCACTATAGGAATGACTGGAGTCCATATAGGGAACTTATTTCATATAAATGTTTTATATTTCATTTTTCTCTGCCTTTTTTTTATAGATGGAACGTCTTGATGAGGAAGAAAAAAGACAGTTCTCTTCTGCAACTGAAAATGTGATTGGTGAAATGCAGCCTGATGTTATTCATCCTTTTGTACACATTGGAAGTACAGCCGTGGTTGATCTGTCTACAGAAGATCAACTGTCACCTGATTCTACGCGACCTTTAGAAACTGATAGAAACCAAGCAGAGGTTCAACTCTCAGACAGTTTAAACGATCAAAATATTGGCGATGAAAAAATAAATACAGAAAGTGATCTTAAAAATCCTGGTGATGAATGTGTTGATATCTGTGCATCTGGAGTTTCAGAAACGTGCTCTACTCAAATATATTCTACAGTGGAAGCTCCTTGTCCTGTTTCCATGCCGGAAGTTGACAAAAGGGAATCTCCTGAATCCTTTGAGGTAGTATATGAAAGGGTCAGTGACTCCACAAACATGAATGAAGACAATATGACAAAAGACAATAGAGCAGGTGGTGACATTTCAATGGTGAAAAATGAGGAAAAGAAAAACTGTATTTCAAAAATAACAGAAAATGCCAAAGAATCTTGTATGCCCAAATCTGATGGCAATGCATAGATAATAGGAATAAGATACCTAGGTAAGGTGTAGAGACTCCTGTCTACAGACAGAACGAGACAATAGGCAAATACTTTCTTGATACAGACATGACAAGATGCGGCTAAATGAATAGTTACATGCAGTAAACAGAGCCAGATTATTTGAAGTGCTGTTAAAGTTTAACAGGTTGTTGACTCAGATTTTCTAAATGTATTTTGTTTTACCGTATGAAATTTTTAGTGTTTTCATTTTTTAAAAATTTTTTTTGTGCCTCCAGATTGGGATGTAAAATTCTTGACACACAATTCTTAACTGCAATGATTAAAAAAAATATTTGAGACTGAAAAGTTGATTTAATCATCTATAAATGTGACAATATTAACAAAAAAACCCATAAAATTGAACACAACAGATGGCAGTCAATGTGTGCCAGGTATTTATCACACTTCTATGCAAGGTTGTTCACCAAATTTCATTCAGTGAATTGTGTTTGAATTCAGTAGAATCAAACAGTTGTAAATATTGTGAATGATTAATTTTACTAGCGGTAAATGGCAGTGGTGGGTGATGATCAGATTTAATCAATTATCCAATTATTGTTTCACCTCATTTTTTGCGATGATCAATTGTTATTTTTTAAAATCGATCATCGGTACTTCAATATTTTCTTGTATTTTAGTGAAAACATTCTTCATATTACAAAAAAAGGTGGCAATTGCCAATAATACACAAATTCCAGGTAATTAAGATATTTTGTAATAAAGTTATAGTATCAATAAAAAAAAAAGAAAATTATACTGCGATGGAAAATGCTTTCACTTTCTATAGATATTGAACACACAGCCAATTATGTAATCAATTAACTACATAGAAAAAACTATTCAATTTTAACCGGTAATCAATTATAGATTTTAACCTATTACCCATTACTAGTATGTAGTTGGAATACCATCAACAGTTATATTGATCAAATGCCATCAAAGCTTACCATTGGGAGTTGACCAGGAATCCGTACCAGTGATAAATGATATAGAAGATGTATCAATAATTTTGCTTGACTATTGATATGATGTCAACAGTGGTCAGTTGTGGTGTTACCACCTTTTATATAATGTAATATGGGAACCTTGTAAAAGTCTTGACAATAAAACAATTATGCATTTTATTATTTCAGTAGAGAATTTATCAGGAAGAATGTATAAGAAGGAAAATTTGTAATACTATTATGTGTTGTTGTACCCAATACAGTGTCCTATTAACTGTAGTTGGTTACACTTTTATTGTCATAATGTTAAAATTCCATCGTTTACATGAAGTATGAGAATAGGTTAAAAGAAAGCAATGATCATTCATTCTAAGCCATAGATTATGTCAGGTTATTTATTTAACCTTTGACGATTCATCTAACCTAATAACATACTGTATTTATTTCACAATAACCCCAGGAAGCCACCACATCGCTGTTTACTCAAAGTAAAGAGTGAACTAATTACCTGACAATGAAAAAGTATTTACATAGTTATTATTTTTAAACATTTTCAACTTCTTAAAAATCAAATAACATTTAATAAAAAAAAACACTATGTAGTCTGTACTACTAATTTCTGAGATGTGTAGGGTAACAAAGAATGTACAAGTGATATATTTTGCCAGAAAGTCCCGAGTCCCAGTCATGATATTTTGGTATTAGATGTTGGGTTCTGATTTGTTAGTTTACTCAGTCAAAAGGATCGATCTGCTTTTGCCATGTCACAGCATCTGATGACCACCCAACAGCAAATTTTTTTGAAAATCACTACAAGTGATAAATGACGAAGCTGATTTTGATTAAATTTTGTCTAGGGCATCCTTTTAAGAAGGGGGATTGAATTGTTTAAACGATGGGTCTGAACCTGCTGGAAGAAGAGAGGTTGGCCCAAGAGGGGGGAAATTTTTTTAAATCCTCCTCTGTAGGAATTAGATTGTTTTTCTCAGTATTTGGAATCCATTGGTGAAGGTAAATCAATTGCATGTAAATGGTAGGTCTTGGCTCATGTCTTGGGGTCTGACAGATAAGACCTAGTAGAGGAAATGAAAATCCTTCTTCTGTTTGGATCAAGATATTTTGACCAAATTTATTTTTTTAAGCATCCTTGCATAAAGGGGACTAATTTTTCAAATACTATGACTGGGATGAAGATGATATAATTTTACATTTTTAGCTTAACTCTGAAGTTTCATATGCTGTTATATATATCTTTACTAACCACTGATAGATATTTAACAACATGTGGCCAGAACCCTGACATTCATCGGTGAGGAAATGCCTAATGATAGGATGAGTCACAGAGATGGAAAACCTGTATCCAACCAGATACTACCAGTATATTCTTAATCATGTAGATTTGTACTGGTAGTAAATATATTAAAGATCAAATTGGTTTATCTATCTAGAACATTGTATTTACCAATAATTTTTTATTGATTCACCACTGACCAAAAGTGTTTAGCCACCTATCATAAGAGTCATGTAATCATGGAGGCCTTTGTTTACTTGTAGAGACTGGAGTTAGGTGGTGGACCTGTACATATAGTTGGAATAATTCTGACATTATATTGACTTTTTAGATCTCTCTGGCATTAATGAATAGACTTGAGCCTTATATATTAAAAAGGTTGATATAACATCAGAATAATTCTGACCACTGTACTTGAAATTTCATTGACTAATACATAACTTAGGGAGGAGTCAGAGCAGTTAAAGGCAACATGATTTGATGACAGATGTTGTTATTAATGTACAGAAATTGGTATGGCACCACTTTGGTTGAGTATGACATTTAAAATATTTTTTTATTTTAGCTGCAGTTTGATGAAGAGAAAAGTAATTAAAACCTGTCATTAATTTTTTTGAAAATCTTTATTAAATGAAACATTAGAATTCTAGACCAAAAGCTTAGTTGATTTAAATGATATTCTGTATTCTGTGTAATGTAATTTTGCAGTGTATGTAAATATTTGACAAGATTTGTGTAAGACCATACTAGTAGACTTGCTCACAATTGTGACTACCTAACTTTCTACTTAGATTGATCATAGAAAATTGTTTCATCTGGAGATGCTTCACTTTTTGTTTGAAATAAAAGTGTTGTTTTAAATATGTGGATGTCTTGCTGAAAGTAGAAACAAAATGTTGTTTAACATTTGAACACATTTCTAAGGCTACAGAATTAACACAGATCCAAGGCCAAAGCATTAACACAGTTCTGAGGCCACAGAATTAACAGTTCTGAGGCCACAGAATTAACACAGTCCTGAGGCTACATAATTAACAGTTCTAAGGCCACAGAATTAACACAGTCCTGAGGCTACATAATTAACACAACGTTCTGAAGCCCACAGAATCAACACAGTTCTGAAGATTATATAATCAACACAGTTCTGAAGGCCACAGAAATAACACCGTTCTGGAGGCCACAGATTTACCACAGCTCTGAAGGCCACAGAATTACCACAGTTCTGAAGGCCACAGAATTAACACACTTCAGAAGGCCACAGAATTAATACAGTCCTGAGGCTACAGAATTACCACAGTTCTGAAGGCCACAGAATTTTAGCAGCTCTGAAGGCCACAGAATTACCACAGTTATAAAGGCCACAGAATTACCACAGTTCTGAAGGCCACAGAATTACCACAGTTCTGAAGGCCACAGAATTTTAGCAGCTCTGAAGGCCACAGAATTACCACAGTTCTGAAGGCCACATAATTTTAGCAGCTCTGAAGGCCACAGAATTACCACAGTTATAAAGGCCACAGAATTAACACAACTCTGAAGGCCACAGAACTATACTGATTACACTCTCCGGGGACACAGGGACCATTGTACGACATAAACGTTCTTCAGTATTGCTAGGCTGTTGTGAGCTTTACATCACAGACATTGTAATATTGCAGATATTATGTTATTTCCATATTCAATTACTAATATTGATAATAGCAGATATGTCACACACAACTTTTGAACATTCATAGCCATTTGAATTCAGTTGAGTTGCCATTGTATTTAAGATGAAGCAGGCTTTTAGGCATTATGCTATATGGATGCAACAGGTTTGAATTGATACATGTAAAATGCTGAAAAAATTGGTGTTCAATGTTGAAATCTGCCTGAAATACTGCATAAAACAAAGCTTAAACATCTGGTGTTTACTTGTTTTCATTTTATTCCGGTCATTCTAGTTTTCTACCAAAAATGTGATACATTTTGCAAGATGCTTGATTTGCGTTAGAAATAACATATATGTATTGTAAACCCAAGATGTCTCGAGTAGAACTGAAATAGTTCTTTGTGCTGTTGTGATGGCATAGGTTCTTGATAAAATTATGCCATATTTACATAGAATGTAGTCATTTCATTTGAAGCAGGCTGTTATAATAGTTATCTAGCATTAGTTGTGAGATATATGTTGTTAATTGTTGAAATGATGTTTCTTAGTTCAGTTTGTAACGCCAGAGTGACATTGATGTGTTTGATAAGTGCTATAAATTATACCTAATGTATGCATGCTGTTATTGTTTGCCAATGTCAACTTCTACTTCATTATTAAATTATCCATGCATCAGATCTTGTTTTCAGATTTATTTGAGATTATGTGACAATCTTTCTGTATTCTGATATAGAAATCGTTTCAGGTGCTGTGGTTTTCTGTCACTGGTAAGATATTTTGGAGTATCAGTCATGTATCAAATGAAAGTGGTAGAATGTTGATATTTTATAAGAGTGCTTTTGGAGTCAAACATGTTGTACAGTAGAAATGAAAAAGAGTGTACTTTCCTTCAAAATGGTACGGCTAATTGATAGGTTATTAGCCTTTTATTGAAGAAGTCAAGCAAAGATGTCCTTTATCAGCTCAACTATTCTCTGACTGTTTAAGGCTGTGTACCCGAAGGCAGTAACCATTTGGTCTGTATATGTTAAAGAGGTAGAACTCTGAAGTAAACAAGGCAAGTGACTTTTGAAAAACTGGACAAAATCGCAGAAAGATTATTGATTCAATAGTTACTTAAGAAAGGTTAAGCACCTCTATATAAATACTGATATGGTAGCAACACTAGGGAATGATGCTACTTCATATGCTACAGTGCAAATGTGGGTAGCAGAATTTAAGCGTGGCAAGCAGAACTTTCAGGATTAACATCTGAAGGCCTGTCACTGTTCCAACCCCAGATATGGTCAGTTAAGTCCATGATATTGTTATGACTGACAGGTTAGTTACAGAGGGATATGTAACCAGCACATTAGGGAGTACACAGGAAGGAGTACATTTCATTCACACAGAAGATCCTGCAATGAGAAAGCTATCAGCCTATTGGGTCCAAGACTCCAGACAGTTGATCAGATGCATACCAAGCAGACTTTGTCACATGCTAATATTAACCTTTTAGAGGCAGATCCTGAATAGGTTGGACTAAGAATGAAACGTGGGTCCATCATTTCAGCCCAGAGAACAAACAATGGAAGCACCCTGGTTCACACCATGTCAAACAAGGCCAAGGCTGTTCCATCAGCTGGAAAGGTTATGGTCTCAGTTTTCTGGGATGTGGATGATATTCTGATGGTTGATTATCTGCAAAAGGAACAAACAATCAATGGCACATATTATGCATCAATTCTTTGGCAGTTAAGAGAAAATATCAAACTCTGGCCTGGAGTAAAACTCCTTAAATGTGTGCTGTTCCACCAGGACAATGTCCCTGTTCACAAGTCTGTCATTGCCATGGCTGCCATTTACGATTGTGGTTTGAGCATCCGCCTGATTTGCCTGATCTTGCTTCATCAAGCTTTCATCTCCTTTCAAAATAAAAAAGGTGATTTCAGATGATGATGTCATACATGCAGTGGAGGACTTTCTGAATAGTCAAGAAATGATTTCTCTAGAAGTGGCATTGCATCCCTTAAACATCACTGGCTAAAGTTGAAGTTTCTGTTTAAGACACAGAATGGTAATATTTTATGGGAATTTTCTTTTGGGGACTAACATCATGCCATACAGTCATAAGGGAAGAGTATTTTTTTTCTCAAATTTTACCAAGTTTTGGACATAACATTTCTTGTTGGAACATTTTGTTTTCAAAGTTTTAACAGCATCACTCATGAAAAGAGATAGAATGATAATTTGATCAGAAGTATCATTGGGGTAAAGGGAACCAATTCTGTAATACAATTGGGTCTGGGGCCAGAGGGCAGGAAAAATGAGCAAAGTTCAATTAGGGACAAGCTGTGAACTTTTTTCTTCTATTGGGATAATTAATTATAATTGAATTCGGTCATGAGGATCCTCGGAAAAAGAGGAACAAGTTTTGTAGAATATGTTGGTGCAGGCCTGTTTGACCTGAAGTACAGCATCGAATCAGGGGAAATTAACAATTGCTTTGAAATCTTCCCTTTGTAGTGATTAAGGGATTTTGACCAAAATTGTTCTGATATCATCCGATTGAGGGAAATCAATTTTGTACAGACCTTGGATTTGACACCTTTGTCCCCACTGTGGGCAAAGGGGTGCTAAAATACATCAATCTCTCAAACACCCTGAATCAATTTAAATGAAATTAAAAAAAAACCCTAACATGGCCAAAAGTAAACCAAAAGTGTAAATCATATGGTCCCCAGCTGTCAGGGAACAAATGTGGGCAAAATGACTGAAATTGTAGAATATACTTCATGGAAGTAAGAATCTTCAGCTGATTTACCAAAACAAAGAATGCGTTGGCCTTATAGTCTCGCATTTTTTGCTTGTGGAGGTTGTTTACTTTCTATAGAAGATTACATGTGTAATCTTCATCATTAATATGTGATAGAAATTAAATGGTGTGCACATATTGACAGGAGCTGACTGATGAGATCAGATCGACTAAAAATTTCAAAAATCGTTTTCTCAAGACCCAGATAAAAAGAATGAAAAATTAATGAAAAGCCTCCGAGCGCCTTCCCGCTATTGTGAATTTCATGACTCAACGTTATCACATCTCCTGGGAAGGAGTAAGTTAACTATAGTTTATATAGGAACTTGACTCTCTTGGTATGTTTGTTTAATGTTGATCAGATATAATGCAAACTTCATCAGACTTGCATGGGTATGACCACGGACTTAAATATATCTAATATACAAGTCCGTGGTATGACATGTATTAACAGCAAAATGACAGTTTTTATGGAACTTTTGTGTCGTCATGAACTCTGTTGTGACCTGTGAATTTGATTAAATCATTTTAAACAAAGAAACGTATTTACTTTCAAAGAAATTTCAGGTGTTGCATTATCTAATCCAAAAAGTCAAGGAATTATTATTAAATACACCAGTTCTCTCAAAATCGCTGTTAACGATTTACCTCCCTTGACGTATTGCACCTACATTTTTGTTTGCCTATTGATGTACGATAAATGATAGCAGCGAGTGACCATTGTATAACATCATTATTGTGCGCATAAAAAGAAACGGTGTATCGTGAAAACGGCTGTTCCACTTCCCAGATAATGCTGTCGGCTTTGAATATAATCTATAAATATATGTTCCTCTGATGGCTGATTTGCTTTTATACAGACTGATTTTTTTCGTAGATATTTTCGAAACAGGCCACCAAGGCCTGTATGTCAATGTTATTTTAAGATATAGTTACGACGGTGACAATGAGCTTACAAATACTGAAAATACTATGAATTTTTTATGTGTCCAAAACTTCAGTGAGATTTGAGTGACCTATTTCCTCTTTGCCCAATGCCCATAGCTAACCACACTCTTTATTCTCATTCTTTCACCGCTTCTCTTCTCTGTCTAATCTTTGTGCTGTAGAATCCGTCCAATCCGTATCCAGGAACAGCCATTGCCATTCGTCTGAATTTTCCAGATCTCAGTGTTTTCAGCAGCCCCGTTTCAAACCATAATACTTGTACACTCTATAAGATTTAAAAGTTTCCAAAAAGGTTAGACTTCCCGTGTATCATACTAGCATGCGTCAGTTGGCTCAGACAAAAAGATATTACGTCTGACTACCAATTATACCATGTCCTCAACACTTTTTATGTCATTTGAACCGAATGATCAGGATGGCCGGGGGCTATCGTGTTTCGACGTCGTCGTTTTCATATTCCACCCTTGGAATTGCGCTGAAACTTGTCAAAAATGACCCTGAGATTATCCTGACCAAATGATGTTATTTATCAAGTCGGCCTGAAATCCAATATGGCCGCCATTTTGAAAAATACATTTTAAAGTTCCACTAATGCTTTTGAGATGAAATTTTGTAGATTTTATGAAACTGAAATTTGGAGTGTATTTACTTTTATTGCTTAACTGCTAAACTGTTTTAATTATTTCATAACTATTTCTACTACTACCTTCTACTACCACTACTATTACTACAATGAAACAAGCATACATTTTTTACGTGACTGAAACATATGGCCGGCTCCAAATGTAGTTTTAGCCCATTGTATTCTTGTTTCCTTGTAAATATTTTACTTGTTGTTGTTTTATTTGCATTCTGAAGCCTTGTAACAATTTAAGATATCATGAAATCAAAAAATCCAAAAACCGAGCCACAGTGATAGAATGTTGTCAGAAACTCTAAATACCAACAACTAAGAATCCAACTCAGACTGCCCTAAAGATGAATACTCATAGCTAACATGATCTGAGAACTTTGAAGATTTCATACCGGTGGTCTCCATGATTAAAACTTAAACGAATAATGAGATGGCAAATACAGGCCACAGAATGCTAAGTCGGGGCTCGTCGAAAAGGGTCAAACCTGATTCTTCTTTTTTACCACCGAAGAAGGAAGATCTTCAGTCTACTCCCTTCCATGGTATGGATTAAAAAGAGACATTTTGGAAAAGAACAGGGATGGTAATTTGTTTCACAAATACATATCACCACTACTTCTGCTATATACAGTGTGACACTATTCGTAGTTAGGTATTTGTTGGTTTTCCCATTCCGCATTCTTTCGTTCCATTTTTCCTCCGTTCAAGAGATACACTTAAGATAAAAGATAATTGCTGTAAAATAGATTCCTTTATCAAATATTCTATTATAGAGTGTGTTAGTCTGTGCTATAGATGCTTTGGAATTTGATGAATAAAAGTTATAAAAATCAATACTTTCGAGACGTATTCTGTTTTGTCAAAATGAGTTGAAATAGGTAATTCTGGTTCTACAAATCTATTGCCATTTTCCTTCATATAATTTGCATATTTAATTCGTAACACTATCAATTCTTGGTTACATTTTTACTGTTTATTCAAGAAGACGAGTTAATGGTGTGTGGATTTGAAAGAACTTTTGACTTATCGTCAATCTCTTCTAAAAAAACTTTTCTCTTTAAGAACATTTTATCTTATTACTGTACACCACCATACCCTATTTTAAGCTTAAAGATTGCCTTCGTTCTCATCTTATGAAAGCTTCCAAGAAAGGTATATGGCAGTAGAAAGATACTGAGGACAAAGTCATAAAATGATCGAGTTTCTGGCTGATAACATCTGCGTCGACTTTGATTGTAAGATCTTCCAACAGACTTTTGACATACCTATGGAAACTAACTGTTTCCCTCTGGTGACTGACC